CTTTTCACGCTGTTTCCAAAGATCCTCCAAGCTGCAGTCCAGCATTTCAAACACCACATGTGTTCTCCTCCCATACAAATGTGTCCATGAACCTGACGATGTGGCATTTGTCCAGGTCCAGCTCATGGACATGGTGGAGCATTTTCATCTCTCTCTGCAGATAATACTGTCCCTCCTTGTATGTTATTAGGTTCTTTTTTCAGACCTAGAGTGTTATTTCATACCTGACAGTTTCGACTGCTCACTAGCGTCTTCCTCAGAGTGGTCACGTGATGTTGCTGTGACGTGTCTGGTCAGCTGATTTAAACAGGTTTGGCGCTGTCTTCCTACCGGTGGAGGCAGGACGACAGCGCCATCTGCAGTCCGACTTCGTCAGGACAGCATCCCAGGTGTGTGAGAGTAAAAAAGCCCCGTCGTTACAGTCCTGTGGGCACGTTTCCGTATTTCGATTGCTTCTTTAATCCAGCGGCGATGTTTGTTTTCCTCTGTCCCAATGATGTTTGCTTCATCCCAATCCATAACGTGGTTCTCTCTTTTACAATGGTCAGAAATGGCCGATTTGAGTTGTTCCTGTTCTGCTTTGTGTTTTGTTGCTTGTGTGCGCGCCTTCGCTGTCATCCTGTCTTCACCGGTAGGAAGACAGCGCCAAACCTGTTTAAATCAGCTGACCAGACACGTCACAGCAACATCACGTGACCACTCTGAGGAAGACGCTAGTGAGCAGTCGAAACTGTCAGGTATGAAATAACACTCTAGGTCTGAAAAAAAGAACCTAATAACATAGAATATTGGAAGACCAAATGAATCTCATTGGACTACTGTCCCTCCTTCTTGAGGACTTTCACTGTGACAGTTTCTGATGTCGTGGGCTGGAGACAGTGCGGCACCTGTCCAAAAGCCCCTTCACCGAGCATCCCTAGGACACAGTATTACTGCAGGTGATGTGACAGTTTTACTCCAGACGTATTTGTTTAGTTTGTGGTTTGTTGTATGACCTTGTGCCACGTGTGTGTTTTCTACACTTTGTGTAAATGACTGTTTAACCTGTCTCTCCTTTACAAGAATCTAACTCTATGGAATTGAGTGACACCACAAACTTTACCACGACACTGCAATGTCTTGGCATTCCACCATTTCCATATAATCAGGTTTAATGATATGGGGGAAAAAGCAATAAATCTTTTCACTATTATGATTAAATTAAAAGCACATATTTTCAATAATGTCATGATTTATATATATTCTGTATACATTTTACGACAAAATATTGTGTACAATATATTATAAGTATTCAAATTTGTGAAATTTGTATCAATGTGCCAAACACATTGCTACAAACCTGTAACTACAAACACAAATCTTATTTTCCTGACTCAAAAAGTTGCAATTGTAATTTACCTGTACTTGATACTTTATTTAAAAATCACAATCACAATAATTTGAGTCATTTTTGAAATTAGTATTATCAGCAATGATTTTGGTTGTGCAGACAGAATACTTTGGCATTGATTTAATTGTTTGATCAGTATATTTTTGATCTTGTTTGGTGTGTGACCATGACACTGTAACTACAACATGTTTCATTTTTGTCTTCCTTTAAGTAGCCTTCAGTGATTATCTCCTTCAGCACCAAGGTTGCCTGGTTAGGACAAAAGGCACATGTTAATTGTCCTTTCAATGATGTTGGAAGAACAAGAATCAAGTAAAAGTGTCAAAGTTCAAATACAGTTCTATTCAGATTGCCAAAGACTAGATAACCTGTGTTGTGCATAAATAGATTTTTCAGGATTTGACAGAAACAATTGTTTGCCAGGGCTATTTATTTGTTTATTTATTTATTCACTAAGACATTAAAAATAAAGCAGTGATATTCAGGTAATACTCACTCATTCTGCTTATTCATTTTCAGCAAATAAATGCCATAACCAAACCAGGAGGACAAGTACTAATGCACCCTAAGGCACATTTACTTCTGTTGACTATAGTGAGGTGGACACAATCTAAAAAAAAAAAAAATCTAATTGGATTTAAGCTGTTTTATTTTGTATCTCAATTTTCGGCTCCTCTCTTTCTCCAGGGGAAGCTACAGGCAATCATTTACCTGGTATCGTGGGAGGTTGGCATGGGAACAGCACAGATTGGGGTAGAAGGTTTGGACAACTCATGAGAAAAACAACCAAAAATTAAAGCCGCAAGCGGTGTCAAACGGCCCGCGCCCGCAAACACCGCACCCACAAATGGTGCGCCCCGCCAACACCATACCCTAAACGCCGTGTCCGCAAACTCTGTGCCTGCAAACAGCAAAATGACATAGTACGCCTTTAGATGTTCTTTGCGCCCCCTGCTGGCCAACCTTGAAAAATTCCCATGTCAGTAATATATGTTTTTTCTTCTAGTCATTAATAGAATTGAATTCCCAAATTTGGTACAAATCCGACAATGTTGACGTTTCATGTCTATGGTAGGGGGCGCTATAGTGTTCACTTTTCATATGTTTTATAGTGTATTATATTCAGACTGAGATCATGCATTAGTGATTCAAATTTCAGCACGATCGGACTAAGTCTGTGCGAATAGGAGCAAATAATGTCACCTTGAAATTTGTCAAAATTTTTATCAAAATTTGCGGCCTCACCGCACATAAACCGTGACAGTTATCAACATGAATTGGATAATTTTAGATGTTCCACTTCCCTAGATGATGTACGGTCATTGTCAGCCCTGTGGGTGAAGCACCTTCAGAGGAGTGCGTTCAAACGCAACGTCAACGAAAATGCGCACTGAAAATTAAATCCAAGATGACTGCCTTCTGGTTTGTCAAACTTAAATGATTTTATAGTGGAAAAAATGTGTTTAAAGGTCCAATATTAAGCAAAATTGACTCGTGTGAGCTTTAAGACATTTTAGAATATTGTTACCTCCTCAAAAACAGACCTGGAGCTGTGTTTAGTTACATGCACATGTGTTTAAGTAACCCTTTATTATTAGTTTGTGTAGCTCAAAATGCACAGTTCAACTTAGTTTTCGATGTAGTTTTCAATTTAACAACTCCTTTTACCTTTAGTTCAGTAGTGTTTGGCAATCCCAGGGCAAAATTATATAAATGATGTGATGGTATTGAAGGTGTATGGAGTTTAAAAACACAGTGGAGCACTTCCTGTATTATCACATGACATCATCAGGTAGAGCAGAGCTTAAACTCATCTTAAATATGCAGAATTTGTGTGTTAAACATGTGTGAATGAAACAAAACCCAACTCCAGGTCTGTTTGTGATGAGGAAACAACCTTCTAACATACCAGGAGAGCCTTAACTTTGTGCCAGTTTTTTAACAGGAAGTTAATTACAGAGATAAGCAAGTAATTGTTGTAGTAATTACAAATGTTAGATGCTGAGACATTATCTGGGCAGAGCTTATTCGTGGTACAAAAAGTTAAAGTGCCCTTAGAGGTTGAGGTAATAAAAGGGACTTCAGAGATAAGGTGTGACACAACCTTGAGTCATTAATAGGTCACCAGGGCCTAGATACTGCTACTGTTACTACTACAACAGCTATTAGAACTACTTGTACTGCAACTGCTGTAAATGCTATTACCACTATTTACTACCACTGTTATTTCATATTACTATTGTCTGTTACTACTACTACTATTGCTACTACAACTACTGCTGCTATTAATCACTGCTGCTACCACTTCACCACAAATACAACTACAGGTACTACACCAGTACTACTTCTACTACCACTACTGCTACTGCTACTACTACTTTTCTCAATTTCTGAAACCAGTACGACTGCTGCTACTGTTACTACTACTGCTGCTGCTGCTATTACTACTACTACAACTATTACTATTGGTACTGTTACTTACTACTACTACTACTACTACTGCTGCCACCACCACCACCACTGCTACTACTGCTGCTACCACTACTACTACTACTACTACTACTACTACTACTACTACTACTACTACTGCTGCTGCTGCTGCTGCTACTACTACTACTACTCCTACTGTTACTACTACTACTACTGCAACTATTACTATTGGTACCGTTACTGCTGCTACTGCTGCTGCTGCTGCTGCTTTGACCATTGTACCACTACTATTACTAGTTTATAGTAACTACACCTTTATTAGTTTTAATAAAGCATGAACAAAGACTTAGTTAACATAATAATCATCATGAACAAATAGTTTATTATGCTGGTTTATTTAACTCTTTAATTATGACGTTATGGCTTTGGGTTATGTATTAATAAAGCAGTCACTAAGCCTGAATCATTCTTAATTAACTATTTTTTTAGTTTTCATGCTTTATTGAGGCTAATTAAGGTGCAGTTGTCATCTACTACAAATACTATTAGTACTACTACTCAGAGGTCGTTGTTTTGTAAGTCTTAAGTAAATCTCGTTGACCTCAAACCTGAGTCAAGTCCCAAGTCAAATACGAGTCCAATCTCGAGTCACTGGCCCATAAGTCCAAGTCAAGTCTAAGTCATCTACTTTGGTTTAAAGACTTGAAATGACTTGAAGCTCAAAGTACCAAATATCGAGCTTAGATGTTTGCAGTTTATATGAATTTTAACCTAAACTGTACTTTATAAAGTCATAGTATATTTATATATGAGTATTTATAGAAAGTCTTCTCAAGTCAAGGGCTCAAGTCCAAGTCAAATCCCAAGTCACTGAGCTTCAAGTACAAGTCGACTCCCAAATCTTGATCTGTTTTATCAAGTCAAGTCTCAAGTAGTAAAAATAAAACTTAAGGCTGATTTGAATTCAAGTCACGATTTTCAAGTCTCCACCTCTGCAGCTACTAGAGAAAGCCGTGTATTGATTGACAGATTACATGAAGCTAATTAGTACCAGCCAAAGCTCCGTTGTCTCTGCTACTCAAGTGATTCTTTTGTTCTCTTTTACACCAAATCAATGAATTAATCTTAAACTGTTTCTCATTACAGGCCGTATCGTAGCAACACAAAACAAAGCACTTACCCATCATTTTGATAGTCTCCAATTTTGGGTCCATTATTTAGAGATCAAGTGCTTATTTTCCGTTATTTTAAGCTCTGAATGCAGCTTTCCGCGCACATGTGCCTCTCTGCTCCCTGCACCGCGAGTGATCGGGTCATTCACCTGTCGCTCAGGCAACCGCAGTGACCCAGCCTCTGCCGTTTTAACCTCTGACCCCTGCACCTCGCCTCATCTCTCCTCCTTCTCGCACGGCCTACATTCACAATACGTAACACAAATTATGCACATGAGGAGAAAGTAGTTACACTTACGGCTTACTCAGAGTTTCAAGTTAAAATTACTTGAGGGAAGAAATCTTACATCTATAATAATCATTCTGACATAGTTTATTTTACTTCACTAGCATTTAAATGTTGGGTAAAGGCACAGTATGGAACTTTCTGGAGAAGGCATGTCACCTGTTTGATTCCATGGAAATAGAAAGTTAGAATGTTCAAAAGTATAAAGTTTTATTTATAAAGTTTTAGTGCAATAAACGCCACCAAAAAATTACATACTGTGGCTTTAACTAACTTGAGTAAATGGTACAAGTTAAGGTATTGTTTGCTTTTACTTCTACATGAGCTGTATTTTGAATAAATTTTGAATTATTACAACATTATTTTTATTTTAATAGAACTTCTGGCTGCTTCTATGAACCAGTAAAGTGACAAAAGTTTTACACTGACAAGATTAGATTTAAAGGTGTGTTTCTTCTATTTTTTGGAAATATTTACTAAATGTTATGTCCAAACTGTTACTCAGTGGGCTACTTGCATTTTAGTGTTTCCACAAAATGTTTATTCATTATATACTTGAGTAATAATTAATCTCTATACAGTGTCTTCCTATCTCTTTACATTTTACAATATACAATAAATATAGGGCGTCATGAACTGCAGGATGTGTAGGAGCTGCAGATTACATGTTAACAAATCCATGACATATTAACCCACAACTGAACCCATGTGTGACAAGAAAGTCTCTATCCGTGTGTAATGGGTTATCTATCACCAAGATTTACATAAACAGTCGTTATATAATTGAATTAGAATGAGATCAGATGGAGCTAAATGAGATCAAATTAGACTGAGTATTAAAAATGTGCCTGTCTTTCTCATTTTAGAACAAATACGTTTTTATAATCATGTTTTAGTCACATGTTTCCCCTTGTGGAGGCCAAACGACAGTGTTGGAAAGTCACTGAATACATGAAAATACTGACAATACATACTCTGAATATTAATATTGAGTATGTGCTGGTACATTTACTCTTTCATTTAGTGATATGAAGAATACATGACTGTACTTTATAATCCGTGTATCATTCGTTCATTCATTTTTCAAAATAAAAGCAGATATAAGAAATAAGAATAATAAGAAAATGAAAAAACAACTATTTTCTTCAGTATTTGTCTCCAAACCAAAATGGGGAAAAAAAAAAAAAAAGATAACGATTTATTTGTACAGTTTTTGTGTTTAAATTAATAATGGAAAAAACAGATAACGACCGTTTCCTGTTTATGTGACTTAAACTGTGATGCTGGACTTTTGTGTCGCATATGGACTGAACCAGGACAAGACCAAGTCTAAAGCAGGTCTAAACCGGTCTCAGTCCTGGTTTGGTCCCGGTCGGGTCCCAGTCTCAGTCCTGGTCTGGTCCTCGTTTCAGTCCTAAACCAGGACTGAACCAGAAATGTCGGGACGGGCCCGGAGGTGCGCATGCGTAGACTGTTGGGAGATCAGAACTAAGACCAGGACTACACTGGGACTGAGACCGGGACAGAGACTGGTTTAAGTTAAGTCCTGGTTCAGTCCTGGTTTAGAAGTGGTTTAGTCCTGTCTTAGTCCTGGTTCAGTCCATATGCAGCACAAAAGTCGAATGATTAAAAAAACTAATCGTTATCCGTTTTTTCATATTGGTTATTTTGGAGACAAATAATGAAGAACATTTTTGTTTTTTTCGTATATAATTTTTGGTTTTATTTTGAAAAAAGAATGATTGAATGATACATGGATTCTTTATCATGCAGTTTTCGCTACTGCACAGTATTAGTGGGGGAAAAAAGCTTACCGTGTGTGCGTGTGATTTCCGTCTCTAAGTAGACTTAAATTAATCCATAACAAACAGTGTAACAAAAAATTATAAGTCATGTTATTTTTTATAATGCAACTCAGTATTCAGAAAATATGCCTGACTGGCCCATGTATCGGAATATGTTAGAAAATACATTTTAATTTGGGTATGAGTGTTGTGTAACTAAATACATTTTCAAATTCTTTTTCTTGGTTCGACCTTGTGATGTAAGCTTCTCAAAGAAGTGCAGCTCCTCAGTGAATTTGAAAGTTTATAAAGTTTTCACTGATTCATTCTGATCATTTCCAATCTCTTGAAGTGAAAAAGTTATTGTTTCTAACCTCATTTAATTGAAAATGGAAAGTTTATGTGCCCTCATTATAGCTTGGTTGCTATTATATGTCTCCCATTAATATTTATAGCTTTAACATCAAATAATATGGTGACCAGAAAGTGAAACATTTTCTTATTAAATATACCTCTTATTTTGAAACACCAATGCAGCACTTTATGACTGTGGATGTTCTTCGATTGCTAAAAAGTATGTTCATTGTGGGCTCTCTGATAAGCTGCTCTGATTTCGCTGACAGAGTTTGTGAAATGTTCCTGAAGGTCATTAATACTGTCCCCATCGCTCTATTAAATTACAGTCATGAACCCGAGGGGACACAGATAGAGGTGTAAATGGTTAGCTAAAGAACAAACGGACTTTAACCTGCACAGACGACATGAGAAAAAGTCCAGTGCATCAGCCAGGCTCTTATAGCACATTTGTTTAAATCTATGAGCCAGCACGGTTCAAAGGTCAGTGTTACATAGGCTGAAAATATGTTACCAGTAAAACACGCTTACACATTTTGACACTAAAATAGCAACATAAATAAATAATAATATATATTTTTAGTAACATATATCATTTATTTTCTACACAACTTCTACCACTACAACAAGTTTTTCCTCAATCCCACAAAATAACTACTACTGTTACTGTAAAAAAAACAAATCCATCCATTTTCTTCCGCTTATTCAGGGCCAAGTCGGGTAAATATTACAGTATATATTTTTATTGTAAAAATATGTTGTATTTTAGGACACTTAAAAACTGAAAGACTTCTACTATTGTACTACTATTACTATTAATTGCTACTATTACTCCTTTATAGTAACTACACCTTTATTACTCTTAATAAAGCATGAATAAAGACTTAGTTAACATAATACTCATAATGAACAAATAGTTTATTATGATGGATTACTTAACTCCTTAATTAGTAGTTAGTTATAGTATTAATAAAGCAGTCACTATGCCTGAATCATTTTTAATAAACTATTTGTGACTCTTCATGCTTTATTAAGGCTAATTAAGGTGCAGTTATCATCTACTAAAAATACTATTACTACTGCTACTACTGTATCTGTACTACTTACTACAACTTACATGAAGTCCTATATGTACAAATACCATGATGTTTTAAAGGCCAGGGTTACATAATACAGAATATAGGTGCCAGATAAGCAATCTTTTACACTAAAATGAAAACATGCAATGACATGAATACTGAAAAACCTTTCTTCAATAATCAAACAAAACCATTACTGCGACTACTTCTACTTACCACTTACATGCACCCACATGTTTAAGTCTAGCAGCCGTGACAGTGTGTAAAGGTCATGTGCTACCGGCAGTTTATATCTGACAGATTAAACTACATTCTTACACGTTTTGAGCAAAAAAACAGTCAAGATGATTATTTCTGCTGTTGCTGCTGCTATTTTTAATCACTATTACCACAACATACATGCACACATATATGTTTAAACGTTTCAGCTGTGATGGTTCAAAGGGCAGTGTTACTTAACTGAGAATAGCTGCAAGATAAGCAACTTTTATGCACTAAAATTTGAAAAAAAAGAAAAAAAAGCAAAGTCATGAAAAACAAATCATAACATCAGTAACAAAACCGTCACTGCTGCTGCTTCTACCACTTCCAACTACTACTTTAAATCTGTCCTCATCAGACATGGTGATAGTGTAAAAGGTCATGAGTTTCCTAGTAGCTGATAGCAGATAAAACTTGTCATTCAAAATTAAATCAAGATTATACAAATGAACTTCATGTGTATCTTCAGATCAATTACTGGTTCTGCTAATAACAACCACAACTACTACTACTACTGCATATTTTTAAATGGATCAACCTGACTAAAAGTCAGAAATACAGAGGCAAGTTAATAGATTACAGATTAAACTACTTACTTACAAATATTACCAAAAAATACTGCTACTGCTAACAACTAAGTACCACTACTACTGCTGCTATTACTGCTGCTACTACTAATACATAAAAAATAAAAAAAAAGTCATGAATATGTGAAGAAGCAGTGACGTACCTGGATCCATGGCGAAGGCCCAGACAAATAAGGGCAGGGTCCAGACAGACAAGCGTAAAACGGGTCTGACCATTTACAGGCTGTGGGTCTGACCAGTGCCATCTTGTGCACAGAAACAGGATTTAAGAAACATTTCGTCCATTTTTTTTCATGAGTTTATTTGAGAAGTTGCAGCGCAGAGCATGACAAAAAACAATGTATTTTGCCTCTGAAGATAATATTTGGTCCCATGTAGTTTTTAGTAGTTCTGAGATATTCGCGGTTCAAGTATAAATGTTTTGTTTACAGTTCAAATAGCAAAGGGTGAATAAAGAATAGTTTTAAGTTAATAGGAATATATGATTCACTCAACAAAAATGGCAAACAGCATTATAATTCAAAGGGGACTACATGTTCAGTCTATTATTTAAAAGCGTTCTATGTCAAATCTGTGTATCGTTTGTTCATTAGTTTTTCAAAATAAAACCAAATATAAGAAAATGAAAAAAACAACTATTTTCTTCATTATTTGTCTCTGAAATCAAGATGAAAAAACAGATAACGATTAATTTGATCAGTTTTCGTTTTTGTGTTTAAATGAAGAATGGAAAAAACGTATAACGGTCGTTTCCTGTTTCCGTGACTTAAACTGCGATGCCGGACTTTTGTGTCGCAACCAGGACTAAAACAGAACTGAACCAGGACTAAACCGTTTTCAGTCCTGGTCTGGTCCCACTTTCAGTCCTGGTCTCAGTCCCGGTCTGATCTCGGTCTCAGTCCCAGTCTCAGTCCCGGTCTCAATCACGGTCTGGTCCTGGTCTGGTCCCGGCCTCAGTCCTGTTCTCAGTCCCAGGCTGGTCCTGGTCTCAGTCTTGGTCTCAGTCTTGGTCTCAGTTCTGGTCTCAGTTCTGGTCTCTGTTCTGGTCTCAGTCCCGGTCTCAGTCCTGGTTCTGGTCCCAGACTTAGTTCTGTTCTCAGTCCTGGTCTGGTCCCGGTTTCAATCCCTTTCTCAGTCCCAGTCTCAGTCTCAGTCTGGTCCTGGTCTTGTCCCAGCCTCAGTCCTGTTCTTAATCCCGGGCTGGTCCTGGTCTCAGTCTTGGTCTCAGTCCCGGTCTCAGTCCGAGTCTCAGTCCTGGTCCTAGTCACAGACTTAGTTCTGTTCTCAGTCCTGGTCTGGTCCCGGTTTCAATCCCTTTCTCAGTCCCAGTCTCAGTCTCGGTCTCAGTCCCAGTCTTGATCTCAGTTCTGGTATTGGTTTGGACCTGGTTTAGTCCTGTTTTAGTCCTGGTTCAGTCCGTATGTGCCACAAAAGTCTGGCATTGCAGTTTAAGTCGAGAAACGGGAAACGGCCGTTATCCATTTTTTCCATTATTCATTTTTCACAACTGAAAACTGAAAAAACTAATCCTTATCTGTTTTTTCAATTTGGTTTTGGAGACAAATAATGAAGAAAACAGTTTTTTTGTTATCAATTTTTTTTTTTTTTTATATTGAAAAATAAATGAACGAATGATACACAGATGTTATTGCTTTGCCTGGTATGTTCCAGAAAATGGCATTAAAATATCTTCAGTGAGACAAACTGGTGACACATTCTGGCCAAGTTACAGGTCAGATCTGTGATGAGGTGACCACTCACAGTAAGAATGAATATATTTCAATGCCAATGAAATAAACAAGTTTAATGCTATATTGTGGAACATTCCAGTAACAGCCATGATAACAAGGAGGTGGTGGAGGTTGCCAGTTTTAAAAAGTGCCACTTAAAATGACATTCACAATATACAAAGCAAGTCTGAGTGTTTGATAATTCCTACAGGAGTGAGATGGTCAAACTTTATTGGAGGTGTTTGCTTGAGAACATGAGCTGAATCAGAGCTTGTGGAACGTGATTTTAGGAGGGATCCGCGGCTGTAGGATTAAAGTGTACGTGGTCTCCAGGTCTTCTGAAGAGGGCACAGTCAAGTGGAAGTTCAGCAAGATCTAGACACAAAGTAAACAGGAATCACACAATCAGAATTATTCACTGTAAAAATGACTTATCTTTAAAGGTGTAGAGTTCATCAAATGCTTTTCACCAGGGAAATGTTACTGCTTTGTCTGGAATGTTTCACAGTATGGTATTAAACCTTTCTATCTTCATGGAGACCAAACCAGAACAAGTTACCGGTCAGGTCTGTGGAAAGGCGACCCCACTCACAGTCAGATTGCCTGTTTTTCTAGGCATTTTTTTTGAGCTAAAAAAATCAACTGTAATTGAATAAACATGAAGTAGAGCTGTTTAATGTCATACTGTGGGACTTTCCAGGCAGAAGTCCAGCAAAAGTTACACAATGCACCCTTAAGATAACTTGAATTTCTGTTGTTTTGGTCAGATTTAATGAGTTGGATATAGTTCGATATAGTTATTGGGGCATGACAGCTTTGACAATTCAGTGGCATGAATAGCGTTTGCTTTATCTGAACTAAATGTATCCAACAGCGGGGTTTTATTTTAATTTTTTTATTAAATACAAACTGTGTACATTTCTGGTAGATCGTTTGAACTTGACATTAAAATAAAAAATATATAGAGACTTGTAGGAAATAACTAAGTCTACACCTATATTAACTCAGAGGTCTAACTCTCTGCAGACCTCTAGAACATTTTCCTCCTAAAATTAAGTTTGGTGGTTCTATTCTTGCTCCCATCCATGCATACTATTATTGTGCCCATGTGCAAGACACTTTACCCACCGTCTCTACACTGTATGCATAGAAAGATGAATAAATGAGCGTGTACTATAAAATTGTGACTAAATTAATACATTCTAAATCTAAATTATAGTCCATAAATTGTAGGTTACACACTGGTTACACTTAATAATAATTGCACCTTAATTAGCCTTAATAAAGCATGAACAAAGACTTAATTCCTAATAAACAAATAGTTATTTCATAGTTAATTAAGAATGATGTTGGTTTAGTAACTTCTTAATTAAAGTGTTAGGTTTAGGATACTAATTAAGTAGTGATGTAGTTATTAAGCCTGATTCATTATTAATAAACAATTTGTTCATTATTAATTAAGTCTTTATTTGTGTTTTATTATGGCTAATTATTTATAGTTATTATCAAGTGTAACCTAAATTCTGAGTTGAACGGCACATTATTCTGAAGCCCCTCCTCCTTACGTGCATCAGGAGCAGTTGCATCTCGTTCTCTGCAATCCTTCTCCCCACACACTGCCTCGACCCGAAGCCAAACGCCAAGGAGCGAAACCCCGCCCCCTCTGTGCCTGCCTCCTCTCCTCTGCTCGCCCACCGGCCCGGGTCGAACCGCAGGGGGTCGGGGAACACCTCTGCACTCCGTCCCATCGGGTACAGACAGGCCTGCACCGCTGTCTGTGATAATAACATACATTATATTAGACCTGAAGCATTTAGGAATAACATCTAATTGCATTGATTTATTAAAAAAAACAAACACATGAATCAAAACAGTGTCATTGAAGGTAAGATATATGTAGCCTGCACTGTTACTGTTTTTTTAAAGATACAATCACAAGTGAATCTGTGTTTCCATCGCCTTAACCTGCATATAAAGCATTGTTTCCTAAAGACTGGGTCGCAAGAGATTTTTTGGGGGGGTTGCCTTGTTACAGTCTGCATGTAGCTCTCCCTCTGTACCTCACTACAAAAACACAGACAGGCCCACCTATCTCATTAGAAATGTTGAAATGTTAAAACATGTTTTGTATAGTTTCTAATCTTTTTGTACTATATTTTTCGGACTATACGGTGCACTTAAAATCCTTTAATTTTCTCAAAAATCAACAGTGCACCTTGTAATCCGGTGCGCCTTATATTCCAGAAAATACGGTAATTATTTTATTGACCATTTTGTTCCAATTTTGCTGGTTCATTTGAATGAAAAGAAAAAGAAATGGGCTACATTTAATGTCCAAATAGGCGACTTATGGATCCTTTTATTGCTGGTTCAATTACTGTTTTTCATTATTTAAAACTTGAGTCATACTAATTGTTCAGAGAGACATGATCACTCAGTCAACAATAAAACATCCTCATTAATGTTCAATAATGGTCAAATCCACCTTTATTTTGTGATTTATGAAAAATGTTAACTTGGGTCACGAAGGTTTGTGACTTTTAAAATATTGGTCCTCAGAAAAAAGTTTGGTTAACACTGATATAGAGGACACATCGAAGTTTTTTTATTCTCAGTATATGGACAGGCCTCATGTGAAAGCTCAGAACCTGCAGAATTCACTCATTGAGCTGCAGAGTCTGACTGATGATGGGCTGTAGGTGCTGGGGTTTAGATAATAACCATTCAGATCAGAGAGTCCTTTTAGATTTAAACCAATTGTATTTCACCATTGAAACTGGCAACTCAAATGAGAGACTCATGCAAGGCTCATTCTGTTTTCTGACTGGATAATTGTTTTGAAATACCAAACAACATAAACAAATTGGCCATCATGTCAGCTGTGCAATGGTTTGTAAATAAGAATAAATCAATACTTCAGTTGTAAAAGCAATATTTGATTTGAAGCATGTTTACTTCCTGTCTGTGGACACCAGTAGTCAAATATTTAAACTGAAAAACAAAAAGTGATACAGAAAGTTGTATTATTTGTACTCACCCCGGCCGGGATATGATAGTTCTGGATGACGATGTCTCTGACTGGATAGCGCTGCACTGTGATCCCCACTGGATACAGCCTGCCCACATGAGCACATGAGTACAGTCAACGGTCCACACATTACCGTTTATGACCTATAGTGATCAATAGTCGTTTAGCCTGTGGTCCCGGCTCCTGTCTGTGTGATACAAACCTCTCTAACGGCTGCTGTCACATGAGAGATTGTATTGATCTGAAGGAGCAGGTTTTCTTCACAACAATGACTATCAATGTATGTTTGAGTCCAGCTGCTCGAACATGTGATGGACCGTTTTACACATTATATTTACAGTATAAATCACTAAAATAAAAGCAAAGTAATTAATTATTCTATGTAATTCTTAAAAAGTAATGGAGTTCAGTTCCTTGTTTGTACCTGTGTCATTTTGAAGACTTGATCATTAAAATGTAATTTGTTTTGACTTATTAACTGCTGTGGAAACGGTCCATTTTGTTTTGTTCATCACTCTGAGACTCTTAAACTGAGGTGGAGGAATTTTATGATGCTTTAAAACTCTGATATGACAGATATTAAACTTGGTTTATGGCCAATATCTTGATAATTTCTTGGTCACAAAAATGAATGTCTACTCTACTTCAGCCCAAATGAAATGAGGTGAACTGAATCCAGTCTGTAAGTGTTTGCATTATTCAGTCACTCAGGCGTGATTATGGACTTGTCATAACATTAATGAACTGTGTGGACTCAAGACTAAAAGAGTATTAAGTACAACATTTATGGATTTTCTTTTTGGATATTTCTCTTAAAATACACCAGTATATATATATATACCAGTCAAAAGTTTTAGAACACTACACTTTTTCGAGTTTTTTACTGTTTACTGTTGACCAAAACGTATTCTAAACTTTTGATTCATCATAGTAACCACTTTTGGCAGATATAACAACTAAACACACTCGTGGCTCGTTCTTTTTACAATAGAAATCAAATATTCTTCAGAAAGTTCTTCCCAAGTCTGTTGCAGAAGTTCCCATAAATGTGTGTCACTTGTAGGTTTCTTGGCTTTCACTCTTCTGTCCCATTCATCCCAAAACCAGCTCGATGGGGTTTAAGTCTGGAGACTGTGCTGGACGCTCCATGTTTCAACCTCACCATCTTGTTCTTTTTTCCTGAGGTAGTTTTGGCAGAGCTTGGACTTGTGTTTTGTTATATTTTATATTTTATCTTTTTTTTTATTTTATTTTTTTACCTCTGGCTGGCTCATTTCAAGCTCTTCATTGGACTTGCACGACTTGAATTGCAATAAATAACTGGAAAAATTTGAGTGTTCTAAAACTTTTGACCAGTAGTGTATGTAATTCATGAGTTTCAGGGTTTCAGCTTCCTGTTGGTTTTTTTTGGAAGTATTTTGAGCACTTTTCACCATTCAAAAGAAGTAATATTTTTCCATGGCAACAGTAGTAAATTAACATGACAACTGTACATTATAACTCAAAATTATATTACTCTAAAGTTGCCAAAACTAATGTGAAAGTATACCTGTACCTTATTGCATTTCAACATGTTTTGAGCATGTTTTGAGTCTGTACCTGAGGATCTCCTTGATGGTGCCTTTGAGGAGTGGCGCCCCCTGCAGAGCGGTCTGAGGATCTCCTCCAGCTTTAGCCCACGACTCCCTCACCTGTTGCCTCACCTGCTCCTGCACCACGGGGTTTCGACCCAGCTCAAAGAGAGCAAACTGCAGAGGGACAGCAGTCTGCAACAAAGAGAGGTGGACATGGAGATGAGAGACAGGTACTGAGGGTTTGTGGTTTTCATGGTTCTGATGATTACTCTGGTTGGTAGTGGTTATTTTTTTTATATTGTGGTTTTAAAATAAAGAATACAGAACGTAAGCAGGGACAGTTTATGCACAAAAAAGGAAAGATGTTGTTACGTCATTTGTCTTTGCGTCTGTATAACTGAACATTGTCACTTTTGATAGTATTGTGGGACAATTATAAAACTTTACGTAATTGTTTTTTTTTTGTAAACGCATGTTTGAAGCGGCTTGGTTCAGTAATTACAAAGTTAACCCCAGGGGAAATGAATGCAAAATGACAACATCAGCTTCTGCTCTTCAGTTTCCTTTTATGTTTTTTGTTGATATTGGCTTGTTACATTATTATATTGAAATTAATTAATTCGACGCAGCAATGTTTGAACGTACCGTGTCCACCCCTCCCGCCATCAGCTCAGTCAGGTTGGCTTTGATGAGGTCCAGAGACAGCTGTCCCTTCTCCATCAGCTGACCCAAAACCCCTGGGTACTGCCCCCTACTGGCCACTGTGGATGACTCCTGCGCTCTGGAGGAGGACAGGCGCTGGTAACCCTTCTGGATCCGAGACTCAGCTACAAACCACAGGACAAAGTGTGATTGAGATCACATAGAAACACATACCTTCTAAAAAAAAATGTGTTACTACAATAAAATGTTATTAGTCACCAATTTCTTTAAATAAATTACATGAAGAATATCAATGTAAATAAAAAAGAATAGTTTTCTGAAGATTGTACGTTATTGTACTTGTATTTGACATTTTACAGATATTATATTCCACAAGAAATACAACTATTGGTGCAGTAGTAGTAGCATAAAGCTCCTCATCTCTAGACCTAGTGTTACATTTGGTCAAGTTCGGTCAGAAGTAGCTGGAGAACATGCAAACTGCTCACAGAAAGCCCTCAGGCAGCCCGGCTTTCTTGCTGTGAAGTGCGAGTGCTTGCCATTCCGCAACCTTGGCATGTATAAAAACGCATTTTATATTCCCACATATTTTCTTTATCAATTATTAAAGAGCTACCATGGCTGAAGATGTGGTCCCATGCTTTGGCGTGCTGGGTCCACTGGGGAGCGCCGATGCGGAGGAGCAGGCGAGGGGGCAGAAACAGCAGTGGCAGAGTGGTGGTCAGCATTCTCTCCACCGCCCAAATAAATTTCTGAGACTCGAGGGAAGGAGAAGCGGAGAAGAGGCCAATCCGCTCCCCGTACAGGACATGACAACTGGCTGTGGGAAGAGACGGGTGATGTAAGAAAGAAGGAGGGAGAGAAGGAGAGAGACAGAGAAAGAGAAGGACAGAGAGGTCATTTTCAAGGAGACAAATAAAATACCAGTACGCTGCATTAATACTGATTTGAGTGAAAAGTCCTACACTCCAAAAAACCCAAACTATTTTCTACATTTTATAATACATCAAATATATGATGCAAGACATATGAAATAGTAGTAAGTTAAAAAAAGTAACTCAACTAAACATAATTTATCCTCAGCGTGTCCACCCTTTGGTTGCTGACAGAGCTGCACACACTTGGCTTTCACTCAATGAGCTTCATGATGAAGTCTCCTGAAATGGTTTTCACTTCACAGTATTAAGAAATGTCAAAGGTGCAAACTAAGGTTCAGAGTTATTTTTATTTTTTTTATTTGAGTTATTTAGAATTTTATGTTTTCTTTGCTATATTTGTTCATTCATAGTTTTTATGCCTTCATCAAGATCACAAATAATCATAAACTAGAAAAGCACTCAGAGAGCGCAGACCTCCGCCAAGGACTACCCCCATTTTTTATATAAATTGCGATAAAATCAGTCTTCTGGATCAGATCCGGATCAGCCTTTGGAATATGAAAGAGGATCCCATTGTCCATCCCTGAGTCAAATTCCATGGGGTTTGGTCAATAATTAACCGAGATATTGAGAAACAAAATTTTTGGCCCCATTTACCACAATGTTAACTAAAATTTCAAAGTGATCCAGAATCCAGGATTTCTTCCGGATCACCCCCAAAATGAAATCAATTCTTCCTTTTCACATTTCCAACAAATTCTGAAAATTTCATCAAAATCGGTCCATAACTTTTTGAGTTATGTTGCTAACAGACAAACAAACAAACAAACGCCGGCAAAAACATGACCTCCTTGGTGGAGGTAAAAAAGAAGAATACATGAAAAAGTGTGTCCATGCTTTTGAGTGGTAGTGTAAGTTAAATTAAGAATTGGTGATTTTGATTTGACTTTTGTCTTATTGCATTGAAGGTCCCACATCACGCTCATCAAAACAAGTCTGGAGTTGTTTTGTTTTGTTTCATTCATACAAAATCCTCAAATCCTGATACTTAGACTGAGTTCTCTCAAACAGAAAACACTCTTTGGATGATTTCAGCTCTGGAATTTCCAATCTCTACTAACTAAAGGTAAAAGGTAGCTGTTAACTTGAAAACTGCCACTTCATGACATCACAAGGTGGAGCATTTTTGAGCTTTGGAGATGTAGGTGGATTAATAATAAAGAGTTACTCAAACACTTGTGACTGAAAAATAAACAACTCTGTGTATGTTTTTGGGGAGCTAACAACATTCTAACATGGTTTAAAGCTCACAAGATCTTCAAAAAAGAAAATTAATACTTAATTCAAGTCATTTTCATCTTGATATTAAGTTTTTGCAGTGTGTCCAAAACCAAGGAGCTCGTGTCCTCTGAGAGTCTGAGTCTGAGCACAGAGGAGCAGGTGGAGGCCTTCAGATACACGGGGGTTCTGTTGGACACTCACATGGCCTTCAGCACAGACATGCACAGCCGTCTCTTCCTACTCAGGAGGCTGAGGCCCACGCATTTTTTACTGTCTACAAATCATCACTGAGTCAGCCGTCTCCAGGTTCATATTTACTGTAAACTGACTGGCCAGAGCCAACAAAAAAAGTGGAAAAAAACAGGAAGAAAAGAATTATTTCAGCTGACACTTCCAACGCAAGCTTCTAAGGTTTTAGAGGTTGTTTTTAAAAGTACAGTGTGTAACCTTCAGGAGATGGCATGTCACCTGCATGATTTAATGGAAACAAAAAGTTAAAACCATACTTCAGAACATTCTCCTTGAAGATAGAGACTTCTTATGCAATACTGTGACTGTTATAGCAAAATGAGTAAAGTTTGTGAAGATGCAAGACTGCTCAGAGGAAGAATCCATATTTTTAGAACATTAAACATGACCAAACATGCTTTTATTTTTGTTTATTTTATGGTTAAAAGGTTACATATACATACTTTAAATATGCTATGGATGTATACTTGGTGCACACCTCAGAGTCTGTGTAAAAGTGCTTGTTTTTACAGTGCACGGCTACTCCTCCAGAAGCATCTCACACCTCGTCTCGGAAACACATTGACAACATAGATGAGACTGGACTGGAATTCCTGCCTGTCTGTTCCTACTTTAGCTTTAACACCACCGTGCGTTTGAACAGAGCCTGTCTGATCCCACTCCACAACAAAGTCATCAGGCTGTCCTTCTCTCTCTCACACTCACACACGCACCGCACATGCACGCAACTATTCACACTTAACACAGGCACGGTGCACAGAGCCAGGCCTATATGAAACAGGACAGCACTCAGAAAAGGAATGTCGAGCCTTGTTTAAAGGTCCTGTATTACACAATACAGATTCCTGTGAGCTGTAAGCCATGTTAGAATGTTGCTACCTCCTCAAAAACATATCTGGAATTGTGTTTTGTTTCATTCACATGTGTTAGAGTAAAGTCTTTGTGCCATTTGTTCTTTTGAATTTCAATTAAGAATGAAAAACAATAAAATGGGAAAACAGTTTGTCATTTCATTATTCCCCTTTAGTGTAAAAAAAAACAAAAAACAAAAACAAACGATTGCTGTTTCCAGTATTTAATTTAAAGTTTATTTCAAAAAACAGTCTCGGTGCCTATTTCAATTTTGATATTTTATTCTCTCTGGTTTATATGTCCCAGAAGTTCTGCTGCTAGAAAGTAATAAAATAACAACATTAAAAGAGGCACCAATACTGTTTTTTTCTGGTTGGTGTTATTTAAAATAAACTTTAAATTATTAGATGGGATATTTGAAATAGAGGTTGAAATCTGTTTTTTGTCTGACACTAAAACAGAGTAATGAAATAACAAACTGTTTTCCCATTTTATTATTTTTCGTTCTTAATTGAAATTCTAAAGAACGAATGGTACACAGACTGAGTAACTCTTTATTATTATCTGTCTACATCTCCAAAGCTCAAAAGGCTCTGTCCCTTCCACATTGTGATGAGTTTAGTAAATTCAAGGCTGAAATTATCCAAATGATTCTAGTGAAGGTGTATGGATTTTAAAAACACAGTGGAGCACTTCCTGTATTAACACATGACATCACAAGGCGATGCTTGTTTTCTGTTTGAGAGAAGAACAGGAGGGATTGTGTATTAAACATGTGATGTGTGTTTGTGAGGTGAAAACAACTTTATAACACAGATCAGAAAATGGTGTAAAATGGGGCAGTTCTGAATTTTGGACATAGGACCTCATTTCCTAGTGAGCCAGAGTGTTGGAGACGTGAGGAGGCACTTTTTAAAATATTCCATCCAGTCCTTGTATTTGCAGAGGTCGCTGGTGCTAGGCTAGTGCATGTCAGTGGCCATAGTTATCCTGCCACTAAAAATAGTTTTACCCACTCCACAAAACACCTGAAACAAATCTATTATTACACCAGACTATCCATGTAAATGTCTGTGTCAATTGAATAATGTTTGAAATAAAACTAACCTTGTATCACATGAATCATCGCATGTTGAGGGACTATTTTCTCATATATCAGTCCGCCACTGCCGAGCTTTCTATCAGGAAGTACAACTCGCTGCTGCTGCTCAGACATAAATCCTTCAAATGCAAGATTGGTTTTACTTCTAAAATTATTCTATCGACACAGACATTTACATCGACAGTCTGGCGTAATAATAGATTTGTTTCGGGTGTTTTGTGGAGTGGGTAAGACTGTTTTTAGTGTCAGGATAACTATGGCCATTAACATGCACTAGCCTAGTACCAGTGACATCTGCAAATACAGGGACTGGATGGAATATTTAAAAAAGTGTCTCCACACGTCTCCAACACTCTGGTTCACTAGGAAATGAGGTCCTATGTCCAAAATTCAGAACTGTCCCTTTAAGTATATTTGTTCTAATATTTATTCATCTAGATTTTTGAGTGTCTTCTTTTCTCTTGCTGTTCTTAAACTGTGCTTTGCAACCCTGGAATTTCCCCATTGTGAGCTTATCTTATCCTATGTTATTAGTTAATATGACATACAACTTTTGGTTTCATTATGTTTCTGACTTGTTCCAAAGTTAATAATTAACTCCTGAATACTCACAGCTACTGAATTAAAACTATTTTAAAGGTGGATCGCATATCCATTTTAATGTTTGTCTACATGGAGATGTATGGAAAATAATTTGTTTCATCAGATTTAGAATTTTAAACACTGTTGAATTTCTCATTTTGAATGTTTTAATTCTGAAAAAACATGTTTGAATTATTTTTATTTTTAATTTTAGTTGCTGAAATTTTAAGTGTACATTTTCAAAAGGTTTAAAATTCAAAAAAAATAAAAAAATCACCTTTTAACTATTGCACACAAATATTTTCAAGCTCTCAAATTCAACAGTCAAAATTCAGAGTGTCAAATTCGCAGTGAAAAAAAATTGCAGGAAAGATCCAAGATGCGAAGGCCAAAGCAATCGATCCAAAGTGATCCGATTTAACTAAAATTCAGAATACAAATAGTTCAGTTCTTTTTTCAGAGTTATAAAATTCAAAGTGAGAAATTCAGCTGTATTTAAAAGTCCAAATCTGATGGAACAAATTATCTTCCACGGAGACGTTATTGCTTTGATCAAAATGTTTAAAAGTATGGCATTAAAATTATGTATCGCCATGGAGACAAATATACAGGTCTGACATGTAACAAGCCATGTCACAAGTCAGATCTGTGGAGAGACGAGCCCACTCACAGTAGAATGTAAACTCTCATAAATGTTATTTTGAGCACTAATAATCAGACAAAAATTCAGACAAAATACCAAATAATAGCATCTCCATGGAAACAAGTAAAGAGCAGACCTTCTACTAGAAAAGTTATGCCGTGCAACTTAAATTAATCAAAATATTCCTCTTTTTTTTTGCAGTGTGCACATAGTAAAATGCTGACACTTATAATAGACGTGTGGTGTTGAGAGCCAGGCCTGTAGACAGAATGCAGCTGCTTTGATCGCGTTTGTCGTGTCTATTTTAAATGCAGCGCTGTTCTCCTTGACCCCCTGAGTCCAGTATATGCTAATGACAGACAGAATGAGAAACGGTTCTATAAAGGTGAAACTGGCCCAAAGCAAAGTGAAGCATAGAAGGGCAGGACTGAGTAACACCTTTTTTTCATAATTTTGTGACAGAATTATTTAACCTTGGCTTAGTTCATTTCTGTCAGTAGAAAAGTTATAAAACCCACATTATGACATTAAAAAATTAACTCTGCCTTAGAATTTTAAAATATCCACCATGTAACTTTTCTACTGAGTTCGCCGACTTCTTGTCGCCATGGAGATGCTATTGCTTTCCTTGAAGTACAGCACACAAGTTTTATTCAGTTGCAGATGTTGCTGATGTGAGTGAGCTTGTACTTCATGTAACGTGACCTTCATGTCACTCTTGCTCACTCGTTTCCATGGAGATAGATAAGTTTAAAGCCATACTGTGGGTCATTTGAGGCAAAGCAATTACATATCTGGTCAAATTTGACCTCACAAGAACATAACCTATTCATAGGTTTCAGTTTCCCGTTATAGGAGTTTTCATTTCCAAATATAGGTATAATATTTTGTTTTTTAAAAAGTCTAACAATATGGCAATGGTGCTCTTTTCTCATCAGTCTGAAACCCATGGATACGTCTGTGATTAAGTGTGTTCTCCTCGACCCACTGAGCTACAAAATGCTAATGAGTTTCTTTGCCGTGGTTGTTCAAAGGTGAGGCTGACCTAAAAGGAAAGCGTGCTATTACTAAGGGAGACCGACAAGGCCGATTTCAATAAAAAGTGATTCTGCAGACAGAAGCTTGGACGTCACACCCTACGTCAGAGCACATGCACTGAATAACAACAAGAGATAGGCTCCATCCTAACTGAATATAACTAAAGATATCTGTAGGAGTGGTGCAAGACTTCTAGACTTACTTACATGGGGAGGTGTAACTCAGATGGAAAAGGGCACATATTATGCTGCTTTCTGATCTATCTTATAATGTTGTTTCTCATCAAAAACATGAGTTGTGTTTTGTTTCTTTCACACATGTTTATCACACAGATACACTCTATATTTAGGCAAGGAGTTCCTCTTGCAAAACAGTTTCTTCCACCTTGTGATGTCATGTTAATTATTAACTAATTAATTAATTAATCATTGCATTTATATAGCGCCTTTCAAGATACCAAAAGCACTTTACAGTTCATTGTTCATTCACTCCACACTCAGTGGTAGCAAGCTACTTTTGTAGACACTGCTGCCCTGGGGCAGACAATCTGCGCCATCGGCCCCTCCGACCACTACCATCACTCATACACACACCATTTTCATACTAGGCAATGTGGGTGAAGTGTCTTGCCTAAAAACACAACAGTTTTTGCCACTGGTGCCCCGCTGTGGTAGCCAGGCTGACGCCACCTAGTGCCTCCACCCAATTTAATTTCTCTCCAGCGACTAGGTCAGGAATCAGAATACAATAGAAAAACAAAACCCCAGAAGTGCAAGTTTGAGCACCACCCAATCAGCGAAGAACCATACATTCTGTGTTGTCAATGATTCCCGAGATCGAGCATTTAAAGCCGGAACAAAGAGAGTGTTTGGTTAATTTTATCAAGGAGAAAGACGTTATTGTCCTTCTTCCTACAGGATTTGGGAAAAGCTTAATATAACAGTTAGCCCCATTAGCGGCGCATCACATACGTTACGACCAAATCGTAGCAATTGGTTAAATGATTAAAAAAAAAATTCTAACACTGCGAGGTCAGACAGTTTCTACGAAGTGAAACAATGTGAAACCAGCTACTACTGTGGCATCTGTAATTCCCAGTGTTCTCCCATCCAAGTACAGGCCCAGCCTGGCTTAGCTTCTGAGATCTGAGGAAATCAGGCTTTGACAAGCTGGTATGGCCATGTAGTGATACAGGAAATGCTCCAGACATCTCCATACACTTTCACTAGAATCATTTGGATACTTTCAGCCCTGGAATGCCCAGTCTCTGCAACTAAAGGTAAAAGGAGCTGTTAAGTAGAAAACTATCATGACATCACAAGGTGGAACAGAGACGTAGGCAGAATAATAATAAAGGGTTACTCAAATGTGTGAATGAAACAAAACACAACTTGAGGTATGTTTTTGAGGAGGTAACAACATTCTAACAAAATATTACTGAAATAAGAGTAACAGTATGCAGTCAGAAAACTACTCCAGTAATACTCACCTCTGAATTCAAGTGATTTGTAGGTATTTTCATTTTTTGGAAGTGAGCCATTTTCCTATAAGTAGCTCTTGCTTTAAATCTTTTTAAAGAGGTGCGTAAATAGTACAAATATACACACACAAAACACCAGGCTCTAACCTTCCAGGGCAAAGCGAAAGAGGTCAGGGCTGGGGTCGAGGGTGAGGCTGCGTCTGCTTCCTTGGCCACGTCCCTCACGCTCCACTCGTCCAATCAGCATCTGGCAGAAATCTGTGGCCACTTCATTGAGCAGGGGCAGAAAGCGTCGTACGGCTGAGGCCATCATCACCTCCTTGTTGAGCAGCAGGCGGTCGGATCGCCACTCCTCACCATTTCTACAGAAGAGAGGGCCATTTAAAGTTCACCCATAGCTGGCTGATTGTGAGCAAAAGAAAAAACTAGAGTGTGGACTTGGATATACAGGTTTTAGTGCATAGGACAAGTTTAATGTTTTTCTAATTTGGTTTGATGGGATAGTATAGCTGTGGTAAATTTTTATCAAAGATTTACATAAGTCAAGAAAAATACAAAATATAAAAATACAGGGAGTAGCAATAAGTTCTAAAACTAAATATCTATATCATTAACACAGAAGATTCCATCCAAAATGCAGGGACAATTAATGCACAAGAACAACATCTCTCTGGCAGTTAATTTGATGACATTCGATCACCCACTATTATTCGTATTTGAGGGTTATAATGTGATACTAACTTGAGGAAGACCCCCTTGCTGTGCTGTCGGATCTCTCGGTGCGTGGCCCAGGCTGTGAGGGTCATCCTCTGAGGGTGCAGCCCCTCGGAGCGGAACAGCTCACTGATGTCGCCCGGCAATAGGATGTTCACTGTGTTTTGGGTGCCCACGTGTTCTCTGCACAGAGACATGTCATAGACCTTAAATTCACTTGGAACCCCTTCTAGACCCCCATTTAGGCCCACTTTAGATCCCCTTAGACCCCGTTAGCCCCCCCAGTCCCCGCTCTAATGCGTGGTACCTGTAGATGGGTCCCAGCTCCTTGAAGGTCTTCTCCATGTGCTTGTGCAGGTGTCTGAAACGATCCTCTCTCCAGAACTTGAGCAGGTTGACCCAGCCGCTGCGTCCAGTGTGAGGGATCTCCTCAAATCTGCGTACGCGCCCGTCTACACCCCTCCTCCGGACCCCCACAGTCCTCACTGCCCCCTGCTCCACTGCCCCATCCTCCACTGGGCTGGTAGCAGCCAGACTGAAGCCTCTGGGGAGCACCTGTCTGCAGGCCTGTCCCTGAGAGCACCACACCATCACTGGGGAGGACATGCTCCTCTTGGCTCCAGTCCCTCTGTGGACCAGAACTCAGTCAAGTCTGGATCAGGACTGTCTCAGGTCTGGACCAGCCTCAGGTCTGGGCTGCCCCCTCTCAAACCTAAAATCCTTGAACGTGCTCCATCATGTGATGTAAGGACCAATGATTTATGAATCTAAAGTCAAGAGTTCAAGAGAAACACAACAGCACAAATGTAGTTTGAGCCAAAACACTCAACTCCACAGCACGAAAAACAAGTCAAGGACAAAGTTAAAGAGGTTTATTCATTTGTCCTCTGTGGGACACCTGGCTTTGTAACTGTCAATGAGAACGACACAGACATCTCCACAAAGATCCAGTTATATCATGTACAGTAGTGTACACAACACATCATATACAACATTTACATAAACATTAAATGACTTCAAGTTTGTTTTTTTTACACTTTTGAGAATTCCATCAGAGACATCTGTACATCCTCTTGTTGGTAACATTATCACCTGATCATTACATAAAAGGCAAAACAACAGAGAATACAGTTGAAAACATTCAAGTGAGACTACTAAATCCCATTCGTCATAATATTAAATAAACAGTTCTTAAACACATCTCTGATGAGATGACATGACTCTTCTGACTTGAGTGTTGTGGTGACATGACTCTTCTGACTTGAGTGTTGTGGTGACATGACTCCGCTGACTTGAATGAAATCACGTGACTGCAGACTTGGGTCACATGACTCTGCAGCCGTCTGCGCTCGGGCCGCTGGCTCCAATCACTGGGTTGAGGCTGAGACCTTGGAAAGCGCTGAGCAGGTCGAAGCCCTCGTCCTTGGTCTGAGCTTCTGGATAAATAATCTTGGACAGCTCATGAGGCAGTGCCACTTTCCCCCCGAAGGAGCGCAGGTGGTACCAGTCCTGAGGGTCCTGTCCACCAAACATATTAGAGTTTATGCATCTCATCAGATTTGAAATATGAACACTGTTACATTTACAGGTTAAAGTAACCTCAGTACTGGCCAAATGCCTCATAAGTCATTGGTTATGTGGTGACATTAACTGTGAAGACTTGTTTTTTTTTTTTGGTAATGTGTTAAAATATCAGCTAGTCAAAATATTTTAATAACTACACCTTAATTTGCATTAATAAAGTACAAACAAATATCCCAACCCTTACTCCTAACCCTTATTAAGTAGTTATCAGAATCTGTATTTGCTATTTGTACTTAATGAATAATGTCTTTTTTCATGCTTTATTAGGACAGTAAATAAAGTAGAAGTCATTATAAACCAATAAAGATAATAAATAGAATCTGGTCTAATCCAAGGTGAATAAAAATCAAACTCAAAGCATAGGCCCACCTCAGACAGTTGGTATTTCCTCCTGAAGTGTGCTCTCATGGCGGCTCTCTCTGCATTCTTCTGAGCGTTCATGGCTTCCCTCAGTTTCCTGTGAACACAAACACAGCTGACAAACTGCACAATTTTTTCTATATGAGACGTAAACAAACAATGAAACAGGTGCTGCAAAACAAACAGGTTTGAACACTACGGATGTGAGAGATGTGAATGTCACTCATTATTGTACTGACAGTCTGCAGTCACCTTCAGTAAATCACTCAATACTGCTGGTTCAGAAATACTTATATGTTGTCAAATCCAAAGTTAAATAAGTCCCATTGTGCTTGTGCCTCCTACAGTATATAGTTAATCCATGATATCTGTGGTTTATTATGTTATAAATTGCACATTTTAAGTCTCAATATTGATCAACTTAATAAAAGCAATATGTCCACTGACTTCCACGTTAGAAACTATGGTGAAGCTGATATCACTGTAAACTTCATTACAGCAAAGAGTCCTCTATAAATAGCTCTGGATCACGACAGCGAGCAGCAGATTTTTCATTTGTAACAAAATTACTAAACAATGCTGCCAAATGAGTATCACTCATCAAAATAAAACTGGAGAATGAAGTACGTAAGAGCAATGGGGTATACAGGTGGCAGTGAAAACAAGGATTGATCGAACACCAAGTACTCCACTGTTTGTTTTTGTGTTGTGTTGTGTTTTTGATCTTATGAATATCAGTCTTACATTGCTTTTACATTGATCCAAACTGTACTGTAAAATACAATTTTGGATTTAGCACAATCTCTTTTTTGAGTCCGTGTGTACTAAACCTAGTGCCTTGTTAACTGTGCCCTCACCTCTCCTTGTCGAGGTCGGCCTGGTAGGAGCGAGGGGGAGTCTGTCTCAGAGGGTCCTTCCTCCTCCTGGTGCCCGGCCGTCTGTCTCTCCTCGACCTGTGTCCCCAGAAACACAGGCTGATGTCAGTTACATTTACAGTGTGGACAAAACATATAAAACTGTTCTTTATTTAACAGACACATACACTGATGAAATATTGTGTATAATGACTCTGATCTGCTCCATCAGCCCCACCAATCACTCATGCACCCATACTAGGCCATGTGGGTGAAGAGTCTTGCCAAAGGACACAACAACAGTTTTGGCACTGGGACCCCACTGTGGTAACTGAAATTTATAGTGGTCTCCCATCCAGCTTCAGAGAGTTGACAATTACTTGTTGCTGTCTTTACTTCTACATGAATAATTACAATGTAAAGTTACTTTAAAGTAATCCTCTTCTGTTTATTGTCTTCACCTGTGTCCCGAGCAGAGCCTCTTCTCCTCCTGCTTCAGCACACAGCTTGTCAGCTTCCTCATGGGCTTCTGAAAGCACTTCTTCACTTTCACCACTGACTCCATGTGCTCTGTGTAATCAAAGGTGTTCAGAGGAGATGTGCTTGTGTTGTTCTCTGCTCATGTTGTGCTGCTCTGCAGACGTGGATTTGGGTCGAGGGCTGTGGAGAAGACAAAGACACACATAAGATCTTATTATTATTACTTATTATTTTATACAGATTGTATTGTTGGAGTTCAGAACACATCACAACATTTTATTAATATTTTACAGCGAATCATCAACATTCCCTGGGGGTGTGAGGCTAACTGTCAGCACAGTTCTGTCTGAGGCTTTGTTAGACTCTAATTTGAGCTTTGTTTTAACACACACTAACCAGAAAGAGCTGAGTTCACTGAAACTATAAGTGAGATGATTTTTACAGTTAAACAAGTCCTTCTTAAATAATATTACAGTCACAAACGGCATTAGCCAACAGGACCATAACCACCTGTAGTGATCACAGACTCCTGAAAATATGTTGTATGAGTTTTCAGACTATCTTAAACTTTGCTAATGTGTTCATTGTGTCACCATCATAATTGCCACCATACACATTATGTACAACACCCCCAGAGTGACGTCACTGCAGTAGGCCTTCGGTCTTGAGATTGGAAAGCAGTGATATCATAACTATAATTCTGGGTCCAATGGAATTCCTCATTTACTGTAACTCAGTTGTGTCTGATTCTATTCTGCTCATAAGCTTCACACAATATCATTTGGACATTTAAATGTGAACAAAAATAAAAAATGTTATTAGAAAGAAGAGAGACTGATAACAACTGATGATCAAATCTTTTAACAAAGCCGAATCAACCAAAATTGTGAAGAGAGTTCAAGCACTCTGAGCCTTTGAGGCACACTGCACAATTTCATCATTCAGCTTTTAAAAGCTTTTGCTCTTGATTTTTTTTCTTTTTTCACTTAAACCTAAAATCCATATTTTGCTGAGTGAGTCTGTGGAGCTCAGAACAGTTTGGACCGGTCATGTCACACTTTGTAACTCTAGAGGGGGACAGGCAGAATGACCAGTGTTACCCTTCAGAAGCTGTGAAATATAATATGAATGAATATATCTGAATAATGGACATGTGTCAGTTAAAGGTGCACTATGTAACCTTTCCTGGTGAAGGGTCCACTACATGCTTGTATCCACTGGTGCATAGGTTATTTTCCTAGAATGTAACATTAAACTTTATTAAATCTATTGACATCAGATCTGTGGAAAGGCAAGCCTTCTCACAGTAAGATGTTTTTCTGTGTATTTCTGGGCACTGTGTCACCTGCATTAGCCCAGACTAATCAAACAAATGTCTACAGTGACAAGCAGGTGTAACCCAGAAATGTTACACAGTGCATCTTTACATATTATAGGCTTTCAGAATGTGGTGATGTCATCTGAAACTTGACTTGTAAACTGATGACAGAAACTTCACCACTAGTAGCTGAAAATGAAATGCATAAATAAATAAATGAGAACACAAACTCGGTCTTACCCTTACAAGTGTATCCACAGTTGGCCCAGAGCTCAGAGCATAAAATCCAGATAAACCTCGGCGGCAGATGGCCTCCTCACCGAACTGGAGGAACTCTGAGTGAAGGAGCGGCACACACCAGTACACCAGTAGAGATATTGATCCTGTGGCTTTGGCCTCATAGGTTTAAATGAGGAGTTTGTTCACACAGGGAGACTTTGCTGTTTCTCCCTGTATGGACATCGCTGCCTCTCCACCAAACCCCGATTCTGCGCCTCAGATTAGCACCTAAGGGACTTAATGAGGGGAATCTCATTAGCTGCGGCAGGGAATGCACCATGACTCACGTGTCTGATCACAAGCCCAGTGTAGTCATGGTGACGGGCATGTGCCGGTGTATCATGTCATTATTGTTTTCAAACTCTACAAAAAAAACAAAGTATCCTCTAAAAATGCAGAGTTTTGATTTATTTACTAATGGGCCCAGGGTTATGACACGACATTTCAAAGTAATTTGGTGTAAAGGTGTACTATGTCACTTTTCGCCAACAGCTTGTCTGAACGGGAATGGATAAGTTTAATGCCTTACTGTGGAACATTCTAGGCAGAACAATAGCATCATAGGAACAAGCAAACTATCAAAATTTTGCCAAAAAGTTACACAGCTTCAAAATAATCTAGGTAAATGTGCAGTATATCACTTTTCTAGTTAAGGGGCTGCCACCGGCTTGTCTCCATGAGGATAGATAAGTTTAATGCCTTACTGTGGAACATTCTAGGCAAGACAGTAACATTTCCATGGAAACAAGCAAATGACTGACCCTCCACTAACCACATACATTGTTCAATTCAGTCTTAAAGGGAACATATTGTGTAAAATCTACTTTTTAGAGCCTTAAACCAAGTTGTTTGTTTAGCTTCAAATTTACCCTCTTGATGTTTTGAAGCTTGTAGTGTTAAGAATGATTCATGCATGTTTGAGTAATGATTATGTTTAATGTTTATGACTAATATTTATGACAACCTCCATTAAAGGTTGTATAGAGGATTTTTTTTGTTTCAAGTTGTCAATGATAGCATTATAGAGGTGCAGTAGCCTTGTAATTATGATGACCAAAAAAAAGAGAATAAAAATTCATCAACTCTGGACGTGGTGGGGCTAAACATTTGCCAATAGATAACGACACTGCCTCGTTATCTGTTAGCTGACAGGCTGTCAATCAATCTAAACCTACGTTTCTAGCGTAACTGACCTGCCTGCGCGCCGCCGGTACGTGGTTTACGTACGTCTGTCACGCAGTCCACAGACGCAAGACGCACAGACGCTGTTTACTCCACCAACGCAACAGTTCTTAGTGGCTTTTTTTGACCTATATCTTCCTCGCAGTTAGCACAAAGTTTGTTGCAATGGCAGACAAGAATCCAGGAGCAGTTCGCCGCAAAAGAAAGTCCGTTTTTGAGGTCGCTGAAAGAAGAAGACAAGGGGAAAAGCAGCGAAGCCAAACTAAGGTGATTCTTGAAGATTCATTTCAGCGATGGCACGACTGAAGCAGACGCAGGGTCTAAAGACTGATGCATTGGTCGCCAAATTACTCCTGGACAGGTCACTTCTGCTTATTATGAAAACGTACTTTATTTCCAAGAGCTAGTCAAACGTTTTTCAGGACACGAAAGCGATATCCTATGTCTGAAAACTTAATTTTCAAGGCAAAGAAAGAGTCCGCTTGCTGCTGCGTGTTGCTCCGCGCAACCTTCTCTGCACCCTTTCCTGCTCCTCTCCCCGCTGCCCGTTCCGCTCTTCCCCTGCTCCTCACTTCTCCGGGCACGGAATGTCCGCGCACCGCTCCCCTCTCCTCTCCCTGCTCCCTGCTCCGCTCTTCTCCCTGCTCCTCACTTCTCGTCCGTGAACGAAATGTCCGCACACCCGCTCCCCCCGTCCTCACTTCTCCGTCTTGCCTAACCAACACTGTAGTTAGTTGTTTACAAGTCATGTGCAGCGCACCGGCTGTAAACAAACCTGTTTCTGGCGTAAGGAGGAGGCGGGAGAAGGCGTTTCTACGTAGGGAGCTGTAGGGGAGGGGGGGTGGTTTCACGCATGTGCAACATTTGAAAAAGGACAGTCGCTGGATTTCTCGTTCCTTGGAAAATCCTCTATACAACCTTTAACACCACCACAAAACACTCTCAGTGTTCTGTAATTACTTGAATTTATGTATATATTTTGGGCTGGTAGAGATTTACATTTTTATACAATGGAACATATAACATACGTGAAATAATAATAGAAATGGAAATAACCACAACAGTAATGTGCCCAAAAAGAAGTGGGAAGAAGAAAATGTATTTAATCCCACCCCCACTCTTCTAATCTAACAGAATGAGCTATCTTAATTTTATTGGGAGGGTTGCAGAGTCATTTTGTAACAATTGAGAGAGAGAGAGAAAAGTGGTCTGTAGGTAGGGTCAATAGATCCTGTGTCAAGACAGTTTGAGGAGAGTAACAGCCCTCAGGACATAAGTGTCCCTCCTCTCTGCCCTGCTGTGATGCTGCAACCACAGAGGGGCAGTCAGGTGAAAAAATGCCATGATATGTTAAAAACTGAGCTCAAAAAAAACAAAAAAAAAAACCCTCTGTTGCCATGGTTGCATATATTATAGATAAATATTACATAGAGATCCACAGGTGTCATAGATTACTAGATGACTATAATATAAAGTAAAAATTTAAAGAAAATAAAAACCCTCAATGTGCACTTGAAATGAAAAAGAAATATATTGAAATTTGTCAAATAATCTAAGTCTAGTATGAATCTAATTAAAATATTCTGGTTGTATTGTTTTTTTGCAGAGTAATGAGCTAATGCTGTTTTGTTATTTTGCATGTGCTTCCTGTGAGTCCACACTTTAACGCCGCCGTAGCTCCGGATGAACTGATGCCGCAGACAGAAACGGAGGACAGGAAATGAAATGGTGATGAAATGTGACACAAGGGCAGTCTGGGAGAGATTATCCCAAACAACGGAGGAAATTCACTAAACAATAAAAACTGCATGTGCCTTCTGTTTAATCTTGTGTTCAAAATACAGTCTACTATATTACATGACCAAAACCAGAAAGAAAATGTGATAATATTTGTCACTATGGCTTCTTGGTCAAGTTCCTAAAGCATTACTATTGATTGAATGAATAAATGTATTGACTTCTTTTCCCTACAAAACAAATGTAACACATGCAATCTTTGGACTAAGATAAGACAACACAGTTACCTCTGCATATGTGTAAGAAATATGTCCATATTTAAAGTATATATAGTCTAGTACTGTTTTGAGTATAATGTTCTTCATAACATCTACTTTTAGTTTAAAATAGGGTCTGTTAAAAGATGAAGTTTTTTTTGTACGTGCAGGTAAATGTATTTTGTAGAAAACCTCTAGACCTATTGCTGGTTTTGATATGAAATTGCAACATTCATTAGGCCTGGAGATGGAAGACAGGTCCATATTACTGACATCAACATGCAGAGTTTGGTTATAACATGAGTTCTGCTGTCACTTTTATAAGTTAAAATCAAGTTCACAATTTGAAATCTTGGAAATTGCTGATAAAAATACCATAACAAAAGTGAAATGTGTTGTATCCGGCCTTAACTCTTTGCTGCTGTTGCACTTAATGCCTCATTTGCACTTATGACAGTGGCTCAGCTTCTGATGTCCATGTTGTACGTGCACCTGATTTGTGTGAACTGATTTGTGTGTGTGTGCTTGTGTGTTTATACGGCTTTATACTTCTGTGACTGCAATCAGAATTTGCTCTAGGGGATAAATAAAAAATTTGCACATGTTTTTCCAAAGTGGTTTTTAGCTACAAATGGAAAATAAACTATAGCCTGATTCATCATCCGGTTTCACTTCATTGAAACCGCCTGACCTCGCAGCATTAGGATTCGTTCGCTCAATAGTAGGTGGATACTTTTTTTATTTAACCAGTCGCTGCTGTTTGGTCATGAGGTATGTAATGCTAACTGATATATTAAGCTTTTCCCAACTCCTGTAGGAAGATGGGCAATAAAGGGCAAATTTTCCTCTTGATAAAATTCACCAAACATTCTCTTTGTTCCAGCTTTAAATCCTCAATCTCAGGAATCTTTGACAACACAGAATGTATGGCTCTTCACTGATTGGCTGGTGCCCGAACTCGCACTTCTGGGCTTCTTGCAAACCGTCTAGTGTATTCTGATTTCTGACCTAGTCGCTGGAGAGAAATGAAATTGAACGGAGGCACTAGGTAGCGCCAACCTGTCTAAATAAACTAAACCTAAAACCTAAACCTAAGTAAAGTGTTCTGAAAGTAACAGATATAATCAATAGGGGAAACTGCCTCTCCATCTGAAAGTATGACATTATCTAGAATCTGAAAGTCTCCCAGTCATCAAAGTCTGTATCCCTCGTGTCATGTGTGTGAATGACCACCTCCCTGAGACAGGTTTAAGGAGCTCTGTGGTTTAAAGGGGATTAACTCAAGGCCACGCCCCTTTAATAAACAGTCACTGCACTTGAGACCAGTGCATTATCACAGCATTTATCGAAACAGTTTTGGGATGACACTGTTAAAACAACAGGAAAGAATAAATGTGGTTAGGGTCAGTATGTGTCCTAATGTGGACTCTGGGTTTGTTGGTATGTGAGCTTCCCATATGCTCTCATGCAATCCCACCAAACAAGCCACTTAAAAGATTCCCCACTGATGGGCGCAGCACGTGACCCAAGCCTCTCAAGGAGACCACTCATTAACACATAGACACGGCAGGCAAAAAGCTGAATTATTCTCCCAAGACACATTTTCCAATCATTCTACATATATTAAAACATAATCAAGTTTCATTCATGTGCAACTAATGGACTTAAGATGATTTGGTATTTAGTTATGTCATAAAGTGTGCAAAGGTCAGAGGAGGTCAGAGTTCACTGAGGCTTTCACACAAGTGTTTGACTCATGGTGCAGCTTTAGAGTGAAGCAGCTCCACTTAACATGTGATCCATGTGAATGCTCACATGCAGAGAGAGGGTGTGACTCTGGCCCGGGACAGACAGCGGAGATGTCATTCTCACAAAAGGATCCAGTGTCGCTCTGGTTATGAATGACAAGATATTTGAAGGTTGTATAAAAAGTAGTACAATAATGTGAAATAAGATAACACAACGTGGACATCTGAAAGAGCAGAAGGAGCAGAAAAAGCAAGCACACCAGAAGGATGAGCAGAATCCAGTTTGAAATGAATGGGTCAAAATGCACGAAATAGCAATGTCACCTTCTGTTTGGTTCAAAGTCACAAAACAAAACTGAAAACAAAACAGAATCATTATTTCTATAAGAGGCAATATTATTAATAAACAGAATAAATTAGATGGCAACATAGACTCTATTCATGTTGTAAACCAGACTAAAAACCCATCTGTTCAGGATAAATTTTCTCTCTGATTTCATGGTTCATTTTTCTTTTTTGTTTCCAAGGTTAAAATGACTGTTTAGGTTCATGTTAGGCAAGTAGTCATTAAGAGTAAGAGCCAAATGAATGTAAGTTATTGTAACATCCCCCCACAGCATAAAATCATAACGTGTGTGTGGGGAGGAGCTGAGGACAAGGGGAGGGTTACATAAGTATTTAGTAGTAAAACACAGACGGACGGTGCTGTGCCAAGGCTGCCTGTCTGTCCTTGTGTGCAGCTCATTTGTATCATGGGGCAGTTGTTTACAGTCACCAGACAGACCACAGCCCATGTGAAGGATAAGAGATAAAAGATAATCAAACATTTAAGCAGAGGGCTCACACATTTTAACAAAGTCAATTTAATAATAAAAATGTTCATAAAAAAACAAAAGCATTACATTTTACACAGTCCACATTTTACTTAAGTAGTAAACAGTATGCAACTTTCAGGGGGAGGCACATCACCTGCATGATTCCATGGAAATAGAACGATAAAACCATAGGTAGGAACATTCTCCATGGAGAGAGACACGTTTTATGCTGAACAGTGGAAGAGTTTAACCAAAGGAACAGCATTTCCATGGAAACAAGCATAAGGAGGCCCTCCTCCAGACCAAAGAGTCAGTTTTGTGGAGATGCAAGCCCGCTCACAGTAAGGAAGCAATAAATAAAACCAAATTCTATTTGGTTCAAAGTCTGTCTTTGGCTAAAAAGTTATGTAAAGTGGTTTTAAGTATTTTACAGTACCAAGATCTGTGACTGTGTAATCCCTCATTCATCCAGGACTGGTTCAGTATAGAGAAGGTTTCAGCTATGCTCATCTGGACACTGTTTTTGCAATCAAGACACGTCGGGTCCCGTTCAGAAGCCATTTTCAGTTTGATGGTACTGGCCTGAGACACTATGATTTATCCCACTCTAAGTTAAGTAATTCCAGCTCCTCAAGGGAGGAGTTTAAGAGTGAGCTTGTTTACTTGTTAACATCAGCAGGTCTATGTTCATACATTATTCTAACTTACCTACATATAACTTTTTGTAGTGTATAATGTGCAGGGTGGGTGATAGTGCTTCATGGGCTGAGATCACAGCTGTTTCTCCACCCATGGTTCCTTCTCTGGGGCTGAGAGAGGGAGGAGAAGAAGGGATGACTCATGGCGGTGGAGAGGGTGATGCGCTTTGAAGGCTCGTACTCCAGCATCTGCCTCAACAGGTCGAAGAACTGATGGTGCTCGCTGCTCTGTGAGGTCAGGTACTTCTGCAAGAGACAGAAACAGGCATGGTTCAGAATGGGACCTGGTTCATTATCATCTGGTCAAATGCTCTTACTCTGGTTCACCTGCCTTCACCCAAGCACCTGTCCCCACTCTTGCACCTGTCCTCACCTCCACACTAGTCACATGTCCCCTGGTTTACCTGTCTTGGCATCTGACCTTGCTCTTATTCACCTTCCCCATCCTGCTTCACCTGACATCTTGGTTCACGTACTCTCTCTGTATATTACTTGCTCTTGCACCTGTCCTTCTCCTGGTTCACACCCCATCTTGATGCACCTGCCCATGCCCTGGCTCACCTGGTCCTGTTCTGCTAACCTGGCTCTGCCCTTGTTTACCTCCCCGGGCACCTGCCCTCGCTCTGGTTTACCTGCTTTATCACCTCCACTTGGTCCACTTGCTCTTCTTCTAGTCCACCTGCACCCAACCACGGCCCTGCCTCACCTGCCCCAGCCCTGTCTCACCTGCAGCGGTTTGCATTTACTTTTCACATAACGTCCGGCCACAGAGCACTCGTTCCACTCCAGTCGCCCACGGTAAAAATATTGCTTTCTGGTGGAAAACATAAAAAAATTCACTTTACAAAATGCACAGATCAGAGCCGGGACTGATCGATGTCAATGAATTGTCATTTAATGTTCCAGAGTATGGCATTAAACTCTTCTTTTTTCATGGAGACAAGCAGCACAAGTTACAAGTCAGATCTGTGGAGATGCGAGGACGCTCACAGTAACAGTGCATGTTTTTCAAGGCATTTTTAAGCAATCAAATAAAACACTAATTGAATCAATACAAGATGTTTAATGCCATACTGTGGAAAATTCAAGGTTCAGCAATAACATCTACATAGAAACTGGCCCGAGGCAGAGCTTCCACCACAAGGTTACATAGTGCACCTTTAATGGGACTACAGATGGAAACTACCTTTGCAATAAATAAATGATTAAATACCTGCTTCGTCGGATCATCTTCTGAGGCAGCGGGCCGTGAATCCTCTCCATCATTGCCAGATGCTCTTTGTTGTCGTGGGTCTAAAAGTAAACATAAACACATCAATATTTACTATCAGCCTTTAGTCCAATATAGTATTTGTGTAGTAAAATATGACCTGGAAAAGCGTGTATCCTGCGTAGTACTCAAACAATATACAACCAATGCTCCACACGTCACAGGGATGGCCCCAACCCAGACCTGCAGGACACAGGACACAGAGGGGAGAAAACACGACAATCTACTGTGAAATCACCAAATATTTAAGAAGAACTCGACATACAACATCTTTTATATAGATAGACAATTTGTTTCTTTCTATTTTTATTTAATTTTTCTGTTGAACTTGCGTAAGAAACAGCACGGCAACAGAGCAGAGAACACAAGTGAAGGATTTATACATTAAATTAATACACTACTGGTCAAAAGTTTTAGAACACCCAAATTTTTCTAGTTATTTATTGCAGTTCAAGTCGTGCAAGTTCAATGAAGAGCTTGAAATGTTACACAGCTAAATACTAAACAGACAGAGGTTTAAAAAAAAAAAAAAAAAAAAGATAAAAGATAATAAAACACAAGTCCGAGCTCTGCCAAAACTACTTCAGGAGAAAAGAACAAGATGGTGAGTTTGAAAACATGGAGTGTCCAGCACAGTCTCCAGACTTAAACCCCATCGAGCTGGTTTTGGGCTGAACTGGACAGAAGAGTGAAAGCCAAGCAACCTACAAGTGCCACACATTTATGGGAACTTCTGCAACAGACTTGGGAAGAACTTTCTGAAGAATATTTGATTTCTATTGTAAAAAGAACGAGCCACGAGTGTGTTCAGCTGTTATATCTGCCAAAGGTGGACACTTTCATGAATCAAAATTTAGAATATGTTTTGGTCAACAGTAAACATTAAAAAACTGGAAAAAGTGTGGTGTTCTAAAACTTTTTACCTGTAGTGTATGTATTTGGCATAGAAGCTTTAGCTAATTTATCTCAAACATAATTCCAAAGGGTAAACACTTTTTGGTGGAGGGTCTGCCAACTGTTTTTCTCCACAGAGATGATTGTTATGATTGGAATGTTCCACAGTATGGCATATTTCCACAGAAACAAGCAAGCGGGAAAAGCAGGTTAAAGGTTAGATCTGTGGAGAGACCAACCAACTCACATTAAGCATGTGTGTTTTTCAATGTATTTTCATATCAGTATTACATGTAATGTGAAAGATAGGTTTATAGCTATACTGTGTGTAAATTTAGACCAGACCTGGGCACTGTACAGCTCCCGGACCACATACAGTCCTTTGGTTGACTCTGACCAGCCCATTTAAGGTAATTTGGAATTACAAAATAAACATATTTTATAATTTTACCACGGACTAAATCTGCATTGCTTTTATTTTAGAGGGTTTTTTGTAAGGAAACCTCACTTTTTCAATGTTTAGTCATAACATAAACTCCTACCAGTCTTACCAGCTCATCAAAACACTCCTATTTACAAATTTTTATTAAAAAAATATAATTAATATTATGCAGAATTAAGTTAAGCATTTTGGCTTGGCCCTCCACAATATTTTCTGTTTTTCATGTGGCTCCATCGAATAAATAATTGCCATTGTCTTTCTTGCAGTGATTATTCAGATATTGTAAATGTGTAAAAATGAACCAGTCTATCTGAAATGAACTAATCCCTGAGACTAGATCCCCATATCTCCCCTAAAGTTTAAAGCTCCAGCACATGCACTGACCCAGGATGACCTCTGGGGCGCGGTAGTGGCGGGTGGAGATGATGGAGGAGTGGTGCTCATGGTCAAAGGTGGCGCTCCCAAAGTCAACAAGCCGAACCGTGGTGTCATTTACTCTCTTCTCGTTACATTTCTGAAGAAGCAAGAGACAGAGACAGAGAGGGTGAGGGAGAGAGATAAAAAGAGAAAGAGAAAGAGACAGAGGGGTCATATCATATTACATCTGGCAGCATTTTAAATTACATGACAGCTAGCGATGGCCAGTACATCAGTGCTATTATCATTGTTGGTGATATCAGAGGGTTTTTCCCAGATATCAGTATCTATATTGGTATTCTGAACTTTGATCCAATATTTGGCACGTATATTTTCCCCATGAGTCATTTCATTTCATTTCAGTTTGTCCTCAGTGCATCAGATGTGTCTTTTTAAACAGACTAGTCATGAGTTCAAATGGAACTACAAGAACAATGAAGCTACAAACTTGACTTTATGTTTAAACAAATATGCAACAAATGACTTTATGTTCATAATGTCCCATATAAATACATCAATTATCTTGTCTAGTTCATATCTACAAACCAAGAGCAATTAGTGGATAAAATCTGAATGAGCTGATGTGGTATAGTGAGGTTAATATATCATGACATGTCAATAATAGGGGTGTGCAAAAATACTGAAATATGAATATATCGTATCGGTTAATATAATGATACAGTGTGGATATCGGGCCTGCTGTATCGATATATAGCCAAGACTATTTTTGCTATATTTTACTTAATTATTTTGTTACAGCGCTACAGTTTTGTTGCTTGTTTAGTGGAAGGAAACTCGTTTATGCAACACATTTGATATTTTGATGATTAAAATGGGTGCGGGTTTCATATTCACTTTGCACAAAAAGTGGTTTAACAAAGACTTTTAGTGTCACAGCCATGATTTAGCCTTTATTTTTTATTGAACCGTATTGAATTGATTTGAAATATATCAATACATCATACCAAAAGTGCACTGTATCGAGATATGTATCGTATCGTGGCCTATGTATTGAGATTTGTATTCTATCAGCAACTTCCTAATAATACCCAGCCCCTTAGTCAATAATATAAAAAATATTCATAATTTCGAACTATTTGTACTGAATTGGTGGCCTTTTGTACCTTCTCTGGGTTGTAGAAAACGGAGTACTGAGAGTTCACAAACAGGATGTTCTCTGGCTTCAGGTCTGTGTGGGTCAGCTTGTTGTCATGGAGAACTGCAGCACAGACAGAGAGAATAATAATGAGTAACATTTAGCCAAGTTATGTTGAGAAATTCTGCAACTGGTGAAGTAAAATAATAATAATAATGCATTAGTCTTATATATAGAGCTTTTCCGGACACTCAAGGGCGCTTTACAATTTGGTGCATTATTCATTCATTCCATATCCAGAGGTGGTAAACTACTATTGTAGCCACAGCTGCCCTGGGGCAACACTCACACTCGTACCACTTTCATACGATGCAATGTGGGTGAAGTGTCTTGCCTAAGGACACAATGACAGTTTTTGACACTGTCTCTTTCCACTGGTCTCCCAGGCCCAGCCCTGCTTTGCTTCTGAAATCTGACAAGACCAGGCTTTGACAAGGAGGTTTGGCCACACTGTGCAATTATTGATATTTTGATCAAGAGCGAGAGTTACTGTAATTACCATAGTAACTCTAAAGGTCAATTTGGTTTGTTTTTTGTACTCGAGATCCACATCCAAAGCTCTGTCAGTAAAAGCAGCATTTTAATTAAAGTATGTCCTGTGTGTTTTTAAAATGGCTGAATAAAACTGAATTTAAAACAATAATCAATCGGTCGAGGTGCAACGATATCCAAATCTCTCAAAACAATAATTTCACGATATGGATCTCACGGTATGACATTTATTGCGATATTTTTGAGAGGCTGATATAATTGTAGATAGGACAGGTTTTATTTGCTCTTAAAACACCTTGACAAGATTTTGGTGTGAATTATTACTGTCATAATCCCAAGAATTCAAGTAAAAAACATATTTCTTCATGTTGTCTGCGCTGAAATGAATCATGGGATATGTAGTTCCTGATGTTTATTAACTATTACTACTATAAAAAATGCATTTAAGCAAAGGAACTTGTGAATCGATATATGTAACGCTCCATGGTATTATTGTGAGACTTTTGACGATACAATATCACGATATTTCGGTTACTGTTACATCCCTATCAGTCAATGAGACAAAAAACCTTGATGAATTATTTTTATCGCATCACATTTTTAGTCCGTCTCCCTCTCCAGACCTGAGACCTCAGTTTCACCCTACGATGTCCTTAGGTGGTAATCTAGGAAAAGCTCCTCCATGTTAATCATAATCCTGGTCACTCAATCTGTCATCTGACAAACTCTAATTTTGTCTCCCAAATAGTTTTGTATTTGACCTGGACTTGATTCCTGGCAGTCCCGCCCACATGCTTATCTTCTCTACTGGATTTTTTTTCTTTACTGCTTTCTTTACAGCTTTTTATTTACACTTTACAATTGAAATTACAAGTAGCGTTAACATTTATTGTTGACAGGGGTTAAAATCCTGATTAGATTCTGTGACGTCATATTTTGATTCAGTGCTTTACTGCAGGGGTGTTAAAACTTTTTTCATCAAGGGCCACATATCTTAAACCCAGATGAAGCAGAGGGCTGATTGAGGGCCATAGACTGGTGCTCAATACAGTGAATAATTGAAATATGTGCATGTTAGAATGAGCCATCAGACTTTATTCATGCTGAGATCCTTAAAACCACACACTAAACATTAAACATTAGCTTTATCAAGGTAGATTTTCAAAAACCTTGCAGTAAAAAGTTAATTAAAAGGTAATTTGGGTCAATTCACCTGGAAGCGTGAGGGCCAAGAAGGGCCACATTTGGCTCACAGGCCATGCTTTTGCTTCAAACACAGACACTTCCGCTGACTCTTCCTATTGGTCATCCACGGTCCAAGTAGGTTTAACCAGTCACAAGGAAATGTGAACTCTCAGAAGCAGCATGACTTTAGTTGCCCCTTAATGACCAATGACTCATTATATACTGTATTTTCCGGGCTATTAGACGCGCTCTTAAGCCTCCAATCCCATCAAAAAACAGTTGGGCGCCCCGCAATCCAGAGCGCCCTATACATGAATACACTCGGGTGTCCCAGTACGACTTCAGTAAACTAGAAAGCCACACCACCTACAGCGCACGCAAACACAGGGAGCAGACAGCGACCACGCAGCGAAAAACACCCGCAGCCACACTCATCACTCCACGCCGACGAGGAACGGAACGGAGGAACGAACCGAAAAAGCGAGTGCAAGCGAGTCACTGCGAACACGCCAACAATCCAGCGGTCACAGACAGCACCCTCCCTACACGCCACAATTGAACAAAGCCCAGAGTCACCGTGAACGCGCCAAACAAAGTCCCACTGACCCATCGAACTGTTGTGTTTTGTTTAAAGTCCGGTGCGATTTATATCTGAAAAAGTTAGAAAATTTACCATTTAATGACAGTGCGCCTTATAATCCAGAGCGCCTAATAGTGCGGAAAATACGGTAATCTGAATGGTGGTCTTGGCAAGAAAAAAATTATAATTATGTAAATTTTGCGTTTTTTTTTTTGCATATCACACTCTTCTATTTCGTCTTCCTAAGCATCCCATAACTCCAGTTGTTAGCACTGGTTAGTTTTACTGGCTTGGGTTTCGCTTTCCTCCATATTTTCCTTTCTATGTGGTTTGGCGTCCTTCTTCACGAGTTTGCAGCAAAGTTTAAGTTAATTCTTTTTAATTAGGTTGATGGTATTTGGGCTGCTGACTCGTGTGTTTACATGCGGCATTTTGAGGAATTTTCACTATTCAAAAGATAGAATATTTAGCCCTCTTTGTTTTTAGCATTCAAACCTATAGTAAGACCCACGGATAGTTATTCAAAACCTCAAAATTGCGATAGGCTGACATGTCATTTTTCATTTGTTACAAGTATCTCTCAGGTTGGGCATTACTTGGTGTGATGGAAACGAATAGGTACATTTTCTTCTGACTCATCTCCTCTTCTTTCTCAAGTCTCTGCCCTACTTTCTCTCTGCAGCAAACACAATCTCAGCCTCAGTGTTTTGACGGCATGTGCTGCAACGATATTTTCCTCAACATAGCAGTCTTAAATCAGTATCATCTTCAGGTTACTGCCACCCTCAAAATATCTGCACGATTCACCGGGTGCCAAATGGGACACTTTGAAATCATCTGTTTAACCGGAGAGAATTTCACGTGTAAGCAAAAAGACTATAAGCGGTTTAATCAGGACACGGTGAGAGCCAACCAGGTATGCAAAGGGATTAAATACATTCAGCTCAAATAGCCACTTTTACGTGCTTACTTTAAACCCGTCATTCTACCTCAGAGGCAGATTGAAAACAGTTTCTAGATGGGAGTCAAAACATCATTTAAAAAACAGTGTCCAGATGACCTTTCACTTTCTACAACACTTTCTACTTATTTAGTTACTTCATGTTCACTTTTTCTTTGAACATCTTCATATTTATGCAGTGGATTGATTTAAATTATAAAAATATAAAAATGATTCACACAATGCATCGTTTTAAATTAATAAAATACATTTCCTGTGGCTAATTTCAGACCCATTGTATTACAAAAGATAATTGTAGCCGTTGATAACATTGGCCTGTACAATTTCTGCTCTATGGGGCACAGCTTTAATGATCATAATAATGTGTAAATAACTTTTCTCAGCAATGAATCTGAATTGAGTTGTGGAGCATGCAGAGGTGTGATATTGGACTTCATTAAAGAGACATTATTATTGCCTGATTAACCAAGCCTGCACACTTTTCCTATACTTTACAAACAAATGCAGTCTGGAACCTGAGTTAGCCATACAGAGTCATGAATGATCCAACCATCTCATAACAAACAGGTTAGTAGAAAATAAAATAAAAAATAAAAATCATATTACAGAGGACTGACTCCACTTAGTGCCTCTGCTCAATTTCATTTCTCTCCAGCGACTAGGTCAGGAATCGGAATACACTAGACGGTTTACAAAAACCCCGGAAGTTGTAGACCGCACAGCCGCCAATCAGAGAAAAGCTGAGAAGCCATGATGTCAAACTCAAGCGTCTGTCTGGGTCCCTTTTGTGGTACAACACAACAGTAAACAAAGCAGTCGAGATGGATGTAGAGGAAGCCATACATTCTGTGTTGGCAACAATTCCCAAGATTGAGGCTTTAAAGTCGGAACAAAGAGAATGTTTGGTGAATTTTATCAAGGGGAAAGACGTTATTGCCCTTCTTCCTACGGGATTTGGGAAAAGCTTATTATACAAGTTAGTCCCGTTAGTGGTGCTTTACATACGTCATGACCAAATAGCAGCAATTGGTTAAATAAAAAACTACCCACCTACTGTCGAGCAAACAAATCCTAATGCTGCAAGGTCAGACAGTTTCCACGAAGTGAAACTGGCTGATGAATCTGGCAAACAGAGAACTGAGAAATGTCATAGAAAAACCAAAACCAATGGGTGACATGTCGGTAGTGAAATCAATCAGAATGTGCATTCATACCAGATCTAATAGATGTATTTATTCTAAAAAGATGATTTTTTTTTAGACCTGATTTACAGTTTTTGGATCTTCCGATCACTGCATATATAAATGGACATAACTAACACCCTAGCTGCCGTATACCAAATAGGAAGTTTGTATGCACTCATCATTTTGGTCTTAAAATGTTCATATTAACCTGCTCTACATGATCTTGGTATTTTTTGTTTCCATTATTTTCTCCATTAGAAAATCCTATTCATAATATAGCCTGGCTCCATATTTGCCCCTATAGAGAGAGTGGAGCCGAACACTATGGGTGACGTCACACTCACTTAGTCCACTTGTATATGACATATGCTTCCTATCAGTGGAAGCAGGGAAACACTACAGCACCATCTGCAATCAGAATTCTTAAGAACACTAACCTAAGTGTGTGAGAGTAGAAATGAACCTCGCGGGACAATAAGCCATGAATTCAAATGACAAGACACGTCACAGCAACATCGCATGACTTGCCCGGGATCCAGAATACACACTTCTTTACTTTAAGAAGATGTGAGTCTGATCAGTGCGGAGTTTACCTGAGTTCTGAGTGTGATTGACAGGTGGAATAGCCAGTCAGGGAAAAGCATAGTCCATCCAAATCAAAACGATTTATGGCTGCTTAAAAATATCAGATGGGACTGAAAAATAGATTCAAAGATTTCCGCAAAATCCATAAATGAAGCACTAATTTCTGTTATCTGAGAGAGGAATCTGATTTTGTTTGTAAGTGATCGGTGACCAATAAGCTCTTTTGTTTTACACGCGCCACTGAAAAAAAAAAAAAACCTGACTGCACAAACGTAGCTTTGGGATCAGACTGATATCAATCTGCAAAAGAAATACATAGATATAATTCACCAGGCAATCACATGATCGCTCTAAGACTCTGAGTGAGAAGTTAAAACTGTCAGGTATGAAAAGCAAACAAACTGGTCAGAAAAAATAAGACAAACAAAATAAGACAAACCTATATAAATGTACAATGTCGTATAGTGGACTCACAGTTGACAGCGTAGCAGATCTGGTGGGCCATGTGCCGGATTTGGCTGAGTGGATATGGACTGAAGTTGTTGTTTTTGAGGAAGTCGAAGGTGCTCAGAGACAAAAGCTCAAAGGAGATGCACATGTGTCCGAAATAATCAAACCAGCCCAGCATCTGCACACAGTGACTGCACAAAGATAACAGACATGAATCTATTGATGTGCAAATTTCAGATGAAGGGCAGCAGCTTGTAGACATAAATATATTCTATTCTGTTTGTAATTAACTGTATTAGACTGCATGGACTTATCAATCGTTTATTAATTAATAGTTGCACTTATATAGCACCTTCAAAGCTTTACAGTGCATTATTCATTCACTCCACATGTGGTGGTGGTAAAATACTATTGTAGATGTGGAATTACCTCTACATATGTCATATTTGCTGCCCATGTTCAACTACAAAGCAAAATTATAAGCATTATTAGGTTCTTTTTTCAGACCAAGAGTTTGTTTTCATACCTGACAGTTTCGACTGGTCTCTAGCGGCCGTCCTCAGAGTGGTTACGTGATGTTGCTGCGACGTGTCTGCTCAGCTGATTTAAACAGGTTTTGGCGCCGTCTTCTTGCTGGTGCAGGCAGGACGACAGCGCCATCTGCAGTCCGACTTCCTCAGGACAGTATCCCAGGTGTGTGAGAGTAGAAAAGCCCCCCTGTTCTGGTTTATAGACCCATGGGCACGTGGGCACATGTCCTGAGGAAGTTGGACTGCAGATGGCGTTGTCCTGCCTCCACCCATAGGAAGACAGCGCGAAAACCACGTCACACGCACAGCAACATCACGTGACCACTCTTAGGAAGACCGCTAGGGAGCAATCAAAACTGTCAGGTATGAAAACAAACTCTTGAACTCCTAATAACATAAAATATCAGACGACCAAATTAACCTCGTTGGACCAAAATTATAAACTCCAAAAATGAAGAGACTAGAAAAAATATGCAAGATTTTTTGTCAAATCTTCAATATAAAGATGATAATTATGTTTTAGTGAGCTGGTGTTGGTCTTTTAGTCTAATCTGTCATATGCACTTTAAACAGGGTCAACATTTCATTTGATTAGTGCACAGAAATGGACACATAGATAGACAGAACGACTCACTGCTCGTTGTGTGGGTCCCTCTCAATGATTTTCTCCAGCACATTGATTTCGAGCTTGGCTGCTTCTCTGTATTTCTCCAGGTTCTTAATGATTTTCAGAGCGACAAACCGCCCACCTCTGCATTGAAAGACAGAGTTCAGAAGAGTCAATATTTAGCACGCTCTTGTAGCTTTCCTTTTAGCAAGTAGAAATTTACCTGTCATGATCTAAACAATGGACCACCTTTCCGAATGTGCCCTCACCTAAAGTGTTCAATATTTCATCTGGAAAACAAAATGAAACTTAGGCTATATTTAGTCACAAAATAAGCACTTCTTTAGAGTTTATATCACAATTTAAATTTAGCCATGACTGAAATACACCTGTAGCCTTTTATTGCCTTTAAGAGGTCATTCTTCAGATATACCACTGGTTTACCAACTTTCACATTACATGGTCACAAAGATTCAGTGCTATAATTAATAATACTATAATAATTTGAAATCATATAGTACCGTAGTTATTTATGTTTATATTCTGTGTTTAGGTCCTCAAGCCCATTACAAAATGTTGAATGAGCTCCTCGCTTTAGGTTGCCAGATCATTGTTGTCAGGCAATTTAAAACAGTTTTTAAAGGGACAGTCTGGAGTTTTGGACAGAGGACCTCATTTCCTAGTGAGCCAGAGTGTTGGAGACGTGTGGAGACACTTTTTAAATATTCCATCCAGTCCTTGTATTTGCAGAGGTCACTGGTGCTAGGCTCGTGCATGTCAATGGCCATAGTTATCCTGCTACTAAAAACAGTCTTACCCACTCCACAAAACACACGAAGCAAATCTATTATTACATCAGACTGTCCATGTAAATGTCTGTGTTGATAGAATAATTGCATGATGCCTTGCATCGCATGAATCATCACATGTTGAGGGACTAGTTTCTCAGCAGCAGGGGATTTTTACTTTGCCGGTAAGATAGGTGCTTAGGTGATATCAGTCCGCCGCTGCCAAGCTTTTTATCAGGAATTACAACTCACTGCTGCTGCTCAGCCATAAATCCTTCAAATACAAGGTTGGTTTTACTTCTAAAATTATTCTGTCAACACAGACATTTACATCAACAGTCTGGTGTAATAACAGATTTGCTTCGGGTGTTTTGTGAAGTGGGTAAGACTGTTTTTAGTCGCAGGATAACTATGGCCATTGACATGCACTAGCCTAGCACCAACAACCTCTGCAAACACAAGGACTGGATGGAATATTTTAAAAAGTGTCTCCACACGTCTCCAACACTCTGGCTCACTAGGAAATGAGGTCCTATGTCCAAAATTCCAAACTGTCCCTTTAATAAACCCAAAAGGGCCCTCGGTATGTTCTCAGTATATGATCACAAATGGCCTCCCAAGTTGAGTTGTTGCATTGTAACTAAATTGGAGTAAATATTTAGACAACAACAACCCCAATAACCCATAAAAATCATAAATATCTTTTTAATGAGACACGTACATCTGTCTTGGAGGACGTCCCCTCTGCTGTAAATCAGGTGGCCATTTTCTGCCTTTCTCTTGCTGTTCACTCCAGATTCACTCCTGTCCTTCTACAAGTTCACCATCAACAAGGGTCAAAGTTCAGAGACGCAGAGACAGGAGGTCAGCAGGTCAAAATGCCTTTCTAAAGAACTGTAGAGGTCAACAGCAGTAAAGCTTAACTTTGAATCACATAAATATTACTTCAAATTGACATGCCGCATCAACAAAACTCATTTTCATTTTCACATTATCTGAAGCACTAAATAAAAAAAAATATTTAAGGGATGAGCACATTTCTTTTGTCTTAAATTCTTAATGCATTATTTTCTTGTATGGTCTTGTCCATTAGTCTTTTATATTTTGATCTGTGTTCTCTCTACATAATTGAAAACTAATCCTCAGTGTTCTTTTGAGATAAAACGGAGCTCAACAGTGAACGCCCACCCGATGGTTCTGGAACAAAATTTCTCATTAATTTTTTCCAAAGACGTTAGAAACTTGCTCAGGCATAATCAGCTACTTGGTGACTAATGATCAAAAGACCTATCATTTTATTTAAAATCTAAAATCTTAAAAGTTTCTGAAACGTTACAAACTGCAAAATTATTAAAGCATTTCATCAAGTCTATGGGAAATATTAATGGAAAATGTACTTTCGGAACAGGAGTGAGCGCTCATTGTTGAAAAAGGGCAAAGAAAATGAAACCTGAAAGAATATTTTACTGGCAAGCAGATGGACAGAAAAAATATGATTCGATAAATGTTTTAAGGGTCTGTTCAACGTGCATTTGATTTCAGAAAATGTAAAAGCATTTGAGAGAAAACTGAACAAAGAACTGCTAAAATAAGAATCCCATGCATTTCAGAACATGTTTGTAGAAGTCTAACCCACAGAAATAGCTGCTTCTACACAGGGTAATTTCATATTTTGAAGTGATCTTTCTACTTGCAAATTGTGGTCAAATTGCAACTTCAGTTCAATTAATCTCGCAGCGATAAACTGATTTAACTGAACTGTGATTCCTCCAAATAAATAGAGAATTTTGTCAGGCTTTGTTGGCTTGTCAGTTGCGCTGTTGCATAAATAAAGCTTTTCACATTCAAACTGTCATCATATTTTCACCAATATTTTTCATATGCATTCCTTAATTCTTGCTGCAAAATTATTTTTACATAAGAACTTGGGTATTGGTTTCTATGGGGGTTAATGAGAAATGTCAAGTAACTGTGAGCTTGTGTGGAGGTTCTATTTCCATCCACGTTCTGAGCCTGTTATTAATATCAGAAGCCCAGCATGTGCCGACACTTACTGCAAAGTAGCCACAAAATACAGCGCTCGAGTGCAAGAAGTGAGGCATGCGCTGATTGAAAATGCACTCTTGGATTGATTTCCCACTTTTGTACAACATCATGTCAGTGTCAGCAGAGCGTCAAGATGCTACAATCAGCAGTTAAAGGGCATATGACTACTCTGCCCTCTCTATATACGGAACAGGTGACAGATATGACAAAAGATATGAATAAATTACACCAACTTGACTTTGTTAAATGAAGGTTTAAACTGTCAGAAAAATGTCTTCCTTGTGCGTAAATTGTCTGTACTTGGGACGAAATTTTCAGTGTTGTTAGTTTTACAACTTTCCGTTACAACCTGTGTTTTTGTATTTTTCTTCTCAGCCTTTTCCCCCCACAAGCTGTTACTTAACTGATGTAAAACTATGCTAAATGTTTTTTACAGTCCAGGGTTCCCATTGTTTTTCACTGAGAAAACTTCCAAACTTTTCCATGACTTTTTCATGATCTAAAGTGAAATTTCCATGACTTTACAGCACCCACATGTGTAGAATTGATCAGACTTTTAGGGCTAGATATGAAATGTTAACCCTTTCCACTCACTTTATGGTTTGGTATTATAGTTTTTTAACATTTAAAATACTGTCAGTGCATTTATTGTCATCTCTTTTAAACAAAAAGTGCACACGTTTCAGAAATAATCATAATAGCCTAATGAGAGCTTCACAGAACACTGTAGTTGCGTGAAAGAGATACTAAAATTTCATGACCTTTCCAAAACTTTCCTTGAATTTACAAGATTCCGTGACTTTTCCAGGGCTGGAAAAAGGCATTTGCAATTTCCATGACTTTTTCAGCATTTCCATAACTGTGGGAACCCTGTGTTTAAGAACTTTGCGCTACTACTTGCATTTTTGTATTTTTCTTCTCAGCCGTTTTCCCCCACAAGCTGATGTAAAATTTAGTCACTATCACACCAAACCAAGTGATAATTAGAAACACATGAAAACATATCCACTTTAAGCGTGCAGGGGGAAATGGTGTATGGTACTTACAGGAATACAAATGCAGAGGCAGTCCACAAAAGCCTTGTAAAGAGAGAATAGCTCTGTCTTTCCCATTGTGTAGAAGTGATGGGCCTCTCAAAGCGGACCAGACCTGAAGGGGAAGAGGATGAGGTAGACAGGGACTTCAGGAAGACACAGCAGCTAGAAGAATAGAACAGGACAATGCAATATTAAAGTCACTGAAAATAACAGCACCCAGGATTCTAGCAAGCCAAAAAATACCCTGTAATAATTCTGTTCAGAAAATAAAAAAAGTAAAAATAACAGAAATCAGTTCACAAGGCACATTTTAAGCGTGTCGATTTTGAGAAGACTGGAGTATTACCTGCTAAACTAACACAAGAATCACATAGATTTCAGAGCATGTTTGTAGACGTTTAAACTACAACATAGTTCAGAAAATAAAATAAAAACTGAAAAAATATTAACAATAAAGGAGTAAGCGAGCAAGCATGGTTAGAAAGTTCACTGCAACTGCATGTGAGAGAGACGGGGTATAAACAGGACTAGGGGAAAAGGATATAAGAAACATAGACACGCTAAGAATAACTCCAGTCCCAACCCCCCTGAGAAAGTCCTCAGGAGGATCGAGATGTGGACCGACCAAAGAGGACGAGGAGGAGGGCAGATCCAGTTTCAGTCCACTCACTTACCTCCTTAACCCCTCCACGGTATGTTATGCCACACCTGTCCGTCTCAGCATTCTGCGCATACTCTTCAATATACAGGCCCACACTTTGATTACAGGAATAACCCACAGCGACGCTCATAAAAAGATTTTATTTAGAAGTTTATGTGGCTGTCTGCACTTTGTAACATCAGCTGACAAACATATTTTAAATTGTAAAAAAACTGATTGTAAAATGCCTCATGCAGTTTTTAAAATGCCTTACAGAGTTTTGGGATATTTAGATTGCACTAACAGCATTGATCAATAAACAGGGTTCCCACTTTTTCACTGAGAAAATTTCAATACTTTTCCATGACCTTTTCACAACTTAAAGTGAATTTTCCATGACTTTACGGCACCCTGCATGTGGAGAATTTATCATACTTTTAGGGCTAAATATGAAATGTTAACCCTTTCCACTCACCTTATGGTTTGGTATGATAGTTTTTTAACATTCAAAATACTGTCATTTATTGTCGTCTCTTTTAAACAAAAGGCTTATACGTTCGGAAATAATAATAACCTAATGATAACTTAACAGAACGCTGTAGCTGAGTGAAAGAGATACTAAAATTCCATGACATTTCCAAAACTTTCATTGAATTTACAAAATTCCATGACTTTCTCAACCCTGAAAAATGACATTTTCAATTTCCATGACTTTTCCCAGGATTTCCATGACCGTAGAAACCCTGAATAAAGCATGTTCAGGGAGCCATGTTAGAACGTTATTAACTAACTTAAACAAAACACGGCAGGTATGTTTGTGGCAGGAAATAATATTATAACAGAGATCAGAAAAAAGTTTAATATTTGATCTTTAACCATAACTTCTGAACATAGTAAAAATATGTGAAAAATCCCTCAGTCGTGCAGGTAGAATCCAGACAAAAGTTTATTTGGTTGAAAACGTTTGACAACTCATCCAAGCTGCTTTTCACTTCATGAAGTGGATTCTACCTGGATGACTGAGGGATTTTTCACACATCTTGAGAACATTGTAAAAATAATTTGAACAATTCATTAAGTTCTTCTTTACACAAGCTGCACTAGTCGCTGAAATCTGGTAAAATACAGACAACCCATTTCCCCAGGGGCAACAAAAAAAAAAATCTTAACCATAACTTTTAAATACACTGGAAACGGTTTGTAAAATTCATTATGCGCTGTTCATTATGACAGTTTTGTGACATGGGAAATGTAGGTTACACCAGCAGATCTGGGTCAAATGCAGAGAATCCATTTCCCCACACAAATCAATAAAGAATATTTCATGTCATATGTAGTATTTGTAAAATTCATTAGGCAATCTAGAACAATTTTTAAGAAAATCTGTAGTAACATCAGATTTTTTGATTAAAACATGGGTCAAATGCAGTGAACAAGTTTCCCCACCCAGATCAAGAAAGCATTACATTAAATACATTAAAAGTAGTACAAAACAGCTTCAGTTTTTGTCAAATTTCTCATGCGTGAAAAGTTAGAACAGGTTAACAATGCCAAAATCTATATGAATTTGAAACAGTGTTAGGTAATGTATGTGTTAAATTAAAATAACAAATTCCGTTAAAATGCATAAAAAATAGTAGAAAACAGCTTTAGAACAAAATACAGACGACTAGAGCGACCCTGAACAGGCTGATAGCAAGATGTCACCATACGGCGCTGTCTGCTCCGCCTGCAGTTTCCCGAAAGATAAATCCTCTGCAAAATAAACACATCACAAAGAAGGATTACAGCAAAATTCAGATGGAAAAAAATAAACAAATAAATACAACCGCATACAGGAGCAGACATATTTGCATAAAAAACATATTCTAAAGCAGCTTAGCAGCAAAGAAATTCAATTCACTTCAGTTCTATAACGCGTTTATACTCCTGACCGTGCAGTTTATATTTATGCACTGATTGGCTTGTAAATGCACTGAGTGTGTGTGAAACAGTGTGGTTTGATAGTGGGACTGTTTTAAAAGTCCTATATTACACAAAACTGACTCTTGTGAGCGTTAAGCCATGTTATAATTAGGGGTGTCAAATTATCGCGTTAATTGCGATTAATTAATTACAGTCATATTTAGCGCGTTATGTTTTTTAATCGCGTTAATCTCATTTTTAATCTCTAACTTTAGTGTTTCTGTATGTGAGTTTCTTTATTATAAAACCTGTTTTTTATGTGTTGTTGGGACAACAACACACACACACACAAAACACATTTATAACATTTTTTATTTCGGTAATTCCACTCATTGCCGGAAAACCACACAAAACGCGCGCAGTAAGGAGCGATGTAAACGTCATGTTAACGTTGGCGGCGTCAGTCGCACAATGGACGAGGTCGAAGAGCCAGTAGAACAGAGTCAGCAGTGCACAGGTAAAAACACATTCGTGTCTTGGAAATTATTCTCCCGACGTGAAATATAAAAGAAAATAACAAATATAATATCGCCTGAAAACAACCTGCATAGACTCATGATGTCTGCACTACTGTCCTATAGTGACCTGCCACATGAGGGGACACACACACACACAACACACACACACAAACACACACACACACAAACACACACCTTCATCATCGTCATTAACCTGAGAACGCGCGGACCACGTTTCCTTCCGTAGACACTGCGCGGACACCGACGTGCTCCTGTGAGCCGCGTGTGGATCGTGTTTTCTCGCGTACGCGGCGTAAACCCGCGCTTCCTCCTGTGCGCCTCTAAACCAGAACTAACACCAAGACTAAAACCAGGACTAATCCAGTCCAGGACTAAAACCAGGTCTAAACCAGGTCTAAACCAGGACTAAACCAGGACTAAACCAGAACTAAAACCAGGACTAAACCAGGACTAAACCAGGACTAAACCAGAACTAAAACCAGAACTAAACCAGGACTAAACCAGACTAAACCAGGTCTAAACCAGGTCTAAACCAGGTCTAAACCAGGTCTAAACCAAACCAGGTCTAAACCAGGACTAAACCAGGTAAACCAAACTAAACCAGGACTAAACCAGGACTAAACCAGTTAAACCAGGTCTAAACCAGGTCTAAACCAGGTCTAAACCAGGACTAACACCAGGACTAACACCAGGACTAAACCAGGACTAAACCAGGACTAAACCAGAACTAACACCAGGACTAAAACCAGGATTAATCCATTCCAGGACTAAACTAGGACTAAAGTAGGTCTAAACCAGGTCTAAACCAGGACTAAAACCAGTGATCTCATATATAAAGCATTTCTCTATCAATAATATTTTTAATATGGTTAAGGAAAGACTGGACTTTTTATTGTCTTTAAGTAGACAAAAGTTATTATGTTCAGATTTCCTCGTCTTTGCTACTTTACAACAAACAGTTTCTTATTCATGGAGACTTGGGCTCAACAGCCAAATTGGAGAGATTTGTAAAACAATAAATGACTTTATAAAGTCACATTTTTAAATCTATATCAGTCTTTTGATCTGCCACAATAATGTAATAATGAATTTAAATGAAAATACCTCAGATTGAAGGCTTTTCTCAGCAATTTTTAGGTGAGATTAAAATGAGATTAATTAGATTAATTAATTACAGATCATAATTAATTAATCTCTCAATTTTTTTAATCGCATGACAGCACTAGTTATAATGTTGTTACTTCATCAAAAACAGACCTGGAGTTGTGTTTTTTTCATTCACATGTTTGAGTAAAAGTTTATTATTAGTCTCTCAACATTTCCAAAGCTCAAAATGCTCTGTTCCACCTTGTGATGTCATGCAGTGGTTGTTAACAGCTACCTTTTTACCTTCTGTTTGGTAGAGATGAAAATTCAAGGGCTGAAATTTTAAAAACATAGTGGTGCACTTCTTGTATTACCACATGACATGAGGGTTTGCAATTGGAGACTCTCAAGGATTTGTGCATTAAACATGTGAATGAAACAAAACACAACTCCAGGTACATTTGTGATGAGGAAAAAAACATTATAATAGACAAAAAAGCAGCATAATAATGGGGCCTCATCTCTTCTATCACATGTACCCAGTGCGATCAGTGGGGAAATGATGAAAACTGAGGAATGGTTGTAATTGTTGATTAATCGAACATAACGGAACGCTAAAATGACATTTAGATGAAAAAAACTGCACCTGGGAAGTTGTAATCGCATCTTTCCAAACGTCTTCCTGGTTTGTCATGTAAGAGTGAACAGAGCCCATTGTAGGTGCTGCTCTGTCTGAAGCTCTCTTACTTATGTTAGTCATTTATCTGGGTGTTGTTTTAACTCAATCTGACCAGAAAGAACTGACTCTCACTTATATTAATCACAGGCTCCTGAAAATGTGTTGTTTGAATCCATTTTGTATTTTCTTGAGTTTTCAGACAATCTTAAAACTAAGTTAAACATATTACCTTATATTATCTAAATAATAACAATCCCTTACCCAAAAGCTTTGCAAAAAAGTGGCTGACAGTTCTGCGGTCGGCCCCGAGAGGCAGGAGGGACTGGAAAGAAGTGGGACCCTCTTCACGCTCCAGTAACTCCTGCAACAACCTGCAGAGAAAGTCACAGAGCCGCTCCTGAGCCGTGCACACAGGCTTAGGGCAGCGCTGTGGTTTAATACAGGGCTGAGGAGTGACCTCTAACTGACTGACCACAGTCTGACAGTGGTTTAAGGACATTTAGATATTTCAACAGTTACAGTGGAGCAAAATTATGTTGAATCAACATTCTGGAGGGTTTAAAGGTGCCCTATGCAACTTTTCTGGTGATGGTGCTTGGCATGTATTGATGGAGATGTTATTGCTTTCCTGAAATGTTCCATAGTATAGCATTAAACTATAGCTCTACCTTGCATTAATTAAATTGCATTAAAGTACAGATGTTTTAATGCACTGAAAAGCACAACACTCTTATGAGCAGAGTTAACTTTCCTCTCATCAGACTGATACATGTCGCCCTCTGAAAAGAGTCCTACACATCAGTCTGGGATGACTCTCACTGAAGCGTTCAAAACTAATGATCGGAGCGTTCAAACGATTTATCACATTGATTGGGCGACGCTTCAGAACAGCAAAACAAGCTGAAAAATCTAATTTAAAGCCAGCTGAGAGAAAAGCACATGCGTCTTACACGTTCACAAATGCTCAAAGTGTGTCCCTCTGCACATTTTTCAAAAACAAAATAGTCTGTATTCCTGTTGGCATCACCAGGTTTGTTTTGTTTCATTTGGCCACACAAGTGCCTCAGTGCTGCCCTGTGACTGACCACATACAAATGCTTCAGCTGGAGCTGTTCAAGACGGATTCTTGAGAGTTTGTGAACTCACAAAAATCACAAAAATGCATCTTGTTGGTAAGGTTAGAGCAGAGTCGCCTCTCCATAGATCTGACCTGTACCTTGGCCTGGAGGCATCATCTGCATTTCTCCATGGAAACAGATAAGTTAAATGCAGTACTGTTTTTTACAATATAACTGGTGCCAAACAAATGTATTTACTTTATTACATTAAAACAACTGTGTAGAATCACTTTAAATGTAGCTGAACTGAATAGAAGTTAAGTTAATATCTGTTAAAAACTAAATCTAAAACATTTGACCCTTTGACCAACACATAAATGCCGTCTGTATTTATTACCCTTTAGGCCAGTGTTAATGTCAAGTGCTGGTTAAAGGTCTTACGAGGGGGAGGGCTGCAGGGGCCCACCCACAGCCTCAGCGGCCTCCTCTGGGATGTCCTGCAGCACTGACACGGACCTGGACACGGCCGATCTGACAGAAACAGAAAAGTCATGTACCACCAGAGAAGACCCCCAGACAGCTGGAGCGCTCAGCCCACCTACCCCTCTTTGTCCGGGGTGAACATGGGCGAGATCTCCCTGGAGCCCTCCATATGATCTGAACCCTCCAAGTGCAGAGAAATCACAGCTAGAAGAAGAAATATGGAACAGAAGTTTAGTAATTATTTGCAAATAGCCTGTCAGATATCTATGGATTTCAGAGTGATGAAAGGTTTACCACCGTCACTACAGAAATTAAAGATTCAAGTTCAATATTCTGCCTTTTTGAATGGCTCTCAAAATAGCTCCTATTCATGGGTTTTGCCATCCTGTTTAATGGCACAATTATGAGCACTTTTCACCATTCAAAAGATAAAATATTTTGCTCTGAAATGTTATTCTCATGTAAAAAAAAAACACAATGCCATTTCTTCAACACATATTTAGCTTGAGCCTGCTATATAATTATAATCTATGACGTCCATGTATCTTTATGTTATAATTTCCATATTTTAAGTTTCAGTGAAAGTCGGCGCTGATCAGCAATATGCCATCTTGAAAATAAGTGATTAAAGATTGCTCAAAGATGTATAAATCACTTCAAATACAAGTTCAAGGGGGTAAATAAGAAGGAGGAACAACTCTAACATTTTTCAAAGCTCTGAAAAGTCGATTTTGCATAATATGTCTGCTTTAAAATCTATTAAAATGATTTGAAAATGATCAGGTTAAGTGTGCAAGTAGTATGAAGTATACAGTATAATGAATTCACTGTTTTTATTCTGTGGCCTCATGATGCAACCTAAAGTACTGTTTCTGACTTAGTTTGTCAAAATAAAATGTCAAAACTTGTCAGCATCTGCAGTTTTTTCTTCACCTGACACATCGAGCTGCTCTGCCTCGGCCTCGTCTCTGGGGATCTGCACACACATCATTTGAGTCGTGACATTTTGAGGGATTTATAAATATTCGCCACAGACAAAACAACTGTCCTCACCTCTTTGGAGCTCTCCTCTTGCCTCTCCGCCTCCATCATCTCTCCCCCCTCTCCCTCTCTCTCTGCCCCCTCTCTGTCCTTCTCAGAATCGGTGGACTCAGTTCCCCTCTCTCCGGTCTGGAGGTCCGATCCCGGGACGGGCGTGATGACTGCAGCCCGTCTCCATAGTAACTGCAGCTCCTCGGACACGAGCGCTGGCAGAAAATAGCAATTGGTTTATTTCTGAAAAGGTCACAGGAGTCATGGCCTTTAAACAAGTCAATGAGAAGAGAAAAGGAACCTGAAAATGAGCAACAAAATAATCTTTTCAAAACGCATGGATGTTATAATTGTAATAGCAGAATTAAACATTTTTAATACAATTTATACACATGAGGACTAAATGAACTATAGAGAAATTCTTGATCATAAAACAAATTATTTTATTTTAAATCTGTGATCGAAAAAGTTGTTTTGTTTTCAATATTTCTTTTCTTTTTATTGCATTTTGAGCATGCTCCATAGCCAACTGATGAATAATTAGTTTCTGACAATAATTATTAGTTTGTTGTCCTTTTGAAGACTTAATATTTCTTCCCTACAAGACACTGTTGAGTTGGTTCTGGCAATCTAATTCAAATTTTCTGACAAATACTGCACTTACATTTGCAATTTATATTTATAATTCAGTACATGCATTTCACAACATTTGTAGAGGTTTAAAATGGATGTTGTTTACAGTGGACAATCTCACAAACTCAAAATGAGAGCCAGTTGCGATATATTGTGCAGCTGAACTTCTTAACTGTATCTAAAAAGTGAGTGTGTGAGTGTTGTACATTGTTACTAACAGGTGGAGGCGGCGTTGAGCAGGTCCAGAGCAAAGGACTTGAACAAAGAGGGGCGGGTCAGGAGGGAGGCGGGGGCAGTTTGTGCGTGGGGGTCACTGATCTGCTGCTGCTGCTCCTCCTGAGAGAGTTGAGTGTCCACGTCCATGAAGATGAGCTGCCTCCTCCTCCTCCTGCGCCGCAGCACCTCCTCTGGACTGGAGACTCGCTACAACAGAGCACAAAGAGCCACGAAGTAAATGATACAAACTTAATAATTAGTTGGTTGCAGTGGTGGAATGAGTTCTGGAAAGTAGAAGTGTACTCAATTACATGAACAAATTGCACTTAAGAAAGAAGTATGTATGAAAAATACTACTCACAATACAACACAAAGTTATTATTATTACTGAAAAATATCGCTGACAGCACTAATTTACCAAGCTTTTAATGTACATTATTTTCCAAAAGACCATTTATTCATTTGTGTTTTGTGACCTGTTGGCATTTTGGTTCTAGTTGTTAGTGTAAACAAATCTAAACCTCAAAGGAAACGTGCTAAAATGTTCATATTAATAAGTCTGTGTCCGTAATAAGTCTATAAAATGTCACAGAAAAATATTTAGATAGAAAGAAATACTCTAAGACATTGTGTAGGTTGTAGTAACATAAGTTGATCACACCTCCATCTCCGCTCTCTGCCGTTCTCTCCGGTCTCTCCGGTCTGCAGCAGATGGAGGGGAGGGCATGACTGGGGCGGACACTGGTGTGAGCTGGTCTACAGGGGGCGCTGGAGGCTGTGGGGGCAGGTGTGGCTTGTCCTGGGGCAACAGAGCCTGGTCTTCGCTTAACAGGGTGGTGGCAGTCGGCAGTAATCTGGAGAATGTGGTGAAAAATAATGTATAAACATCACACAACATCCTTGATCCCAATAGTTAAAAACTGAGCCATGATGGAATTTGCTGTTTAACTGTAAAATTGCAGGTTTGTAGTTAATAGATCTATAAATATTGGGCTTATCCACATGAAACAAAAACTACCACAAAATCCAAAGTCTGCTCTGTCACAGGGTTCCCTTCTCTTTTTCACTGACAAAATTTCAAAACTTTTCCATGACTTTTTCATGACCTAAAGTGAATTTTCCATGACTTTACAGCACCTACATGTGTAAAATTTATCAGACTTTTAGGGCTAAATATGAAATGTTAACCATTACCACTCACCTTATGGTTTTATAGTTTTTTAACATTCAAAATCCTGTCAGTGCATTTATTGTCGTCTCTTTTAAACAAAAGGCACAGACGTTTGGAAATAATCATAATAGCCTAATGAGAACTTAATAGAACACTGTAGTTGCGTGAAAGCGATACTAAAATTCCAAGGCTTTTCCTAAATTTTCATTGAATTTACAAGATTCCATGGCTTTTCCAGGCCTGGAAAAAGACATTTTCAATTTCCATGACCGTGGGAACCCTGGATCTATAATTACTGGACCTATCTACTGAAACAAAAACGGGCACAAAATTCAAAGTCTTCTCTGTCAGTATAAATAAACAAAAGTGAAACTATTTATTCACAGTCGCTTCAGAAAGTGCTGATATTATTCAGTCCCAAAGATGTGAGAGTTGTCAGCCGAAAGGACAAATAATGGCAAGGTATAATATTTGTGGATCATAAGTGTTGTGGAAAAAATTATGTATCTGTTGATGATAAATAATGAATCCATTTGCAAAGTCCGTTGCAAGTGAGTTTTTGGCATACAGACAAATTTTATATCTGCTATAACAAAGTTTATTCATGTTACAGAGACCAAAAGCCTCTCCTGAGTGTCCTCTCTCCAGTCACCCACTCACTCCATCTCCCCTTTCAGAAACTGTGGCCATTATTCAGTCCCAAAGACGTGACAGTTCTCAGCTCAAAGGAGTTTTTAACAAATAATGGCAAAGTACAACATTTGTGGATCTTAAGTTTTGATATTTCTTAGTAAATCTACCAGTCTGACCCCTGCCCTCCATCTGAAATTCAGAAATAATCAAATTCTAGATGTGAATATAACCTATTGGCAGACACTTTTCAACATAATATTTTCCCATCACGTTCTTGTGTAATCTTTTACTCTGCGGTGGAGTCAGTCAGCTCTTTGGTCCCGTCTTGTTCGACCGCTCCTCTCTCCTGCTCTCGCTCCAGCTCTGCTCCTGGCTCTGCTCTCAGTAACTCCCCTGACGGTGAAGGTCAAAGAAACAAAAACAAAGCTGATATAAAACATAACATTATTGGAGAAGAGTTATTTATATTGTACTTGATCTTAAGTTTAAAAACCAACCCTCTGGAAATTGATCAGTTTCTGCCAGCAGTACGTCAACAGTACTGGGAAGCTCCGCAAGCTCCATCCCTTCAAACTAGAAAAAAAGGAAACAACATTAAGTATTATTAAGTATTTATGCAGCTCAAATCTTGACTTCTTTCTGAAAGAGAGACAGGCCTCTACAGCCCTTATTTTCAGAAATTATTTACATTTACATCTAAGTTTAATGTATAAATTTGAAAAAAATAACATAAATTTCACATAATTTTCTTTGTTGACTACATCACTTCTAAAAGATAAATTTCCACAGATTTATTAAACTGATCTGTCTTCAAGAACACAAACAGGTAGCACACCCCCAACCAGAAAAGTTACATAGTGCATCACTTTTTACAAATTACACCTCTGTGAAGGGCATGGAGAGAGCTCTGGCTCCCGCAGGGTGATGCTGTCTGGAGATGCTGTGAGCCCTGAGGAAAAACAAAAGATTATCTCACTTTAACCATCTGCACAAAACTCCAAGAGAGACATCAGATAATGACACTGTCTCTAAAGAGCTTTCCTCTGTCTAGAGCTAAACACGTCTAGAGTCTGAGGCAGTGGCCCTTCAGCTGTAGATCAAAACAACACTATACAGAATATACTAGGGGTGTAACAATATCAAAGTTTCACGATACAATATCATCACGGTATGAACATCACAGTACGATATTTATTGTGATATCGTGGGAAAGCTCACGATATGATGGGGAGGCTCATGATTAGGAATGTAACAATATCCAAATCTCTCTGTACGATATTTTCACGATATACATCTCATGGTACTATATTTATTGCGATATTATGTGGAGGCTAAACACATTGAATATGCTACTTTTTCCTCTTAAAATGCCTTGACAAGACTTAATCCAAATAACCAAGACTTTAAAGTGCTTAGAACTGTTATTTCTTCTTGTAGTCTGCACTGAAATGGAGCAAAGGATCATGGTCTATGTAGTTCTCTCTGCCTTTTATTGCTGCACCATAACTCTTAATTTAAGCAAAGAGACTAGTAATTTGATATATTGTGATGATCCACGATATTATTGTGAGAACTTTGACGATACGATATCACGATATTTCTGTTATTGTTACATCCCTAGAATATACTGATTGATTATAAGGACATACAAACTCTAGCCAAGACAGTGCACTCAAATAAGTAACCAAATGTGTATCGTGATTACAGTGATTGCTCTTATAGTTGGGAAAATGTGACTAATAAATTTTTATTCTGTCCTGCAATATCAAGAGTAAAACCACTTCTAATCTAATCAACAGTGACTTTAACATGAATCACTAAATGTTTGTTGACTCCCTCTAGGGACAAAGTTACTTCACATAACACACTTTAAAGGGAAGCAAAAATAATGGAAATATTTCATGCCTGTGTGAAGTGCATCTTCGACAGGTGAGGAGCGACTGGCTGCAGGTAGATCACGACGAGGATGATACGAGGGTGGTTTGTCCCTAACATGACCCTGTACAATGTGTAATGTACAACATTTACAAAAACATGCACAAACAAAGTTAATCTACATCTGCCTTCGAGTTTGTAACCTACAGTTTGTACAAGTTAAAGAGTTTTTAGAAAAGATCACTCAATGGGTGAGGCACAACTTAAAAAAAAAAAATCTCAAAATGGTAAACTCAGATATGTTGGAACTGGTTGTATTTTGTGAGGATTGATGTCCATAAACTCTACTCTCTATAATCGACCAACACTGATTGAACAATACTACAAATAACGGCAAAGGTGAAACTCAGTTTGTCGATTGGACAAAGGTTCATTAGGTCGAATACCTTTTGCAGCTCATCCCACCTGCTTCTTCAGTTCTGGTCAGAATGCAGGTGGACACTTCCTTATATCTGCCTGCAGGGAGGAATAAACCTTTGTCCAGCTGACAAACTGAATTTCTCCTTTGCCATGGATTCTACCTGGACGACTGAGGGATTTTTAACACATCTTGAGAGTAACTATGAGCCAGCCACCATTGGACTGGTAAGAAAGCTGAAAAAGGATACTAAAAGGTTAGCAGAGAAGAGGAATCATTTACACTTTAACCTTAGATGTCAACAGAAGCAACTTATTCCCAAGGCTTTGCAGAAGAAAGCACCAAAACTAGGACATAGGGCAGCCAGGTTAACTCAGCTTTACCTGAGGGGGATGCTCAGCCTTAGAATAAGTCGTCTCAATTTTGAAATTGAAAACTTAAAACTCCTCCCTGCAGGCAGATATAAGGAAGTGTCCACCAGCTTTCTGACCAGAACTGAAGAAGCAGCTTGGATGAGCTACGAAATGTATTCAAACAAATAAACTTTTGTCCAGTCGACAAACTGAATTTCTCCTTTGCCATGGATTCTACCTGGACGACTGAGAGATTTTTCACAATACTACAAATAATATTGAAATAATCATTACCTGCCCTCTAACTAACCCTATTATAACTTTGTCATTTAGAAAGAATCATGTAAATACAACCTAAGTCCTGTGGGTGTTTAAAGAAGACTTATCTGTTATATTAATTTTACATTTCGTTCATAATAAAATCTGGATCCATTGACTGTAAAACTGAAATTTGACTTTGCATTTCTCCGTTAATGAAAATATCAGTACTTGTTTATGTTTCTGCCTATAAAAACAGTATTGAAAGAATGAGGACCCATAGTAGAGCTGTGGGGCTGGGCAGCTCCTCTTGCATGTACATCTGCCCAAACAGGGGGTCAGGGGCACCCTCTGTCTCCTCCATCAAGGACAGCACATCCTTGAGGAGCGGCGCTGGTCTGAACACAAACAAACCATGAGTTATAACTGATGACGAAGCTTTGCCAAATGGATTCAGCTCACGATTTATCAACAGTCGAACCTGCTGTGGTCGTCCATATCATTCCTCTGAGCTGTTTTCTGCTTCAGTAACCAGTCCACCGCATACTGGGTCTCCTCTGGAAAGACAAATGGTTGGTTTTATAATAGCTTCAGTCTAGATTTGAATTGTGCAAAAATCGGGAAATGATCAAAAGATGGACAAAAAAGCACAATTTTAATTAGAAATGCACAAATGTATTATGTTTGTCCACAAGGGATGACCCGATATTCACAGGTGATCGGCTTCAAATATTCATTTTGTTATAGTGTCTTTAAATCTGGTCAACTCGTTTGAAAACCTGTGTGATATAATAATGCTGATAGTTTGAATTAATTATTAATTATATGCCTATTTAATTTTCATTTGGGGTTTGTAGCAGTTTTTGTTTTATGTGGATAGGCCCTAGGGATGTAAAATAACCAAAATATCATGATATCGTATCGTCAGAAGTCTCACAATAATATCGTGGGCTGTCACAATATATCGATTTAGAAGTTCCTTTGCTTAAATGCATGGTTTTATAGTAGCCACAGCTTATAAACATAGGGAACTACATATCCCATGATTTATTTCAGTGCAGACAACATGAAGAAATATGTTTTTTACTTGAATTTTTGGGATTATGACGGAAATAATTCACACCAAAATCTTGTCAAGGTATTTTAAAAGCAAAAAAGTGTCCTATCTATAATTATATCAGCCTTCCCAAATTTTTCTCAATGAATATCGTACCGAGAGATTTGGATATCATTGCATCCCTAATAGGCCCGGTAATTACAGAGATATTAATCATTAACCAGACTAAAACATGCATCTATCTGGCATTTATTTCATTATTAAGGGTGTTTTTATTATTATTATTATTATTATGAAATACCTGGAAAACACAGATAATTATTATGAGCAGAATCAGTTCTCCACAGATCTCCATGCCATTTTTTTAAAAACACCAATATGCTAAAATCCAGTCCATACCCAGTAGAATGGCACATTGTCGGTGGTAGACCAGGATGACCCCGTACTGGAGCTGGGAGGACAGGTACAGTGAGAAGCGAGGCCGGGGCAGGTCGGCTCTCGGCGGCTCCACACGCTCCAGCAGGTAATCCATGATGTCATCACTGTAGACGTACAATCAATAATACTCAGAAACAACATGTGAACTATACAGGACATGCTAAAGAGTCGGAGGGGTAACCGGGTCTGTGTTATGTAAATCTTAAGTCAGCCTTGAGTACCCCCTGTGTCTCACATAAGACACCAGCTTATTCTGCAATTTTCTGTCCATTTCTTGTAATATTTATGCCATAATTGTCCTATGAAAAAACATTCTTTCAAAAGGAATGATGTATTTGAGACAGAAAATATATTATTAAAAAAATATAGACCTATCCAAATACCATTCAATTCCTTTTTTTCAATCTGTACTTATTTCAAGTAGCCCCTGGTACTTTCATATGCAATAGCCCTGGATGAGAAAGTTTGTATAACTAGCTGGTTGAGTCCTGGTTTTGTCTATTTTTCTTCCAATATTTGAGACTGTGATTTGGTTCCTGTTTTATTTCTGTATTAATTTAGTCTGGATTTAGTCCTGACACTCAACATAGGCTATAAGGGCTACACTGAAGCTGCAATGTACTGTAGGACTACTATGAGCACATTTTAATATGTAGTAGCGATATGAAAACAATACTCACCACGTCTTGGTTACATTTACTTTGAGGAAATCGCGGCGAGTGACTCTGATGCCCTTTGTGGCCACCAGCCTGAAAATACACATTATTCTTCTACAACACCGACTACACAGAGGTCTGGGGGGTGGGACTGAACACCTCAGTCAGCTGTAGTAGGCTACACAATACTCAACAGGCATGTTCATGACAAAAACAATCGAAAGAAAGTAGCATTTTAATTAAAGAAGTATTAACAAATAAAATAATTCACATTACATTGCAGATTCCAGCGTTATTCATAGATATTACACGCCTAACCTATTTAAAAGAATCCCTAAATTAATCAATGGGTATTTTCAAAGTTTTGGATTGATTGGGGTCTGTAACAAAGTCTTACACTTCAGCTCTGCCTGGTCTCCTCTGCGCCAGACGCGCGCAAAATGGCGCAATTTTAAAAAGTGCGTTTTTCTTTTAAATCGGCAGATCTGTGGAGCGGCCTCAAGCGCATTAAACTCGACTTCAAATCATTTAATTATAAGGCCCTCATGTTTCTTAGAACGATGCTGGAGTGGATTCTACTGCCGCATTTTCACCAGTCGGCCAATTTATGGAATAGTCGATCTTTACCAAACAAATAACCGACTAATCTGAATAAGATGTTTTACAAGTGCGTCCAGGAACAGAATGGCTGAAGCTTGAAGCAGATTTAAATTTATGACGGCAGAAAAAAAAAAAAACTTATGGAAAAAGTAAGCCCGTGCACATTTATAAACTCACCAAACTGTTGAAAAGCATCCAGTGTGACGCCTCAGTACAGCCGGATAGTAAAACATTTTTAAATTGTGTCGAGCTAATTTTTGTCTCTTTGGCTGCAGACAGAGAAAAACTGTAACAAAATGGCAGCACTTCAAAATGTATCAATCTGATGTTTACATTTTGCCACAAACTGATTAGTGGATCACAGTTGAGGCTGGCCAATCAAATCCAGGCCACAGTTTGGTTGCCTGGCCTAAATATCAACAAAAAGAAGTAAAACATTTCACACAGAGCCACTGACAGATCACAAAGGGTTCAATGAAATATCTTTATTCAGGAGAAATGAAAAAAACATTAAAAGACACATGACAAAACCGCTTTGTATAAAATAAGGTCAACATAAATGTACTAAAACTCATACAATATAATCAAAGAGCTTCCTATAGTTAGAGCTGGTTACAGTAGTCTCCCTCTGCACTCTGTAGATCCACAACAGCACAGCAGCACTTTGCCCTCAACACTGCCTACCTCGTAGTTATAGTCCCACGTCAGCTCAGTGCCTGCTCGGATACGCCTGCAAAACAAATCATAGATAAATTTAGATCCTAAATGTCCTATATTACACAAATTTGACTCTTATGAGCTTTAAGCCATGTTAAAATGTTGTTACCGCATTAAAAACATACCCAGAGTTGTGCTTTGTTTCATTCATGTCTGAGTAATCCTTTATTATTAGTCTGTCTACATCTCCAAAACTCAAAATGGTATCATAAGGTTCCACCTGATGATGTCATGTAGTGGTAGTGTTCAAGTTAACAGATACCTTAGAGCAGTGTTTCCCCAACTTTTTTTCTGGGGAGCCATATTTTAAAAGTCGTAAACCTTCGCGATCCAAGTCAATAGACATTATTCGTAAATCACAAAATAAAGATGGATTTGACCATTATTAAAAATTAATGAGGATATTTAATTGTTGACTGAGTGATCGTGTGTCTCTGAACAATTAGTATTACTCAAGTTTTAAACAATAAAAAATATTAATTGAACCAACAATAAAAGGATCCATAAATCGCCTATTTGGACATTAAATGTAGCCCTTTATATTGCAGATCGTGACAAGGTGACCCACCTGAAGGTCACGACTCAGTCTTTGGGAAACACTGCCTTAGAGTAGAGAGATGGGCAGAGTAGAGATGGGAAAATCCAGGTCTGAAATCATCTAGTGAAGGTGCATGGAGTTTAAAAACACAGAGGAGCACTTCCTGTATTACCACATGACATCACAAAGTGGAGTGTTTTTTGTTTGAGAAAAAAACTCTTGCCTAAATATGCATATGCAGGGCGTGGATGAAACAAAACACAACTCCAGGTCTGTTTTTGATGAGGATACAACATTATAAAATAGATCAGAAAAGAGCACAATATGGGCTTTTAACCCTGAGCTTTTTATAGTATCATAATGCAACAAATCTCATTATAATCCCATTTTGAGCGTACATGTAACCGCAGCCACTGCAATGCAACGAAATGCTTTTGGATGAGAAGAACCCATCAAGGAGTGGGCGATACTGACAAAAAAATAACATCCCAATATCTATCACATTATCTCTGTGACAATGTTTAGACAATATTTCAACTATCTACCAGGAATGTGCCAAAATGTGTCTGTAAATGTGTTGGTTGAGGTTAAATTATTGCAAAAATGTAAATGAACCATAGAATGAATCACAAAAGGACAGGAATATAAATTTTTGCACTTGTTGTGCATCTTAGATTAGACATATAGATGTTTCTGTGTCATTTTTAGGTTAATCTTAATAGTTTTAATTATACTCGATATTGTAATTTGACATATCTCCAAAACAACAATTGCAATATTATCCATTTTTATCTATATATCTTCAACCTGTACAGTCAACCCACTTAAAAACAATTCTTTATCGAGACTGAAAACTCTCAAACATAACTTCACAGGTCATTAAGTAAAGAAAATTAAACTGTGAGAGCTTGAAAAACAATGTAAGAACTATATATAAATGTAAAATAAAAGTAGATAAAATGTTATAAATAAATAAAAAGGTGGTTTGGGAATTTAAAACGAGTCAGTGCCCCCCAGAGGCTAAATTTGGAAATGCGGGAGAGTGAGTTTCAGATTATGCAAGACAGAGAGGAGTCAGGGAAAATTACTGATGCAGCATAAGCATTCTGGGGCGAGGTTGACCATGGAATCAATAAATAAATATGAGGTCAGCTTTATTATTAGAAAACAACATAATTTCACGTTATATTTATGTAACTACATCATAACTATTCTATTTGCCCGACCCATCTCAATTACACACTGCAGGTTTCAACGAGCTTCCCAAAATAAATCATGACACTATATGGTTAATATATTTGTAATTACTGGCTCTATCCTCATGAAACTAAAGTTGGCACAAAGTTCAACGTCTTCTCTGTCACCACGTATGAAGTAAGGTGGAATTGTTTCTTCACAATGGCTTCAGAAAGTGGTGCCATCACTCAGCACCAGAGGATGTTGATGAAAGGACTTTAAGACATGAGATTAACATTGCAGGATTGTGGATCCATCCCCAAGCAAATAACGATTAAGGTTAAACGTTTGTAGATATCTGTTTTGGATATGGATATGAGATTATGATGTCAAATACTAGAATGTGAACACCACTAACATCACTAATATTTCTCTGGGAGGGAGGGGGAAGGAGGACAGGGTTTTTCACATGGTTATTTTGCAGGGCCTGGTCTAAAATGGTGACGTCATCTAAAATCCATTTGCAGTGCTGAAGCTGAATCGAGCTGTCACTCACTTGCTGGCGAAGAATGCCACCCAGGGAAAGCGCAGGTCGTGTGTGTCCACAAACACATTCTGGACAAAAAGGTTTGGACTGCAGCTGTGCTATAAACACAAAAAAAAGAGAAGAGTGACAGGTGGAATTAGATACAGTCTATATAAATACGTGTATCATTCGTTCATTCATTTTTCAGAATGAAACCAGAAATAAGAAAACAAAAAAACAGCTATTTTCTTTAATTGAAAAAATGGATAATGATTCGTTTTTTCAGTTTTCGATTTAGTGTTTAAATGAATAATGGAAAAAACAGATAATGGCCATTTCCTGTTTACGTGACTTAAACTGCGATGCCGGACTTTTGCGCTGCATACGGACTGAACCAGGACTTAAACAGGACTTAAACAGGACTAAACCAGGACTAAACCAGGTCTAAACCAGGTCTAAACCAGGTCTATACCAGGTCTATATCAGAACTGAACCAGGACTAAACCGGTCTCAGACTTGGTCTCAGACCTGGTCTCAGTCCCAGTCTCAGTCCTGATCACCCGACAGTTTACGCAAGCGCACCTCCAGGCCCATCCCATCACTCAGTCCTGGTTCAGACCTGTTTTAGTCCTGGTTTAGACCTGTTTTAGTCCTGTTTTAGTCCAGTTTTAATCCTGGTTCAGACCTGGTTCAGACCTGGTTCAGACCTGTTTTCAGTCCGGGATCAGTCCTGGTATCAGTCCTGGTTCAGACCTGGTTTAGTCCTGGGATAAGTCCTGGTTCAGTCCTGGTTTAGACCTGTTTTAGTCCTGTTTTAGTCCTGGTTCAGTCCGGCATCGTAGTTTAAGTCACAAGAACATGAAAAGGTTGTTACCCGTTTTTTCCATTATAAATTTAAACACAAAATCGAAAACTGAAAAAAATCATTATCCATTTTTTTCATTTTGGCTTTGGAGACAAATAATGAAGAAAATAGTTGTTTGTTTGTTTTTTTCATTTTCTTATTTTTGGTTTTATTTTGAAAACCGAATGAACGAATGATACACGGATTTATATAGAATAAACTAATTGTCAATCTATCAATCAATCCATCTATCGAACATTTACATTTACAGCTTTTCTGGTGAAGGGTCAGATACTTGTTTGTCCCCATGGAGATATTATTGCTTTGACTGGAATGATCCACAGTATTTTAAACAAATGAAGTTTACAAGTTACAAGTCCAATCTGGTACAAGCATATTCCTGTATATATTCCTGCATATTCCACTTTGATTGCAAAAAATTTTATGTCATATTGTGTAACTCCCAGGCAGAGCAATAACATCTCCATGACGACAAGTAGGTGACAAACATCCAACCATAAAGTTACACAGTGTTTTAATATCGTTCAGTGAATATTATAATACAACAAAGATAAAACAGCATGTGACTTACATTGAGGTAACGCCCGAGATTGCCTTCCAGCTTGGCGTCGATGATATAACAGGACTCCTCTCCGTCAAAGAAAGAGCGTGTATTTCGGGGTCCGCTGTCTTTGCCCCCTGCTGTTTGTTGTTTTCCTCCCTGACCCCCCGCCGCCTCTGCCCCGCCCGCGCCGCTCTTCACCATCATCCCGTGACTCGTCTTCAGGGCGATGCCTCTGGTGGATTTGACAGCAACCTGCTTCTTGGTCACAGCTGAACAATAACAACAACAAAAAGAAGAGTTATTCAAAGGCTGATACTTGACACTAATGAATAATAGGGATGTGTGGATCAATGCTAAGTACTTCATAAATCACTTGGCCAATATCACACAGCCACACCAGTACACATCGATTCATAGAACTTTTACATCTGTAGCGTTTCAGATACCAGGGCTTTAAGTTCTTTAGACATCCAGCTGATTCATTTGTCAATGGTAATCGGACAAATTTTGTATTAGTTGACTCATTATGTCCAATCTGCCAGGTATCACTTTAAGCATTGACCCACCAATTTTCTTTAATCCATAATTCGGAAGTATTCCAACGTTTGCAAAAATGTGAAAAGTACTTTGTAGAAGTGACAGAATAGGATAAAAATGTAAAAATGCAAGTTCAATAAGTCTTGCTAGTGCTCATGCTGCTGCCATTTTAATAATATTGTACAGATTTAAATGTACAAGAACAGAAAGAAGAAAGCATGAAGTGAGTGAGCTGGTTTCGGAGTGACTGGACAGTTTAAAGAGGAGATATTGAAATTTTATGGGGTATTAATTGTTAACACATGTTCCTGTGTTTTTGATGAGGGAACATTTTAACATGGTAGAAAACGGCAAAAACGTCGACTGCAGAATATCCCCCCTTTAATCTGTCTTTTCACTTATGTAGTAGTGGTTTTTGTGAGCTTTTGCCAGTGCCAGTTTAGTCGATTAACTGCATTGGAATCAATTGGAATCTAACCAAAGTGAAAAGGCGAGTATCACAAATCACAAATAATGAACAGTGTGTCCTTCACATTTGTATCAAGACTATTATGGCACAAGTGGCCCTTATTTGAAACATTTTATTGTTACTTAAGTAAAAAAAATTACGTCAATGCCAAAAAAAGTAACAAAGTAAAACTAATTTAAACTAGAAAAGCACTCAGAGAGCGCAGACCTCCGCCAAGGACTACAGTCCCCCTCATATTAATTGTGTTTTCAATAAATATTTGTCTCATATCTTTCAATTTGGAATATGAAAGAGGATCCCATTGTCCATCCCTGAGTCAAATTTCATGGGGTTTGGTCAATAATTAACCGAGATATTGAGAAACAAAATTTTTGGCCCCATTTACCACAATGTTAACTAAAATTTCAAAGTGATCCAGAATCCAGGATTTCTTCTGGATCACCCCCAAAATGAAATCAGTTCTTCCTTTTCACATTTCCAACAAATCCTGAAAATTTCATCAAAATCGGTCCATAACTTTTTGAGTTATGTTGCTAACAGACAAACAAACAAACAAACAAACAAACAAACAGACAAACAAACAAACAGACAAACGCAGGCAAAAACATAACCTCCTTGGCGGCGGTAATTACACTCACTGATTTTCTCTTTCTCTTTTTCATCTGACCCGGAGCTGATGGTCTGAACATCGTCACTGTCCGACAGAGTCATGACATCCTGCTTTTTTGCTTCAGGTTTCACTTCACTGCATGAAACAAAAGCGTTACAACTCAGACAACAATCACAACAATTAGATATTTTCTTTATCACGGTTTAACAATAATGTAACACAATAATGTAACACACCTTTTGCCGTCTCCAGAATCCTGCAGGAGAAACAAATAAAAAAGATTACATTTAAATTAACACCAGAAACTGCACATACAGATCCAACAGCTTTAAAGGCACACTATGTAACTTTTCTGGCAGAGTACCACCTCCTTGTCTCCATGAAGATGTTATTAAACAAATAATAAATGCAAGGTAGAGTATTTTAATGCCAGACTGTGAAACATTTCAGGTAAAGCAATAGCATCTTCAAGAAGACAAGTAAGTGCTGAATCTTCCAACAGAAATTTACAAAGAATATTCATAAATATTTATTCTAAAACACTTTAAACAGGAAATTACTGGCATCTACATATAACCAAACCTGCTCATAAAAATGTATGGTTAATTTAAGACAAAAACTAATGCTAGGAACAAATTTTCTGAAATAAAAAATAAAATGCTACAATACTTTCAAATATAAATATAAAAATATAACACATATACCTACGAGTAAAGCTAAATTTTTAATACTTGGGTTTCCGGTAAATACATGAGATTTATTTTTGTTTTATTTACTGTAAAATAAATCTACATAAAAGCATTTAGAATAATTTGCTCCTATTTCCACATTATATTGGCATTGTACAGTTCTGTTACCTTCTTAAGACCTTGGCTGGTGAGCCATGAGGCCACTTTGCTCTTCCCCGTCTCCTCGGGCATCGCTGGGGGTTTGTTCTCTGCTCCTTTGGGTTTTTTTGTGCTCATCTCATCTTTACTGTCCTGACTCCCTGAAATATCAACACAGCAGAAGTTCAGCAATAGTTGATTGTGAGTACAGTGTCTCAGAATCAAGAATTCAAGAATCAAGAGAAAGTTTTTATCATTATTATTATTCTATATATAATGGTTATAAGCAAAAACTACTAGCTTAATCTTTGACATTAATGACTGCAATTATAAGAATCAGAAAAAGTCATTGTCATTGAACAAACTTCATGAACTAGGAATTTGTTTTGGTAATGCCATGTGTCATATGACAATAAATATTAATAGTAAAAAAATATATAAAAATTTAAACAATGACAAAATGAAGCCATGCAAGAAATCATGTAGGTATTAGACAAAAAGAATGATATAATACAAAACCCATCTAAACAACAGATTCGATCGAGTCTTACCCTCCTTGCCTTTAGCCTGGCGGGTGGTGTAGCTCCTCCACACTGAGCTTGAGTTGAAGTAGTTTTCTTTCACAAACGTATCGTCTGAACTGTCGCTCTCGTCGTCGCTCTTTGACTCCTTGTCGTTCCCGTCGCTGCTGTCTCCAGACGAGCTCGATCCTTTACCTGGAAAACAAATGGAACAAATGGAACAAATGGAACAAATAGAGCAAAAGACACGAGGGCTGGAGTCTGGGTTCATCGGGTCGACTTCACTGATTGAATCTTTAAGACAAAGTAAAAAGTAACAAAACTATGACTAAAATTGCATACATTTTTGGCAACTAAATTAAGGACTAAAATATGATATTTATTTGTTGGCTTAAAGCTGCACTTTTAAATCCAAGAGCCCCAACTCAGACCATAAACATGTCCCATGAAGCAAAGAATGCAATACAATTTATCACAGTTAAAATTTTAAAATATATATTTTCTGGTTAAAATTATGGATTTCATTGATTCTGTCGTGCGCCTCTGTGTCTGTCCTACCATCTACTCCTGACACTCTGTTTTATTGTTTATTTGTTGCTGTAGTGTTGCTGATGGTTTGGTGGTTATGATCTGAAAGAGCGGTTCAGAGACACCACACACACAAGGAGCGCACACACACACACACGAGGAGCGCAGTGGCTTCAAACTCACACACAAAGACACAAAGTCAGGTCACATCTCCTCGAACTCAGGGAGAAACAAATCGCTGCCTAAATTGTGCAAATTCTCCTGTAGTGTGAGGCAGCCTTAAAACTAAAACATTTGCCTAAATCTAGTGTAGTCCTGATGTAGATCTTGTTTGGCCCTGCTCTAGTACTGATCCAGCTCTGGTTTAGTTTTGGGTAAAGTCACATTTTAGTTCCAATGTTAATGTGGATCGTTTTTGAATTAGGCATTATTTGATTAAATCTGGTGCTTAATTAGATCTTGTTTGGTTCTGTTCTAGGCCTGGTCCAGCTTTAATTTTGGGTTGCGTCACATTTTAGTCCAGAGTTGTCAGTGAAGTTGTACCTTTCTGTGAAGATCGTCCCGCCGGGTTGGATGTCACAGCAGAGGGCTGGGATTTCATTCGGGACACGTCCACGCCGCTGCCTTCACTGTCGGAGCAGTGAGCCTCGCTTTCATATCCCTCTTTGAAGTTTTCCACACTCTCGATGTGATCCAGATTAGCAAAGTACTCGTCCCCCATCTCCAAACCCTCTTTGTCCGCAAAATCATCTGTCAATATTTTTCCTTTGAGCAGAAAAGAGATCAAGGAACTGGTCACTCGGAATGAATAAACAGTTTTAACACAGCTGTCAATAACATAATGTTCTAAAATGCTATTTAAATCCTGTATATTAAGAAGTATGTTGTTTCTTATATTTTCTCCATCTTCAGAACGAATTATGTTCAAATTTATATTGATTTTACAGTTAATAATTGTGAAAATGACTTATTAACAATGTTGTTTATGTTTACATTTTGCATTACTTCAATTATCCATTCAGAATTCATCTCTTTGGGTTGTCAGGTACAGCTGAAGTGAGACTAAGACCAGTTTGCAATTAATCCAGTTTTGTCTTTGTCTTGTTAATACAGATTTTATTTTTCTTATTAAAACTAATCCAACATAAAATCATGATCCATCAATGACAATCTAAAAATTGTTGTGCAAAATGTTTTTACTTCTTACCTGCATAAATACAAACAAATGAGCCTTTTGCCACATCGTCCAGGCAGCGGATGCCCCAGCCTTTGTTCTGTGTTTTGAAAAGCTGCAGACGGACTTGAAGGCCGTGCTGCACCAGTCTGTTCGTGCACATTTGATGCGAACACTTGCACATCTTATTACACTCATAAATTCTGAGGAAAAACAAAGACAACAGTTTGATGAACATGTTTTTCAGGTTTTTGTTATGCTTCAACATAATGGAAAGTGATGATAATGTCATTGTAACAGAAGGGTGAGAATTAAAAAAGCTCTAAGTGACAAGTGCTGTAAAAAGCTATTTAAACATACACCTTTTATAGGAGAGGGAAAGTACTTCTCACTGTCAATCACTAAAACAAAAATACAGCATTTACTTACCCACAAGTAAAAATTATAACTCCTAAAACTTGTTAATAAATCCATTTTAGGACAGATTAATTCTATAGAAGTTAAATGCACTTTTGATATTATGGTTCTGAAACTAATCATAGGCTTTGTCTTTTTTCTTACTTTATAATTATTGTGAAAATACTTCACAATTTCAAATGATAGCATTCAAAATAAGCTTACAAATTCATTTGCCCCCAAATGTATAAAATAATATTGATTTTCAGCCCAAAAACATCTAAAATACAGCAACTACTTACCCAAAAACAGACATGGGACCAAGTCGTCATTTTGAAAGTCTCAAGTAAGTCTCAAGTCTTTGACCTCAAGTCCAAATCAAGTCCCAAGTCAAATACAGGCAAGTCCAAGTCGAGTCCTGAGTCACTGGCCCAAAAGTCCAAGTCAAGTCCCAAGTCAAATACAGGCAAGTCCAAATCGAGTCCTGAGTCACTGGCCCATAAGTCCAAGTCAAGTCCAAGTCGTCTGCTTTGAGCTTCAAGTCATTTCAAGTCTTTAAACCAAAGTACCAAATATCGCTTAGATTTCTGCAATTTATTTGACTTCTAAGATAAATTGTACTTTAAAAAGTCATAGTATATTTATATATGAGTGTTTATAGCGTATGTAAGAGTTGTAGTAATTAATTTAGATAATATTTAGTTTTTAAATGTTTAAATGTCTTGACAAGATCTTAGTGTGAATAATTCTCGTCAGAATAGAAATAATTCAGATTTAAAAGTGCTTCTCAAGTCTTCTCAAGTCACAGACCTCAAGTCCAAGTCGAGTCCCAAGTCTTACTCCATTTTATCAAGTCAAGTCTCAAGTCCTAAAAATAGTGACTCAAGTCTGACTCGAGTCCAGGTCACGACTTGCAAGTCCCCACCTCTACCCATAAATTACATGTATAAAAACTGATAAATAAAACCAATTTAGGAGGACAGAATAATTCTATAGTTAAATGCACTTTTGGCATTGTGGTTCTGAAACTCACAAACTGTATAATTATTGAGAAAATCTTTTTAAAATTTGAGTAGATGGCGCTTAACATGAGCTTTTATTTGAGACATACACTACCAGTCAAAAGTTTGGACACACCCTCTCATATAAGTTTTTTTTTTTATATTACACACAGACGACATCAAATATATGATGTAAGATATATGGATTTATGTAGAAAAGAAAGAGTGAAAAAGTTAAATTACATTTTTTTTATATTTTACATTCAAATCCTCAAATTAGTCACTCTTTGCTTTTCTCTTTGCTATCTTACTTCATATATTTGATGTTTTCTGTATGCATAGATGTAAAAGATAAATGTACAAAGTAAAAGAAGAGAAACAAAACACTGAATGAGAGGGTGGGTCCAAACTTTTAACTGGTAGTAAATTTTACTCCAATGTAACTTGCATGATTGTGATTCTCAGCCCAGTAATATCTTACCCAGTGGGCAAACATTCTTCAAGTCTTTTGTGCAAATATCCTGCGTTTTGATTGATCTGTGCCCCTGGAGTACACGCCGTCGCCTGCAGGGTGAGCTGGTGACAGGAACATTTGGATCTATAAAAACAAAAGAAAAAAAAATCAGAATGGAGAAAATGAACAGTGTAAAGACGTAAGAGTAAGGTATTAACTTGTCTTGACATCCATCAGTACAGTCACATCCAACCAGGAACTCTGAACTGGTATTAATAGAGACACCGTCTTCAGGAATTCTCTCTTTACCTAAAAAAAAAAAAAAAAAAAAAATGTAATGTTAAATGTAAAAAGACAAAATATTCAGCAAATGATATGGCACAACATTTTATCATAATGAATTTATTTTAAGCAAAGAATTGTCTTGCGAGTGAAACCAAATATCTCTTCAGAAAATGACATCCCCATAAAATTAGATCAAGAGTTCAAATGTGCAAAAGAAAAATATACCTGGACAACTTAAAAATAAATAAATAAATATACACATTTAGCAAAACACAAGATCTTTAATTCAGCTTATGAACTGATGATATTTTGATTGTAACCATCTAATACAACAGGACACGTACTTACCATTTTACTCTGAAAAATATTTAAATATGGTCAGGGAGTTAATTTATTAACAAAATACTATGTTGGTAAACCCTGTTTTTCCATGATTGGTTTCCTCCACCAAACAAGACCAGAATATAACCTCACCATTATGCATTTACTTCCATGAAATCAAGAGAAGATTTACACATTAAAATTACCTTTTATTTTGATATGATCATAAACGATAACTTTTGTGCCTCCGTTAACATTAGCATTACTTTGTACAACCATTAATGGAAAGAAAAAAATTTAATAAAAACTGGCATCTTTAAAAAAAGTCGAAGATAAGAACTAAGAAAAAAATCATGCTAATGAATAAATTGTAATCCATTTATCTATGAATTTGAGTAAGTTTGTCTTGGAAAAATCGTGTCTTTTAATATATTTAATATTTGTGATTTTAGCCAAGCACGATGGATGAATTTAACTAATTGTTTATGGAACAAACCATTCCGCACTAGAGCAATGTAACACTTTATTTGTAACTGTGTTTTTATACATGTTTATCATACATAATGTGGATGAATGAAATGTGAAATGTGGGATCTGCCTTTCAAATCTGCAAAACAAATTTACCTACGGGTACGAATAAAGCAACCTAACCTAAAAAAGTGATTATATTTCTGTTATAGGGGGTAGTATAATGTGAAAACAATGTGAGTGATGATTTAAAAAAAAGTCTGTAGAAACCTTAATAAAAATAAAAGCCTAAAAAAAAAAAAAGAGTATAAGAGTGAAAGAGTATAAAGCATTATGTTTTGAAATATACAGAGCTCTGGAATGAATGAATTATGCATACACTTTTGTTGTTTTAATTTAGATTTTGACTCACATTTACAGTAAGTCTAGCCTAAACCATTTTGTTGTAGTCTATGTAGAGCTGCAAAATAACTACATAAAGAACTACTAATAAAAAAAAAAGGTTTTCTTTTTACATGGTCCAAAAAAGTCTACATTAAGAGTTAGAAGGAAAATAAAATGAACAGGAAAACTAGTCGATAGATACCGATTGTCATAAACTTTCAAGTATTTTCATTACCTTTATGGACACAGTACACATTTTTAGATTCAAATAAATCACAGTGAACATCATACTTCCTTGTATAGTTTGTCTTACTGTATGCGACTTTAGGAGGAGGCGTGGAGTCGATCTCGTTGACACAGGACAGCGGCACGTCCTCTTTGCCTCGGGTAATGTCAGGGATGTAATAAAAGGGTCTCTGAGGGTGGAACGGCCTGTCCACCAGAACATACGGGTCCAAACAAAACATCTCCAGAAAGATGAAGTCACACGATGTCAGGAAAAGGTACTTCTCGATCTCTGCCATGGTCCTCAGACACAACCCACACGGAGCTTTATAAATAACATGGAACGACATCTGAGGAAAGAAGACGGATTTAGAGAAAGTCACAATATTATATAGCATATAGCTGGACTGATTGATTAGTTTGGTGATATTTTTTTCATATCACAAGCTACTAAATCAAAACACTATGTTTACATTTTAGAATATTTTACAGCTCACAAAATTTCAATATTGTGCAATACGTTTGGCAAATTACTTGAGAAATACAGTTTGGATGACAAAGAGTTAACATATTTATTGAACTAATAATTAATATAAAAGCAGTTTAAAAGCATGTTTTTATCCCTGATTGTTTAGTCTGTTGAGAAATACCTGCAACATTTCTTTCTAATAACTATTTTCTACAGAAGGGAACAGAAGATGACCTGAAGATATAATTTTAAAATAAAATAAATTGAAATTACAGTATGAGATAGTAATATTATGTCCAACAACACAATAACCTACCCAAGTAAAAACAATTACCCCATTTTAAAAGTTTTGCCACTCATTTCAGGTGTTCATTTCATTATGCATTGGGGGTCCCAGGTACGGTTATTTTAGGAGGTTCCAGTCTGAAAATATGTTTCTTTAAATATACTAGTAGTGGCGATTATGTTGCCCTCATTACCATTTATCGTTAATAGTGCTATAATGCATGTTTCCCAAAGCCTGGGTTGCGACCCTCAGGTGGCTTGCAAGTTTTGCTTTGGGTCGCCTTGTCACAATCTGCATGTAGGTCTGCAATCTACAGTTCTGTCTTTACGCCTGATTTGCTGCTGCGCTCTCCTCCTGCACCCCGGACTGGAACTGGAACTATAAAAATGCAGACAGGCTCACCTATCTTATTAGAAATGCTGAAATGTTAAGACATGTTTTGTGTAATTTCTAATTATTTTATTTACTATTTTGTTCCAGCATTGATGGTCCAGTTGAATGTTGAAAGGAAAAAGAAATGGACTCCATTTAATGTCCAAATAGGCGACTTGTGGATGCTTTTTATTGCTGGTTCAATTAGTGTTTTTCATTGTTTAAAACTTGAGTAATTGTTCAGAGAGACACTGTCACTCAACAATAAAAATCTCCTTATTAATGTTCAATAATAGTTAAATCCACCTTTATTTTGTGATTTATGAATAATGTCTATTAACTTGGGTTGCAAAGGTTTGTGACTTTTAAAATATGGGTCCCCAGAAAAAAAGTTTGGAAACATTGCTGTAATACAACAATGATGTTTTCAAAACTCATGTATCATTTATTATTTAGCTTTTGATACCCCTATTCGATACCCCTATTAGGACTATTTAGACTTAGATATCAGGAGACATACCTTTCTATTAACTTTACGGCGCCCAGTCATACGTCTAAAATCGTACAGCAGAGGTACGAGGAGGGGGTTCTTTCCTCTGTAAAAGTCCAGTTTTGTGGGTCTGACCCGATTGAGGCAGGATAATTGACAGGTGTGTGCAAAATAGAAGATGCGATCTGTGGGGGCGCGGTAGGAGGGCTGCTGCGGGATGGTGGTGACTGCGTGGCTCATGGGAGGAGAGGAGGGCAGGATGGGCTGAGGGCGCTGGAACGTAGACGGAGGACTTAACAATCTTGACCTGTGGATAAGGTAAAATAAAAGTTTAATAATGTGAATCAATAAAAGCCTTACCACTTTTTCCCCATGTATTTGAGCAAAATTTGTGTTGCCCCAGTACAAATGTATTATCTAAACAGCTCTTGAGGTCAAAATATGTCCACTGTGTATCGTCTACATTTAATTATGAAACATTTTATTGTTATTGTCAGATAATCAGGAAGTGCACATTAACATGCTAGTTGTGAAAAGGCGCTGATAAACTCATTGCAGCAAATAATTAGGATGCTCGGAATGGATAAGGTAAGCGAGAAATAACTGTATTTTTCAGACTACAAGTTGCACTTTTTTTTCAAGGTTTGGATGGTCCTGAGACTTATACTGAGGTGCGAATTATATGTTAAAATTTTCACACTGACAGCCATGAGAGGGCGCTCTAGGCTTGTGTAATCCTCTACTCATGTCACTTCGCTCTCTACTGCACATGTCGGCTGCAGAAGAAATAGAGAGAGCCACTGTCCTGTCTGTATCACTGACCATTTAAAATGTAAACAAACATAAAAACAACCGAAACCATCCTGTCGGGATTCAGAAAGGACAAAATTATTCTAACTGGAAATGATGCTGAATCTGACAACAGCTACGCAGAAGAGAAAATGGCGCTCCATTTACCTTCGGAGGTCACGGAGTTGACTCTATTTGGATTTAGTGATTTGGAGTGAGATAGAGAGTTTGGTAAACTTGTTCATATGTTACTTTAACAGCCTGTTGTTCTCTGTTCTATTGTTATTACTAAACTTGCCTTTCAAGCTCAAATGTCGGTTCCTGGTCTCTGCTTTTATAAAATAAATTCCCCCCAGAAAGTGCGACTTATATGTTTTTTTCTTCTTCATTATGCATTTTTTGGCTGGTGTGACTTATACTCTGGAGCGACTTGCTGTCCGAAAAATACGGTAGCTTGTTTTTCACATTTTCAAGAGTAAAAATCAAGTGCAATAACTTTATAACTTAATAATGTATATATTAAAATGTATAAAAGTTTAAATTTTTTTCGACATTATCCTCATCGCAAACACCAGGTAATATTTCATGAGTGAGGATTTAAAAAAAATGTCTGGACTGTAAAATGAACCACAAAGGTGCAGAGAGATCTTATATTCTCTTTGAAAGATTACTCTTCAGGTTATTATTTTTTCATGCGATTTTGAAGCTTTCCTTGACATTTTTCATTGCAGATGATGATGACACCCCATTTATTTTCCAAGATAATTTTTCTATAACCCATTTTTTATTGACAATTATCACAACGTTCCAATAGCTATGAGCTGAGCTTAACTTATACTCTTATTGGACTTACCCTGAGAGGCTGCTGGGAGGGCTGGATAGAGACATTGACTGCAAAACTTTAGAAGCATGAGTGCCTCCAACCCCGGGGACAAACGGAGACGTGCTTTTCTTTGCCATTTGATGCTTCGAACTTAAAAAACAAGACAGATACAAACTAGTTACATTTTCATTCTGGGCAATTTTTGCGCCAATCAATGACAAAAATGTTTATAAAAATGACAATAAGGCTGATCATTGTCCATCTAGAGTAGCATTTTTCAACCTTTTTTGAATCACGGCACACTTTTTTGATAACACAACCCATTTTTTCGTGCCCCTGTGTCTGGCTCTTTATTTTTTGGAAATATGGAAATCTGGAAATGTTTTGCTTTGTCAAATGGGTCAGAAGTTGCTTAGTTGCTTTTTGAAAATGAATTCTCTACATTCTCTTGGACAGTACATTAAATTTATCATGATTTCAATGATAACAAATGTTCATAACTTTTAAAAATTTACTGGCAAACTGTTTAGTTAATGATAAAAGCAAAGTGCTATTTTAACATACATTATTTCTGTGCAAAAGGGAAGTACAGCTGTTTTTTTTTTAATCATACTTAATGTTAAATGATTTTTTAATAAACTTACTCGACACGCGGAGGTTGTGCAGGCTGAGGGCTCTTTTGTGGAGAGGTTTGAGTTATTAGTTGTGGAGGCGTGATAAGCGCAGGAAGGGAGGGCATCTGGGTTTGTGAGGGCGGGTTTAATGTGGGCTGCGGAGCTTTGACCGGAGAGGCTCCCACTGCACCCTCACTGGTGTACTGAACCACAGGGCCCTTAGTCCTCAATGCACCTGCAGAGGACAGACAAGATTTAAAGTTATTAGTAACAGTTGTAATCTTCTGAAATTGTATGACTTGAAACATCAGAACTTATTTTATTACACTGTGACAGACATGGGACCAAGTCGTCATTTTACAAGTCTCAAGTAAGTCTCAAGTCTTTGACCTCAAGTCCAAGTCAAATACAGGCAAGTTCAAATCGAGTCTCGAGTCACTGACTCGTAAGTCCAAGTCAAGTCCAAGTTGTCTGCTTTGAGCTTCAAGTCATTTCAAATCTTTAAACCAAAGTACCAAAGTCGAGTCTGACTCGAGTCACGACTTATCTGCATGTCTGCACTGTGATAAACTGTTTTAGTGCTCTGACAACAGTGCAGCAGCTTAAAGTCTGGAAATTACAGTAACAAAATAAATACATTAAATAAGACAAATAAAAAATACATGTGAGTGCGTGAAAAATACAGACAGATATTTAGAGAGCTATTACATATTACTTTCTATCATTTCAAAACAATGCAAGAGTGAACAGTTTATGATTATCAAATGGCAGTGGTACTGAATGCTTCACAATTGAAGTATGTGTGTTTTTGTTTTGGTTCTCTTTTTTTTTTTTATTCAAATAGACAAAGGCCTAGATGGGGAATAGCTAATAAGAGGAAATGCTACACTCATTACCTTTAAAGAACATTTAAAGGCTTTTCTAAAGATATTACTTTAAGTTTTTTGGCACCATTAAAACATTAAAAACTGCACATTGATGTAGAAGTTTTCAGTGATTTCAATAAACTTTGAGTAAGAAAAAATACAGCTGGAATATTATATTAAACATATTAATGATTTGTGGTTTGTTACCCATGTTGGGGCGAGACCTCTGCAGTCCAGCCAGCTTCTTCTCTTGTGTGTTGGCCGTGGTCATTCTCAGATTAAACATCGGTTCCAAACGTGTGGAGCCTCTGTAGATCCACTCACTCCTTTTATCATCCTGTCAATCAAAGTACAAAATGTAGAATCTCAAAATTTGACTTGATTTGGTGGGAAAATACCTGTTACCAACCAAGAAGAAATTTCCGAAGAAAAGTTAATCATATGTTGAAAATTACAGGAAGCGTTCTATTTTAGAGAGTTCCATATTGCAGCATATTGATGACACCCAAAGTTTGGTACACTTTACACACAAGAAAAAACAAATTTTTCTGACACTTTAAACATGATTTAGGGAGTAAAAATTAAAACCTAAAAAGGTCAAAATTATGAAAAAATGTGGCTTAAAAAAGATCTTAACTGCGTTTTAAAATTAATTGTACCGTGACTTACCAAGAATAAGATTTTAACCAAGCTTCCCTCCACCTCCTCGACCCTGCTCTTCCACCAGGTGCCCTCCCATTCAGTTTTAATGATCTGTCCCACTTTCAGAAGCACCATGGGCCTGCTGGGATACGCAGTGATGTACTCCTCAATGAAGTCTCGGCATGAAGCGTCCTCAATGTCCTCCCATGTGCGGTTCACTATTAAGACAGGTTAAAAGAGTCAAAAAGAGTTTTTCTATTATCCTCAAAGCCAGAAAATCTTTAATAATAGGGCGGCAATGAAGAGTGGCAAGTCATTGATATTATAGACTGTACAATGTTAATTACTAAGACAGCTCAGTGTTTCACTCAGAAAATTGGTTAGGCAAGGTGGGGTTGGTAAAAGTGAGGAACGGGTGGCCGCATTAACTATAAAGTGCTGTGGAAAAGTCAGGTTTATTTTGTGATTTCACTTAATATTCTTTGTTAGGAGGTAGTAATTTATTTAGAAACTTGGGTGTAAAATCTGTCAGTAGTCCAGGTAGAACCCAGGACAAAAGGAAAAATTCTATTTGTTAACTGGACAAAGTTTATTTGGCCAAAAACGTGTCGCAGTTCATCCAAACTGCTTCTTCAGTTCTGGTCAAAATGCTGGTGGACACTGAATTTCTCCTTTTCGGAAGACGTTTGAACTTTTGTCCAGTTGCATTTCCTTTGTCATTATTTAGAGATTGCATAAAAAATAATAATCATCATCATAATTGTTTGACTAATCAAAAAACAAAAATAACCTACAAAAACAACAGCTGATTAGTCACCATAATAATTAATTGGAGCGCTGTATAGTTGTCACTTACATGGTCGACACACTGGAAAGAGATCTCGCAATCCTACGTATGAAGCATAACCGTCATCAAAGAATATCAGGAATCTACAAAACAGGATTAAAACAACTGTGTAAGGCAAAGCTTCTCAAACATTTTCTGGTGCCTCCTGAGAGAATAACAAATAAACCCATGTCCCCCTGCAGCTTAAAGAGGTTATACACTAGCCTATTAAATTCAAGTGAAACTCAATATATATAAGCCTAAATGATTATTTTTGTTATTTAAGGTTCAGAGTTTAATGCTGTCAGTTCCATTTATTTCCAATGCCTGTGTCATTAAAAAAAAGACTCTCTTTCAGACTGGGACTCCCTTTCATTGGTTTGTGTCATGAACTGGAACAACAAAGAGCCTGATTGCTCCACAAATATACAAGTCTTTCTGGGTGCTCTCCTCCTCCTCCTCCTCCTCCTCCTCCTCCTCCTCCTCCTCTCCTCCCTCACTTTCTCTCAGCTCCATGTCTCTGTTCTCCTCTCTACAGCTCAAAATACAGGCAGAATGTTTAAACTACAAAAAAAAAAATCACATATGTAAATAAAGTGTAATATAGCATGTGTAGTTACCGCATACGATTCTTGGTACTGGGCATTTCAGCGACGATGCCAGCATAAAGCCACTCCGAGTTCCCGTCCTTGTACTTGGCCACAACACGAGCTCCGACATAGAGGTTTTCCAGGATCGGGTTGAAGGTGAAAGCGATGTGATTTCCAGAGAGAAGACTTTTGCCTTTATCAAACTTCACTTTAAACTTTTCAACACCATCCACTAAGAGAGAAAATGTAAAAAAAGAGGAATATTTTTTATGGCATTTAAAATGAATATTTTAAGGTTACATACTGGATTAATACATTTCTTTATTTAAAAAACATTTTGCAGCTTGTATGCCAACAGTGCACCAGTCTTACTTCCTACTTTTTCACAGTTATTGTAAAGTACAGTATTTTTCGAAGTATAAGTCATACTTTTTTCATAGTTTGGGTTGGTCCTGCGACTTATACTACGGTGTGACTTGTATATAAATATTTTCACATTGACAGCAATGAGAGGCTCTAGACTTGTGTGTCAGCATCGGCTGCTATTACTCCTGTACCACTGTCACTTCACTCTACTGCGCATGTCTCCTGCAGACAGAGCCACTGTCCTGTCTGTATCATGTCAGTCGATCGCACCATTACTTCTGTACCACTGAAAATTAAAAATTTAAACAAACTTATAAAGACGACTGAGAAGCCTGAACACAAATGCCCTGAAAAAGAAAATCATATTTTGCAGATTACAAGCTGCACGTAGCGAAATATGCAGCAGAAAAGGGTAATCGAGCAGCAGAAATAAATTTTGGAGTGAGCGAGAAACTTGGGACAACAGGGAGGGTACACCATGCAACTTTCCTGGAAGTCACTGGATGGATCGACAAAGCCTGGAATTCAGTGACACCGAAACCATCCTGTCGGGATTCAGAAAGGCCAAAATAATTCTAACTGGAACTGAGTCTAACGACAGCTACACGGAAGAGGAAGTGGCGCTCCCTTTACCTCCGGAGGTTACAGTGTTGCTCAGATGTGACACCAAGGATGAAGAATTTAGTAGATTTAGTGATTTGGAGTGAGATGGAGAGTTTGGTAAACTTGTTCTGTTCTGTTGTTTATTCTATAGTTATCTGAATAACTGTTAATATGTGACGTTACCAGCCTGTTGTTCTCTGTTCTATTGTTATTACTATAACTTAACTTTCAAGATGAAATGGCGGTTCCTGGTCTAAATTTCCCCCAAAAAGTGCAACTTATAGTCCGGTGCAACTTATATATGTTTTTTTCTTCTTCATTATGGATTTTTGGCTGGTGCGACTTAATAGTTTGAAAAATACGGTGGGTACAGCCCCTTTAACAAATGTCTCACATACCTCCCGACGGCTGTATGGCGACGAGGGTCCCGTTGTGCCAGATCTTGGTGCGTTTCTTCCCCAGCACAACCATCCCCACTTTGAGCTCGTACTCTTTGATGTTTGAGTGGTTTGGCTGCGGCACCGACTGAGACGAGATCTGGGACACGATCACTGGAGGCGCCTGAGGGTGAACCTGGCCTGAAGAAAAGCATTATAATATGGAAAATCAGTTGTCACACAAAAAAAGGTAATATTTTAAAATAATACACCTAATTAACCTAAATGAAGCATGAAGAAAGTCTGAATTCAGAATGAACAAATAGTTTAGAATAATAGTTCAAGAATAAGCTACAAGATACAATTTCTTGTCATTTTTGGTTTGGAGTAAAGAAAAAAAAATGGGATAAAAATAAATATGAGTGGAATAAGGCCATAAATGTACCAAAGTACTTACTGATCAAATCTGTAAAATATAAGTTAATATATAAAAGACAGATTTTTCCTTACCTGACTGCCTGCCCGGGGGAGGTCCTAAAGCTGACTTGCTGACAAACTGTACTAACTCCTGAACTTGTTGAGAAGTTTTCTGCAGAGCTGCTGAGGTATCTTTCATCTGTCAACGGAAAAGAAAACACATGCAATTAAAGAAATTTGTTAGTGTTCTGGTGATTATAGTGGGCCAAAAAAGTATTTAGACAGCCGCCAATTGTGCAAGTTAAAAAGATGAGAGAAGCCTGTAATTTTCATCATAGGTACACCTCAACTATGACAAAATGAAAAAAAAAATCCAGAAAATCACATTGTCTGATTTTTAAAGACTTTATTTGCAAATTATGGTGGAAAGTATTTGGGCAATAAAAAAAGTTCAACACTTTGTTACATATCCTTTGCTGGCAATGGCAGAGGTCAAATGTCTTCTGTAAGTCTTCCCAAGGTTTTCACACACTGTTGCTGGTATTTTGGCCCATTCCTCCATGCAGATCTCCTCTAGAGCAATGATGTTTTGGGGCTGTCACTGTGCAACATGGACTTTCAACTCCCTCCAAAGATTTTCTATGGGGTTGAGATCTGACGACTGGCTAGGCCACTCCAGGACCTTGAAATGCTTCTTACGATGACACTTCTTCGTTGCCCGGGTGGTGTGTTTGGGATCATTGTCATGCTGAAAGACCCAGCCAAGTTTCATCTTCAATGCCCTTGCTGATGGAAGAAGGTTTTCAATCAAAATCTCACGATACATGGTTCCATTCATTCCTTTACGCGGATCAGTCGTCCTGGTCCCTTTGCAGAAAAACAGCCCCAAAGCATGATGTTTCACAGTTGATTTCTTCACACCAAGCTGCTCACCAATTGCAGATTCAGTCTTCCCAGCCTGGTGCAGGTCTACAGTTTAGTTTCTGATGCCCTTTGACAGCTCTTTGGTCTTAGTGTTAGTGGAGTTTGGAGTGTGACTGTTTGAGGCTGTGGACAGGTGTCTTTTATACTGAGAACCAGTTCAAACAGGTACGCTAATAGAGGGAACGAGTGGAGGACAGAGCAGCATCTTAAGAGACCAAATAATTAAGGAATTAAGGAATTTACCAATTAATTCATTAAAAATCCTACAGTTTGATTTTCTGGATTCTTTCCCCCCATTCTGTCTCTTGTACCTACAATATGATGAAAATTACAGGCCTCTCTCATCTTTTCAAGTAGAAGAACTTGCACAATTGGTGGCTGACTAAATATTTTTTGCCCCACTGTATGTCTGAATTTACTATAAAGGCTAAACTATACAGAACCAAGACCCACACAACACATAATTCTTTGTGTTTCTATCAGGTGGGTATCAACTTTTAAAATAAAAGTTCAATTGGTGATGGGTGGACCACCTGCTTGTCTCCATGGTGATGTCATTGATATACCTGTCATATTCCCCAGTGTAGCATTACGGAAACTTTTTAGCTTGCATTTACTACATATTTGTTCATATTGTTCAAAAACACATTCTCAGTCAGAGCATCACCTGCTTGTCTGCAAGGAGATAGATAAATTTTATGCCATAACGTGAATATTTCCAGACAAGGCAATAACACCTCCATGGATAAAAGCAGGGGACCCTCCACTAGAAAAGTTACACAGTAAACCTTTAAAAGTGTTGAAAAAATTCACATTAAAGTCTTACCGGTGAAGTAAGTGCAGGTGACTTGGGAGGAACCACTACAACACAATCACACAACAATATTAATATAAATGTCATAAAAATGAATAAATAAATGGGTTTAAACGAGACTTACAACAGCCCACAGCAATAACATCGTCATCGTCGTCATCGTCAATCTCAATGACCTCAGAGGACAGCGGCTCTCCTCCCAAACCCTCCTCCTCTGAACTGCTCTCCACATACACCAGGCCATTCTGTTCGTACGTCTCCTTCACCAACTTCTCACATTCAAGTAAAGATCTAAAACAGAATAAAACTGCTAAATGAAGGGATACTGGCCAAAATACAAGGCCTGTACTGATAATTACTATATTGATTTATTGTTCAAGGAGTGTTGGATGGAACAAGCTTTTTGGGGGGTGAGTATTTATCGCAGATACTTTTAATTTTTATTTTATGATAAGATTTGAACAATATATTATGTTAAAAAATGTATTGAACTTCAAAATGCATTATTGTGACAGGTCTGAAACATTGATGTACATCACTAGGGTAAATTAGATGAACCCTTTAAGGACATCAAAGTTTCACAGTAAAAAAAAATAATGACATCACTCTAAAGTCATATTTAATCGCCAATCTTAATTAAAATGAACAATTGACTGATTAATTGATTTGTTTTTATTTCGAGTTTGGGCCATGAGAGAAACAATAATCATATACATATACACTGTAAACAACAGAAAAGTGCATTTCTCGAAAAGGAGTGGGAAGAATAAAAACTTAAACATGCAATAAACTGGTATAACATATCACCAGTTTCACCATAGTCCTAAAGAAAAACAATGCATTAGGTACTAAATATTTGAAAAATACTCACTGACTGGCATCTTTAAGCAGCGATTCAACCACTGCATTTTCCTTCTCTTTCTTCTCCACCCATTCTTGAAGCTCGTGCAGATCGGCTTTCTTCTTCTGCACCATCTCACTCTTCTCCACTGCCTCGTCGATCCACTGCTTCAGCTCCACCAGCGAAATGCCCAGCTCCTCCTCCAAACTCGAGTCCCAGCCCTCCACCTCCATGCTCACCTCCAGACTGTCACTGGGGAAAAAGGTGAAGATCATTTTAAAAACACACTAACAATGAGCAATGTAATCTAAACTGTGATCATTTTTATTTAATTTAGTGTTTAGTTTTTCAGTCAAGATTTTTCAGATTCCTTTTTTCAGTCCAGTTTTAGTCCAAAAATAGTCACTCTAACTTTGTCAACTAAACCATACACTGATTTAATGACATCTTTGTATATATAGATATGGAGTGAATGATTAATGATCTGTAAAGCTTCATTGTGACATACAGTCCCTGACAAAAGTCTTGTCACTTATCCATTTTGTAGAAAGAAAAGCTTATAACCTGACTTTAAATTAATCGATTGGTTTTAGAAATGTCTCATATGAAAGCTAAAACCCTCCCAAATTATGCTCAATATACTAAAATAAATTTGCTTCACTGAAGAAAGATTGATCATTTAATGAACACAGAAAGGTCATATTTTGGCAAGACAAAAGTCTTGTCGCCTTGTCATATGATGCACCCAATCCTAGATTACAGCCTCACCTGTGATCAGTTACTGATCAATCAATTAGTGGGTGGGTATAAAAAGACCCCCAGCACACCAGACCTTCACATCAACTGCAACTTGACCTCTGACAACATGCCTAAAATCCACCCTGAGACCAAAGCGTTAGACATTTCTAAAACCAATCGATTAATTTAAAGTCAGGTTATGAGCTTTTGTTTCTACAAAATGGATAAGCGACAAGACTTTTGTCAGGGACTGTATGTCTGCGAAAAGCGCTATATAAATAAAAACTTACTTATTTACTTTGTAGCCTATTATACCTATTTAAGCAAGTAAATAAATAAGTAATAAATCAATTACATTGTCATTAATTGTACTTTAATATAAATTCTACGTTAAAAAGTCTTATGTGAATCCTTATTGTTGGAGTCCTTGTGCTGTTTTTCTTTCTTTCTTGGAATTCTGTCATTGTTTAATAGGGTTTGGCATTATAAGTACCTTTTACTTCAGCCTAAACCCTTTCAGTCATGATCTATGGGATTGTAGTCTATGTTTTATTTTGTTTTGTTTTGTAGTGCTGAAAAATGACAGAATAAACAAGTACTACAACTACTACTACTACTTCTACTACTTATTTATATTTAATATTTTATACACTTTTGGCATTGCTTTTATCTGCAAATGGTGTAATGTTGTTCATGTTGTAATGTTCTGTTTTGTTTTCTCAAACACACAAGTAAGTATCTTATTTTATTAGTTCATTACTTCAATCTTACGTTATTCGTTTTGGGCATAGACTGTAGGATTTTGGGCAAGGTAGTGCTGAAAGATGCACGGAGGTTGGGTCTGTTTACAAAATAACACAAATCCAGACTGCTATTTCTAGTATCTGACATGTTAATTTTTAATAAGATAATCTGCTTTTTAAATTACTTATAAAAATCCTTGTACATTTATGTGATGTGCTTTTGTCAGTGTGAGGTTTTCTTGAACAGATGGAGTCATGTTATATCTTTGCAAACATTATACGCAAAAGGCAAACACGCAATGAAATATATCGGTAATAATCACAAATAGGTCAATCTGTGAGGAAAATAATTCATGAGTTTGGTTATGAGGGCTAACATGTTAGCGTTATTTTAGCATCATGCCGGGTTTGCAGCATCTGATGTGCTCCTGTAAATGCAGAACAAAACGGATGAATGACCGATTTGCTATTCCAAAATGGCCAGTGAGAAATGCTCTTTAGATATTACGATTAAAGGCGGAAACAGCATTTAACACTCACCCCTCGGTGCCATCCATCCTTTCTGCTTCCACATATGACAACAAAGCTAGCGGCTAATGCTAACAGGACATACAGGCACTGGGTTTGCTGTACGACGCATCTGGAATGGCCGGTGTTTGGCGACATTAGAATTCTGCTCGTAAAACATTAAGCACCGCCCGGTTGGAGTGCCACTACACTTTAATCAAGCTTCCAACAACTTTGCCACCTGATTGGGCGCCTAAATTCCGTTGTTGTTATCATAACAAAAGCATCTAAGAAGAGGCATGAAATATATCACTAAAACTGTAAAGTAAAGTTAAATAAAGTTAAGTTAAATACAGTTTGTTTGTTTGTCTAAGTAAAGGCAGGTATTGACATCTGACGTTTAGCCAATTAGGACTTATAAAATGCCAAATTTGTATGCTTTGAGTATGCATGAATAATACTGCTCAAAATACAAGTTATTTTTAATGCAATTTTAATATAATGTATCACTATTTTTTAGTTGAACCTGGAATTTGCATAGTTTCTGTGCTCTGGCCAGCATATGGGAGCCTGATTCATCAGCTGGTTTCACTTCGTGGAAACTGTCCAACTTAACCAATCGCTGCTATTTGGTTGTGATGTATGTAATGCGCCGCTAATGGGGCTAACTGGTATATTAAGTTTTTCCCGTAGGAAGAAGGGCAATAACGCCTTTCCCCTTGATAAAATTCACCAAACATTCTCTTTGCTTCGGCTTTAAATCCTCGATCTCAGGAATTGTTGCCAGCACAGAATGTATGGCTCTTTGATGACTTGCACTTCCGGGGTTCTTGCAAACCATCTAGTGTATTCCGATTCCTGGCCTAGTTGCTGAAGAGAAATGAAACTGGGCAAAGGCACTAGGTGGCACCAGCCTGGCCAAGCGTACACAGTGCTGTTTTTGAGAAAGAAGCAGAGAGAGAGCAGTGAGAACTTGGATTGGGACATGGGGAATACTCAAGAACTGTGATTTTAAATGTAGCTTATTACAGTTAATTACTTTTTTCTTTTTTCAAAATCTACTTAATTACAGTAACATAAGTATTTGTAATTATTTACTGTACTATCAACCTATGCCAAATGGTGCTAATAGAGCTAATCCAAGTGTAAGTGCCCTGCCTATTTCAGTAGAGCATGTTTATTTATGGTATGACTATGCATCTTATTGCTTTATGCCAAATCAGAGTTAGACCTGGATGACCCCCCTCAAAAACAGCAAAACTTTTACCTAACTTGTAATAAATTATATAAGGATATTATGATATGTAATTATAGGCCTACACTGAATTCTATTATCTATAATTCATTCATTCATACTTATTGAAATTATAAAAGTAATGAAGTATATTTTCCTTGTGAGTAAGTAATTCTAACCCAATGTAAAACTGTATATTTTATTAAGGAATAAAATATACATATCTTACCTTCTTTTGGTTGTTGTGAATCTACTCTTTATGCAATCTCCCATTAAGGGCGGTACACCTACATTTTTAAACACATGTGGACCCATTGGCAGGGCAGTGCTTTCAAAAGTGGAACAAAAGTTTGCCACAAGTCCTGCTCCGTTCATGAGTCTTCAGTTTGCTCCTCTTGGTAAGTCGTAGTAGAGATAGCACTGTACGGATCCAGGACCATTTGGGCACAGCGCACTATTGTCACCAACAAGAAGAAGCAGAGGAGTGAGAAAAAGAACAAAACAAATCCAAGGTCTACGTCTATTTCTAACCGAGCTGAAGGAACCGTTGGTGGGTCCATTGTTGGAACAGAAACGTGTATCCCTGGCAACACAATATCCGGTCAAATGGGTAAAGTGGCTACATGCTGTGGGAATATAGTTGATCCTTTGAGCAGAGGTACTTGCTGTTGACACCTCTACACTCCTACAGTCATTGTCCTGAACATAAGATGGGTGGGAGGACACGGCAAGCCTCATTTGGCACCTGTGTCACACTTGAAACTTTAATGAGGAATTTGGTGACGGTCATCCAGGCAGCTCCTGAGATTAGAACACCCCGGCCTCTCTGACAGGGTGACAACCTCAAAGGGTAGTAAAAGTGAGGCGCTTGTAAGATGTGGTGGGACATTGACAGCGACGGGAAGAAAACATGTATTTAGTTACCGGATACTGAATACCTGCTGCTTTGTAACGTGTTTTGATACATGGCCTGATCTGAATACTTTCCCAATCCTTTCACAATAATACTGCTTTGTATTGATTGGACTGGTTATAATGCATTTCTTTATGACTTATCAGAGATGGAAAAAACTGCATGTCCTTTCACCTCCTTAAGAGTTCTGTGCAGCAAAGTCTTAATTGTATGAAGTACTGAAATGCATTCCTTTGATTTTAGGTACGCAACAGTATTCTGAATACCATCAAAAAAAACAAAAAAAGTAACAAAATACACATGGTATTTCCAAATCTTTTCTCCCCCCAAAAGGGTTCACTACTGTTAGAGAAATTCCACTCTGTGCCAGCTCAGTCCTTGTTATCCTGACCTGTGACTTCAGTGGTATAATACTCCCTACAACAGAAGCATAGACAGACTGGACTGCATTAGATTGGATTGGACAACACTATCACAATGTCTTGAGGTTTCATGTGTCTGGGTGCTGTGTCCTGTACTGATGGTCAGTAAATTTCTCCTGTTTTAGAACTTCAAACTTCTTCCACCTTTGTTGCTACTGCAATTTTTTCTACAACAACAGAGATAAAGTATACATATGCAGTTTGGGAAGCACTTTTTGATTCATCTGTGAATGGTGCTAAACGTCATCAAATAAATTGGATAAACCAGTTAATTTGGTGTTTTAAACCTGTATAAGAACATTTAAAATAGGCACATTGATCTCAGGTCCACCTCGTTATTAATAAGACATGAAGAACATCTCAATTCACAATGAACACATCTTAACTCCTCGCAGTAACCACTTAATTATGAAATTATATGAAGTTATTTTGATACCCTAAACTTACTACTTAAACTAAATTTATCAGCAGACTTTTTTCTGTATCAAGAATGATTAGAATAGTCAGTTAGGAATAGAAACTGGGTACTTAATATGAGCATTTTTAACAAGAAATGTGGATATTACACTCGTGTTGTGACAAAGTTCTCATTTTTGAGTTGAAAGGAGCACAAAGGAGCACAAAGTGGTCATGCAGTAATCAAAATAATAAAATATGAGTGTATGTGTATGTAGTTTGATGTGATGCAAACCAATGTTAAGCTCTGGGTGATAAGAGAGTGAAGCTTGGAGAGAAGAAAGAGGATATGACGCCTTTGTGGCAATCCACTTGAGAGGGGTAGGAAACTGATCCAGGCCAAAAAATGCAGATTGCTGTATTCTGATGCCTCCAGAGAGACACTTCCAAGTTAAAAGTAAAGTGACTCCAGCAATTAGCAGCAAAACTTAATAAACACTCAGGAAGGCACAAGTCTGTAAAAATGATGGATAAGGCCCCTCGTGGGCTTTGTTTACACTCAAGAAGAAAACAATATGACAGCAGGTCAGAGCTACAACACTAAATTTCAATTTGTCTCATTTTGACTGCAAGATGTCTTTGACCTGGAGTAGCTCAAGTAGAACTGTTTGTTCAAGATGTTTTTTTTCAAGTAAGCTAAATTATAATCAAGCCAAATTATTTGCCAGTGGGATATAGGCCTAGATCGTTTTACCTACTGGCAAATGGAGCTCAACAGTGACCGCCTTCTCCGCTTCCAGAAGTAAATTTTCCATTAATTTTTCCCCATAGACTTTTCCAAAAATTTAAGAAAAAAACAAAAAAAACAAATTCAGAGTCAGTGAAATGCTGTGTTGGTTACCACATTGTTGATTAGTCCTGAGCAACCCTTCAAACTTTAAATCTTTTTTTGTTTTTTGGAAAGTCTATGGGTAAAAAGAATGAGAAAATTTGCTCTGGAACCAGTGGGTGGGAAGTCACTCTTGAATTCCACTGTTTTCTTATTTAAAGTTAAATTAGGCTTATATAATTTATCCCATAAGAAATTAAATAATATATTCAAAACTACTCAATTTCACATTAATATTTTGATATTCACTTATTTTTATTCACTTAATTTAAGCAGTAATTTAGTGAACTTGTTATTAAATCGATTTCTTTCAGAGGTTTCAGTGAGGATGTTATTGTGTGTGGTCTTACATGATTTAGCCCGGGTCAAGTTCAGTTAATTAATCAAGTAGAGCACCTCTGAACACAGTAATGATACAAACCCTCCAAAAAGCGTATCTGATTTAAGAAATATGTAGGTGACCCCTGTCAAAGATTTCTATTGGAGATATATAAAATAGATTTTAATTAAGGGTGTGCAAAAATATTGAAACATCGGTATATCGTATCATTTAATGTGATGATACAGTATCGATATCATGGGCTGCTGTATTGATATAATATCGCCAGAAGTATTATTTAGTATATTTTACGAAATTATTTTGTTACAGTGCTACAGTTTTGTTGCTTGTTTAGGGGAAGGAAACTCATTTATGTGACACATTTTACATTTTCACAGTTTTGATGATTAAAATGTTTGTGTTTCATATGAACTTTGCATAAGAAGGGGTTTAACAAAGATCTTTAGTATCACAGCCATGACTTAGCAATTATTTTTTTAAATGAACCGTATTGAAATCAAAAGCATGCCGTATCGAGATATGTATTGTACCGTGGCCTATGTATCAAGGTATGTATCGAAAGGACAACTTCTTAATGATACCCAGCCCTAATTTTAATAGGATAATTATTGATTAGATTACTGTTCGATCTTGGAACAACTTTCAAGAACTATCCTTTAGGACTGTAAGAAATAGCTGCTGGGTCTGAATTCTGCTGGATTTTAAGAAGCTTTATTACAAGCCAATTGGAATCATGTTTTAAAGCTCATTAAAGTGTTCATTCAACTTTTGATTAATAATAAATGAGACGGTCTTACATTTATCACAGGCCAAATCAGGAGTGTCCTTCCCTTTGTGTGGTTGACTGGAGTCGAGGCCGTGCCCTTGTTCTTTACTGGACTCATTGACCTGCAGTTGTACTTGGATGTTCTGGAGGCTCAGGTGATGTAACGACACACAGCTTTAATTGGCCTGGATCCTTTTCTCTCATTTTGTTCATTCACCTCGCCCTTCTCTCATTCACAACTAACAAAGAAATGGGTTGCAACACCATCAGGAGCATCGGGTACCACCATCCAGATCTTGCACTGGTATTGGTCAGGACTTTCTTAAAAGGAGGATTTGACTTAATGTGCATGTTTTGGGTTGATGAGGGAAACCGGAGTGCCTCGTGAAAACCCACTCAAACACAGGGAGAAACATTTCAGTTCAGCATAGAAAGGCCCGGCCAACCCAGAAGTCAAACCCAGAGCTTCTCAGAGTCTTTTATTGATGTTTTAGTGTACTCCACCATGTATTTAGTATTTTATGTCCAGCAAGTCAAAGTTAAGACGAGCTTCATTTTTGTAGCACATTTAAACAAAAATAAAAGTTCATATGCACATTTAACAATGTAACAATTTAATACAAAAACAGACAACTCTTCTTACATTTCTTTAACATATACAGTATATTATATTTGTGTGATAAAGGTTGACATCAATGAAAAGAAAAGGATATATAGAGATACCAAAGCAGCCTCCAAAACAAAGTGGAGAAAAGTGGACAGTTACAAACATATTTTCATGATTTGTCATCACAAGTGTGCAAGTGCCACACACAATTTTACAATTCAAAATTAAACTCCAACAATTATAATACAAATTGATTAGAAAACTCGCTGGAAAATTATGGCTAGGTCTCAATCAAAGACAAGTTTATACAAAAGAACAATTATTTTTTTTAAAGGTCCAATATTACTCAAAATATTCTTTTGAGCTTCAAGCCATGTTAGAATGTTGTTACCTTCTCAAAAAACACACCTGGAGTTGTGTTGTTTTATTCATACGTTTGAGTAATCCTTTATGTGCACTTTGTGTTGCGTTTTTTGTATGAAAAGCGCTCTAAAAATAAAGTTGATTGATGTGTTTTCTGTTTGAGAGAAGAGCTCATCCTGAACATGCAAGGTTTGAGTGTTAAACATGTAAATGAAACGAAACACAACTCCAGTCCAGGTTTGTTTTTGATGAGGGAAACAAGATTATAACACAGATCAGAAAACCGCGTAATATTGACCGTTTAAACAACCGGAAAAACACAACTGTTTTACCTCAGACAATTCCATTTAAATCCTGAATACCCTGATTAGACCATCCATTAAATACCAATTGTAAAAAGGGCAACATAAAATTAAAATTGAAACATTACTACACAAAACCAGAATATTATTAAAATAACATTAAAAACACAATAAAGAATGGCTTTAAAAGTACGCGTTTCCTGCTTGTTAATTATTGCTTATTAAATTTCTTGCAATAGTCCCATACTTGGTACAGGGTGATTTAGCGTTAGAAGAAGAAAAGTCTGACCCCCACTCAATGTCAAATAAGCATCCATTTTACTTGCACAGTCACTACTTATATCCTTGTAGTTTAAAGGTACACTATGTAACATTAATGCAATACTGTGGGACATTTGAGGCAAAGCTGTTTGTTGAAAAAAAGCAGATGACAAGCCCTCTTCTAGAAATGTTACATAGTGTACCTTTAAGTGAAAAACATATCGAGTACTATGACAAACAGCACAGGCAGAGCAAACACTAGTGTATGTTAGAGCAGTGGTTCTCAGCTGGTGGGTCGGGACTGCAGCTTACTACCAATTTTGAAACCACAATATTATAAAATTAATATAATGTAATTTATGCGGTCCTGATATTCTTGGATTTCCACATTTTTGCAACACTACAGCAACATTTTAGCTGTATTAAAGATATATTTTATCTCATTTTAACTTATTTGTCATCATTTTGAAACACATGGACAAATTAAGACCAGTCTAAAACTCTTGACCCTATTGTAACATATATATTATGTTAATGTTTAATCTTATTACTGATAGCAGTTCAAATAAGTATCTACTTTTGATTGTCTTTAGTTTTTGTCAATCCATTAGTACATGGGGATTGAGTTTTGCCAAAAAAAAAAATTGGATTGTCCACCTTATTATGATGATTAAATAGACTAAACTCATTCATATTTTTGTTGTTGTGAATGTTTTTTTTTTCTGTAACAGGGTCAAAATGTTGTATAAATTACACATATAGTGAAGATGACCATGATTGTAATGTAAAAACTTACAAAAACCGACGTAGAAACACATTGACTTGTCCCATGTAACCATTAAAGAACTTTTTTTTTTTATTACAAAAGAGTGCCTCAGGGCTTTTTAACCGCTTTTTACTTCATCACAATAAGTTTTTTACATTACAAGCTTGGTCATCTTCACTATCTGTCTGCTTTTGAGGCTTGTTCCACCAGTTGAGAACGACTGTGTTAAAGCACATAGTTTTAATTATTACACATTCTTTAGGAGGTAAATTAACACGACTGAAATAGGTCCACCAAAACAAACTGTAGCCAGAGTAAATGTGAAAAACAGCATCTTCAGCTCAGGCCAGTCAAACAAAAGGGGCATTAGTGAGGACAGTTGTGCATTGTTTGTGCGCTCTGCAGTTTCCTGAGAGTATAAATTAAAACTACTGGAGTTCGGGCTGCACAATACGAGACAAAAATCTGATAATTGATGATGTTGTGATTTTTAAATTTATATTTTTTAAGCTCTGTTTTGATGCACTATGTCAATTTTCTGGTGAAAGGTCTGCCACCTGCTTTACTTTAACTGAATGTTCCACAGTGTAGCATTTAATTGATCTATTTCCATGGAGACAGGTCAGATCTGGAGGTGAGCCGGCTGACAGCAAGTAATGATGAGTAGTAATGAGTAGTAATGATATTTTAGAGCAAAAAAAAGCACCTGTAATTGAGTAAATGCACAGTAGACACATAGAACATTTCAGGCAAAGCAATAACATCTCCATGGAGACAAGAAAGTTCCATAGTTCATCTTTAACATTTTAACAGTAAATGTCAAATGAAAACCTCAGCGTCTTTAAAATACATCAATCTTATTGCGATATGTAAACTGTGTTAACCAATCCTGCAATACTGACACAGACAGAAATATATTGTGCGGCCCAAACTGGTGTACAACTATTCACCAAATGACAGTAATGACTTAAGCCTGAGAAAAACCTGAAACAACAGAGTAAAGGCCTTGTGTGTTTTGGACCAAGCAGAAAAGTGTGCGTGTGCAGGAAGTTCAAGTGTAGTTTAGTAGTGATTGTGCGTTCATAAATTAAATAAAAACAGGTATTGGAGCTTTGGGCAGTGCTAGTCGGGTAATCTCATGGTTAAAATGTCAGTAGCGCTTCCTGGATTGTTCTCCCTTTGTGACTGTAGATGGCAGTGCAATACAAGCCATGCAAAGCAGAAGAAGACGGTTCTGAGGGATTGTAGGAAGCATTAAATTAAATATGGAAGAGTGAGGGCTCAAACGTTGAGTAGAAATACCAGAAAAAGTGTTTCTAATGTCACTCGTTAAATGAAGAGTACATGGGGATCTCAAAGTCATCGCTGTTGAAGTTGGTAGGCTGGTCCAGCATTGACAGTACATCCTGTTTCAAAAGACAGAACATAAAAGTGACATTTTAATCATGATATTAGGAGAAGTAATCATTTAAAAGAAGTGGTAAATAAAGCGATAATAAAATATAATTCTAATTTAAATACCGTATTTATGTCGCACTTTTTACATGGTTTGGGTGGTCCTGTGACTTATACTCCAGTGAAACTTATATATTAAAATTTTCACTTAGAGCAGTGAGAGGCTCTAGACTTGTGTGTCAGTATCTGCTGCTCCTATTACTCCTAATTCTAACTGGAACTGAGTCTAACGACAGCTACACAGAAGAGAAAGCGGCGCTCCCTTTACCTTCGGAGATCGCAGAGCTGCTCAGAAGTGACACAGAGGATGAAGAATTCAATGGATTTAGTGATTTGGAGTGAGATGGAGAGTTTGGTAAACTTGTTCTGTTGTTTATGCTATAATTATCTGAATAACTGTTCAATAGAACAGAGAACAACAGGTTGTTAACGTGACATATGATTTTACTATAATTTGCCTTTCAAGATGAAATGTCGGATCCTGGCCTCTGATTTTATAAAATAAATTTACCCCAAAAAGTGCGACTTATTTATATGTTTGTTTGTTTGTTTTTTTCTTCATTATGCATTTTTTGGCTGGTGCGACTTATACTCTGGAGTGACTTATAATCCGAAAAATACAGTAGTCACTAAATCTTGTTTTGATTTACAAAAATCTTAAATCTCAATCTTACATACAGATCCTTTAAAAAATATCTCAAAACACACAATATCCTGTCTCTATAACGCCTTATGCTAAAACCTGCCAATCCTGTATCTTAATTTTAAAGTTCAAATTTCAGCCTTCTCTCAAATATGACTGCCTCTGATGTGTCAATACAATTCAGTTATTTAGCCCTGGCTGTAGAAAATGAAGTACACTCACAGGAAACATATCTTGCTGGTTGCCCTGAGCGTGCGGGTGCTGCTCTGCGTTGCCCTGTGGGTGTTGCTGACCCTGCCACTGGGGCCACACTGCCTCTGCTGCTCGAGAAGGGAACTGCGGTCCGGACTGGGAGCCATCTGAGGAACAGGAAACACTCAAGACATGTACTAAGAACAATGGACTAAACAATAAAAAAAGAAGATAATTTCCTCTCTGCATACCGTAACCGTTGTTGTTGATGGTTGCGCGTGGGTTCATAGAAGGGTAGGGGGCGCTGTTGTTCTGGGTAGGAGCAGTCCCGGTGGGCATCTGGTTAAAAGTATTTGAAAATCCTCCAATGGGAGCAAACTGTGGGGGCATGGTCTTTGCTGCTTGTGGAGCCACTTTCTGCTGAGTCGAGAAACATACAAAGGTCAAAAGTGAAACCAAACTATAAAACGGTGAGAGTTATTATCAGCTCTGAACCAGATATATCCTGTTTTCTAACTGTGACAGAGGGAGTTCAGTTTAAGATGACAATCCCAGCCCATTTGTAAAGCCTCACGTTTTTCAACTGTATTAATCACATTAGATTAGGACTGGGTATTATTCAGAAGTTGCCGATACGATACATACCTCGATACAGTGAGCTTACGATTACAAATTCAATACGATATATATCAATTCAATTAGATACGATTCAATTAAAAAATGGAGGCTAAATCATGATACGAAAAGTCTTTGTTAAACAAAATCTTGTGCAAAGTTAATATGAAACACAAACACTTTAATAAAAAAAAAAAGTCAAATGTGTTGCATGAACGAGTTTCCTTCCTCTGAACAAGCAAAAAAACTGTAGCGCTGCAACTAAATAATTTTGTAAAATATACCAAAAATTACTCTTGGCGATATATCGATACAGCAGCCTATGATATCGATAACGTATCATCACGTTAAATGATACATCGATATTTCAATATTTTTGCCCCTACATTAGATTAGTCTATTATATACAAGTGTCAGGCAGCAAAGTAGAGACTGTGATTGTTTACTCTGTGAGCATTAAAAACACTTTCAAATTGAGAATTGAGGATAAAAATAGCATTGTGATTTGATCTCATATTGTAATTCGGTAACCATCTGTGGACAGTAGCTCTCCAAATCAGAAAGCAGAATGAGCCTTGTATGAGTCTCATTTGGGTTGCCAGTTCCAACACCAAAACCAGTTGGTTAAAACTTAAATAAAGGACTCTCTCTGATCTCAATCCATAGTCACAGCACAGGCTACATACTGTTCCGCTCCGAAAAGCAATATAAAGTGTACACAAAGGTGATAAAAATCTAAATTATGGTCAAGGTTTTAAGCGCACAAACACTTTTACTCTACAACAAGCACAACATTAGGTACAGAGCTTTCAATAAAAGCATTCTAAAACACTTACAGGGTTATTGAACTGCGGTCTGGCTCCAGCAGCTGGGGCAGGCCACCCTCCCGGGGTGGTATTCCCGGGGGCCACAGTCTGAGGGGGCCCATTCTGACGAGAAATCTGAGCCAACATCTGCCCTGCTGAGTGCGGCTGCGGTGCCATCTGCGGGGGCATGCTCACAGGACGACTGAAAATAAAGACAAACAAACAATTATTATGTACAAAAAATCTAAAGGGTGTTAAAGCAGCAATAGCTTGAACTGTTCTGATGTACAGTATTAGTAACAAATCTCATGTCCCGTCTCGACTTGTGGGAATTGTGTCTCGTCCCACCCCTAAGGCCTAATAAAGTAAGAACTGTGCTGCAGCTCTTACAGTCAAAATTAGCCCACTTTGTGCTCTCTGCATTGAATTATAAATTAGTTTGATTGTTTGTGAAATAGGAAGAAATGTGGTTAGCATGCTGGTAGCATTCCTGTGATGGCAAAATTCTGTTCTGGCCTCTGAAAATTGTGAAAATTGCTTATAACGTCATTAATAATTTGTATTCTGAAATGCATTGGGAAAGAGAGGGTCGGGTGGTGCAGTGCTTTTTAAAAATGGCCCATAACATATGTGTTATAATGTTGTTTCCTCCTCAAAAACAGTACCTGGAGTTATGTTTTGTTTCATTCACACAACTTTAATACACAAACCCTGCTGTGAGATCAATTACTGCATACTGCATGTACTTCAAATCAAATGTACAATCGGCACTTTAATATCTTAATCAGAAGGTACTACATGTGTGTAAAAGCCAACAAAACTGTGGATCAAATTGTGGTGCAGATTTTTAAAATGGACTCACTTGTAGGCTTCAGGACGCTGTGCGGGGTAGTTGTTAGACGGGGGGTAGATCTGGTTGGGGGGTGCAGAGGGGGTGGGCAGGACTTTGTTCTGCTCCGGGCTATGGAACATGGGCGAGAAGAGTTCTGTCTTCTCCAGGCTCTTACTGTGGTCTGGAGCTGCTGCTGTTACCGGCTGTACAGGAATCTGAAAAAATATCAATTATAAAATTCAGGTTCAGAAGGTTTCTGGCAACTGACATGTCCAAAGCTTTTTCTAACCATCTACAGATATTATCAATGAAAATAATTTCTAGGGCATTTTAATACTGTGATTGTGTGTAAAATATCCAATCCAACTTTATTTATAAAGCACATTTTATAAACAAGACAGTTTCTAAAATGCTTCACATAGCAAAAACATTTCACTTTAAAAAGTCAGCAGAATTATGTTCCAAACAAAAGGAACTAGAATCAATAGATAAAAAAAATATTTAATAAAATTAATAAAACCAAGTAACAAAAATAATAAAAAACAATAAATACTTAAAAAAAATATGTAGATAAAAACAATAAATAAAAAACTTAATAAATAAATAAGAGACACAGACGACTGCAAGACTCACGCAGTATTAAAAGCCACAGAATAAAAGAAAAATATATATCTGACTTTTGATAACATTACTATACAAAGAGTAAACTGTAAGCCTCAGATTTATTTTTTAAAGGGCCCATATTACAGTATTTTCTTTTTCTATATTAAAAATTTAAAATATGCCTGAATATCTGAAGTTGTGTTTGTTACATTCACACGTTTGGCACACAAATCCTGCACAGAAAACACTGTTCTACCTCGGAAATGCTTCACTGTGTTTTTAAACTCCATACATTAGAACCGTAACAACAGTCCTGAAATTTCCAATCTCTACTGAACTAAAGGTAAAAGCTGTAACTTAATGAGGTGCAACAGAGCATTTTGAGCTTTGAGATATAGACAGATTAGTAAAAAAGTATTACTCAAACATGTGTGAATGAATGAATGAAACAAAACACAACTCCAGGTCTGTTTTTAATGAGGCAAAAACATATCTTAAAGCTCACAGGAGTCATTTTTTGTAATATAGGACCTTTAATAGTTGTTGGTTTTTTCAATTTTCCTTTTTGTAATTTACTGGAGCCATAATAGCCATAACGATTAGACTTTATTACTTGCCCGGCCCTAGTCGTACATTATAATCTTGCAGCAGCTGTTGTGGACTCACCTGTGATAGAGGGACCTGTCCTGCCTCGTATAAACCATCTCTGCTTCCTCCTCCGTCAAGCTCCGTCTGTTGCTGCTGCTGTAACTGCCTAAAAATAAAACAGAAAATCAATGAGAGGCTTTAAATACACCTGTTTCTGTGGCCTTCACCTTTCGCCAAACTAATCGCCAACCCACCACCAGTCACCATAGCAACAAAAAGAAGAGGAAAGAACCACAACCGCACCTGGGAAAAGAGTTTACTGTACTACGAGGAGTGGGCGATATGATTTAAACAATCTAATATCAAAATGTCTGTTTTGAATATACTACAAATACTGTCTTAGCATTGAGATAAGTGAGTCAAATCGATTAATGACAACTGAACAATTATCCAAGCAAGTGTCTATTCATTTAGTAATCAGATTATACTTGTACACAGACTCAATTTTATTTTATTTTTTATTTTTTTTGACTCAGACAAAGCAGTATTTGTATCAAAATTACTGTTTTTGATGAAAAAAGTGTCCTCTGTGACCAAAAGTGGCATCACAGTGACTTAATTTGGGTAAAATTCTGTAAAAATCTCAGCAAGAAAACTATGTAAACATAACTGACAAGTGACAAAAATAAAAAGAACTGAAACTAGTTGTGTTTAATACTCCAAACAAGTCTAAAATCCTTCAAATCATATTTCTGATAGATTGTATTTTTTCAGTCTGTTTATCACTACTAGAAGAAATAAAATCCTGTTAATTTTTTTGTCAATATCACTCACTCCTTTAAACTATTCTTTACAATAAAACCACTGGTAAAACTAAAAGGTTAGAACCTCAAAACAAAAGCTGAAACAAAAACCCTGGAAAAGAAAGTCCCAACAGTTTTACACCACAGACCACGAGGAGCAGCAGGAGAAAGCACTGTGGTCCCATGCAGCGAGAGCGAGGGTCCCGCCTGGTCTCACCTGGAGGGCACCTGGGCCGGGCTGAGCACAGGGACTCTGTTTGGGCTGCTCTGGCCCAGAGAGGGGAGGGAGCCCCCGGGGGAGGACATGGGTGTGAGGGCTTCCTGAGACGAGTTTCTATTGTGTCGTAATAAGAAGTGGTGCAGAGGAAAAGACAGATCAGAGTTTGATTCTGGTTCATTCAGGCTGTGAAATTCTTGATTGTGACAGGGAGGAGTTCACACAAACAAATCAAGGACTGTGGTTGAGTTTCAGTTTATCACCAGAGTGTCCTACACAATAACAAATGTGCAATATATTTCTTCAAAAAAATAACACTATAAGCTAGAAATGGACTGATATGGGTTGGTCAGTAGTTGCAATTTTTAGAGCAGGGGTCTCCAGTATTTTTCCTCCATTGAGCTCCTTTTACAAAATGAAAATGCCAGAGAGCTACTCATTTAAGCAATGGCAAGAAATTGATATAAGAAAGAGGGCAACCTTTAGTTGAGGTACACTTAAATGCCTATAAAATATAAATCATTATCAATTTATTAGTGCACAGAGTTAGGCACCAGTGGTAATAGTTTTTTTTTTGTTATTCAGCATAATATGTATAATTCCGAAATCCCTTGGCAAGTTACTTGGAAAGGGGTGCGAAACCCCTGTTTTATTAGTAGTTTTAGTATTAGCTATCGGCTTTGAATCTCCTGCATCGGCCGATGTTTTATTTGTTCTAACCAACAGTTCAAAGGACAGACATGAAGCTTTATTTAAACCATTTAGTGCAATAATGACACTGCAAAATTTGTGATTACACTGCCAATATACACAGTCCTGAAGTTTATCGTTATTTTTAATCATACATTTTAGAAAATTTGTGGAACATTATCAAAAATCGACCACTGGCTGCTCTGGATTCTAATATATCACACAGGCCATGAAAAGCCCAGATCAGTCTATCTCTAATATAAACAACAACACTGAATAAACAGGTGCTTATTAACTTCACATTAACCCCAGTAAACCTTTTTTCTAAATGAACCACATTGCAAATTCAACATGAGTTGCAATGTGATAAAAAAAAATGCAAACAAATCCCCACAGTAAAATTAAATTATACAGTATAAATACCGAGAACAAAAATATAATTCTCTCTTACTCATTGTCAATATGTTAATTACCGTTACAGGCCTATGTAATGATGTTTTAGAAGTGAATGGGACTTACTTGACATTGACATTGGTGCAGATGATGTATTCGATCTCCTCTGAAAAAGGGTTTTGAAATGTAAAAGAGCTCGTTCTCATCCAAATCCACTCTCTCGATTTGGCGCGAAACCTGAACATCACAGACAGGACCTGGCCCTTCAGCTTCAAAACCTGCAAACACAATTCATTACCCCTCACGCTGATGGGTTTAATGTAAGATTTAAGAGAAAAATAGAGCATTATATTTAGAGATAGCAAAAAAATCTTTGAATTAATTTAGTTTGAAATAATATCTATTTATTTGTTCATGTCATTTTATTTAGTGGCACAATTATTACTGACCAAGATATTTGATATTTCTATGAACATGAACAAAAATTTAACAGAAAGACATAAATCTGTCCCCTTTTTTGCACATTTACAATAATGTGTTTTCAACTGTAAACTATGCTATCAAGGGTGAAATAAAAACTACATATGCATCTACAAAAGGTTAAAAGATTATATAATATGTGTGTGAGTTGTTGTACCTGTTGAAAACTATCTCTAATTAAACCCTGGTCCTCTGGATGTGCCATCTCCAGAATATTCTTTCCCAGTAAATCCTGAAATGACAAACAATTCATTCAGTTATGAGTCACATAAACATATTGCTCTGAACTGTAACTAATCTCATCTTATGCTGCAGAAAATACAACAATAATCATTTTTATGTAACCATTACATCAGCATTTAATGACACTGATACCACAACTCTGAAGCACGATAATTCAAGTAAATCGTCAAACAATGTCTGCAATTACAGAGCTGTAATACAATAAAATCTATTAAAAGTGTACTATGAAACTTTTCTGGGAAAGGATCCACCAGCCAGCTGCCTGTCTCCATGAAGATATTTGCATGGAAATGTTCCGCTGTATGACATTAAACTATTTATCTTGCGTCCATGTAGATAGATAAAGTGCACCTTCAATTTACTTACCTGGTGGTAGCTATAATGAGTTTGACATGTATTCAACCCTTTACACCATACCACAGGGCAGGATGGTTAGTTAATAAATGTGTAACTATATACATTACTAAAAATGCACGTATCTATTGGTAAAATGTAAAAATCTTCACCTGGGGCTGGTAACCGATGGCAGCCATGCACCGATGGTCCACAAATGTAAAAACACCTTGACAGTTGTGCCGCGAAATAAACTCCACTGGAGCGGAGATGTTACTGATATCAGTGTCTCCTGGACAACATGTCACCTGCAAAAAGATTAAATTTAATATGAATTGTATTGCTGGTCAACAAAAATCATTTTGCAATATTAATACTGAAAGATCTCATTCATATTTTAGTGCTCCAGTATTTGTGCCCAAGTGAGGTCATGTGCATGTACATAAGTGTGAATGCAACCAACATATTTTATTTATCATTTATTTCTATTTGAAATGCATTTGCACCATAGACTCTGTTCATGATTACATCACAAACCAGAAGGATGTTTGGAAACATGCAATGACAACTTCAGGTGTAGTTCCCGACACTGGGCTCACCGACCGACTGTGATCAAACCCATTGAATTCAATGTGATCAGCGGTAAAATAAAGACTGCATACAAATGTGTTTGGAATAATCTTGAATTTGGTGCCTTCATCTTTTCTAATCACATGTACCCAGTGCACTCGAAGTTGCGTGTCAGTGGGGAAATTATGAAAGCTGAGGTATGGTTATAATGTTGATCAGCCGAACATAATGTAACAATGACATTTAGATGAAGAAAACTGGGCCATTTTCTCATTTTTCTTTCATTCATTCATTCATTCATTGAGTGAGACTTACTACTTACTACTACCGAGTATGAATAGTCTATTGTGCAACCGAGGCTTGTTCAAAATAAAATAAATTACCTGTAATCTTCCAATGGCAACAAGACAGTAGCGACTCCCCTGATTATTATCCGCCTCTTCATCTGTTAGCGAAACTCCTTTAAAAATAAATACAAATACCCGATGAGACTCTTGGACTCTTTAAACTGAAGCGATAGAAAACAGGTCTTAGTCTCACCAGCAGGGGGCCAGGATTTGATGTATCCTGTGCAGTGAACTACAACATAATGAGGCTCTCCTTCTTTGGCTGCTCCCAAACCATTCCTAAAAAGAAGGAAGTGCGTGCGTCAGGTTGGCTCACATCACCTAAACTCAATCAGGACCTGGCATTGTCTCTGCTCACAATGGGACGATTAATCTTTTTGACATTACTAGACTATTTATAAATGCCTTCACTTCCTAAAAATGTTAAATGTTACTATTTAAATTGGCTGTATCAATGTGGTTGAGCAAAATTTGTCTTTCCCCAGTATAGATAATCTGTAAAGGTGAGATGAATAATTAAAATGCTAGAAATGTGTTAAGAATGTTTTAGGAGAGTAAAATTGAAGTACAGTAGCTAAGTTAAGAGATAATAGTTGGAAGGAGCCAAGTAAATATTAGTAAATACTAATATGTAAATACTGATATAATTACCTATTTCGATTTCTTAAAAAGTTGAGTCTGTTCATTGACATGGGCTCCACAGGACAGTTACCACACCTGCAAAAAAAAAACCATAAAAACAAATAATATCATTGTGGCTGATGGAAAAATTAAATTATGTCACTAATGAATAAATAACATATAAGAGATATTAAGAACAATGTGTAGACCTCATTCTGCAGATAAAAGATCGCCGCGCTCCCATCGTCATTCTGGCTGAAGATTGCTGGCTTTCCTTTTTCACTGTTCCTGTTTTCAGATCCAACATCCTTCCTAAAAACACAATTATAATATAAGTATATCTTTATTGTAGTTAATCCAGTTTTTATTCAGTTTTGTATTTTATTTTACTTGCTGACAATGAGGATTTTAATAGTAAGACCCAGAGTTGAAAGATCAATTTCCATTTGAAATTAAATAGCATTTTAGTTTTGCAATTGGCAAATTTAATAGCAGAATGTTACATATTCCATCTCCAGTGGGATATGACTATGCACAAAAACTTTAAAAACAAAAGTGTTTCTTATACTTCTCTGGTATTAGTGGAAAAGTATAAGTTAGAATTTCAAATGTCAGTCTTCTCTCAAATGTTAATGCCTATAGACATCTTTAAAATGTGCAGTAAACTTAAAAAGGCTGTATCCATTTTTTCTTGAAATAAAGAATTTAATAGATATATTCTAAAAGCAACTCGTGGGGTCAAAATGAAACTGTAGTGTGCTGGATGTATAATTCTGGACAGATTAAAAGTAAAAAGCTCCCTGATTGATTGATTTTCATTTTTAAGTACAAATCAGGTCCAGCACCTGTAATCACCACAGTAAGAGCACTTACATATTTCTTAAAAAATTCAACCCGCATATATAACATTAAATTATCCAGTGAACCTCTTTAAACCCCCCTGTGTGGTTTGTACCTGTGTTGTTGTTCTCTGCAGTGGACAGTTGCTCTCTCAGCTTGTCCATGTCATCAGGGTGCAGCTGATCGTACAGAGAGGAGCCCAGCCAGTCGCTTTGAGCCTGGTTCAGGACGGGGGTGAGAGAATCTGACACATACACGATACGCCCGGTCTCACAGGACACCACAAAGAGGAAGCCATCTGCTGCCTCCAAAATAAGGTGCTTGAGTTCCTGAACAAATACAGGGAGAATGAGACTTGGAGCTCAGTTTGTACAGTAGCCAGGGGTAATCTGTGTTAACAAAGGGAGAGTCAAATATCTTTTAATACACTAGAGCAGAGAGGTTCTCAGACTTTGTCCCATGGGCTTCTTTTGTTGTGCTAGTCTTTAATAAGCTGCAGGCTTTTTATCCTGTTTTTATAAAGATACCAAAGCATGAACCCAACCTAATACATTTTTAAAGTACATGTCCTGCATTAAAATGTGGACTTTTCTCTAGTTTAATATAGTCCTGGTTTTATTCTTACCAGGCCTGCGTATAGTTCAGTTCACACACCCCACATCAAAACTGAGACTAAACCAGGACTGGAACAGAATTAAAACCAACTTATACTGAAGCCGAACTTTGAGAACCACTGTACTAAATATCTGTTGATCACGTGTTCGCATTAAGATAACAGATTAAGTCTTATATTATTCTTCATTTTTACTCAAATCCAACAAAAACGCAGTGATTTATCTATTTAATTACTTCTATACCTGATCAGTGAGAAATGAGGGCTTATAGGACCCATCTGCATTGGTGCTTCCACTGCCTCTCAAAGACTTCATGTGGGACACAGCCATCCGGAGAATCGTCAGTTTGTCGGGTTTTCTCGCCAAAGCGCTGCAGGTTGGCACCATGTCTGATAACTCTGTGATATACGCTGTCATCTTGTTTCTCCTCCGCCTTTCAATTTCGCTGTGGTTCTCCCTGGAAACGGGGGCAGGATTTTGAGAGGATAGGACGGATTGAGGTGGGAGACAGAGGCAGGAGGGTGGACAACATGGAGCCCAGTTTAGAGTTTATGTTACAACAAAAGCAAAGTTGGAGTGAGAAGAAAAATGGTTCAAAATAATATTGTGTAGTCCATGATCTCTCCAAATGAACTGAGGAAGCGAGAGAGACTTGTTTTTGAGTGTGAGACAAAGAGAGTGGGTGTAAAAAGAGACAGAACTTGTCCTGAGAGGGGAAGAAGAGAGAAAGGACAGTTCAAGAGCGAGTGGATTATCAACAGAAGGAGGCTCTTCAGCAGAGGTGGGTTAAGTAGCCGAAAATGTACTTTAGTATGAGTACTTTTATTTTCAAATTATATTATTCAAGTTGAAATACTGAATAATGATAGAACATAATAACAAATCTGATAACTATGCAGTACTGACTGTCTCTTTGGAAATTCTAATGCAGTGGCACCATTTAACCTTTCTTCAGCACTCACACAGTTGTAGGAGGAGGTTTCAGATCACAAAACTACTAATTCATTACATTTGCATTAAAATTACACAAAGTGGGGAACAGAACCAGTACACTATAAATAAATAGCCAGGAACGATTTATAAGATAAAAGGCTGATTTTGTGTTTACCCCTTCTTCGAATATTGCATCGATTTGGTAATTTCATAAAACAGAATAAAACATGTTAGAATGAAAATTAGGAAGATAAAAACAAATGCTAAGGGGCTGTGCAAGAATGTAAATATTCAAGTTGAACAATCAACATCTGTCATTTACTCACCACAACTTTTACCTAATTACCTCAAAAAATATCAAATAGAAGTATAAATGCAATGATCAGACATATATGAAATATATGATAACAAAGTTATTTTTGTTATTAATAAATAAAAAAATACCACAAACAAAGTATAAGTACCCTGTGTAGCATAAATGTAAATGATTTCTAGTTCCACCTCAGCTCTTGAGTCACTCCACAGAGCAGTTAGTGGTAAAGGAGTCTCATACAAAGCAGGCACCAAAACAGATGCACAATGCAGCAGACTATATTGAACATAAATGATACATCTGAATAGTATTTAACAGCGCAGTCCGTGTTGATACAAGCAAGAGCCTTTCACAGTAGTGGTTGGCATACCTGGCTAGCTTTTCCTTATCTGCAAAACTCTGATCTTCCTCCAAAAACCTGGAAATGAAATTAACCTACTGAACATGAGTCCAAGGAGAGATAACTAAAAATAAAATAAATAATAAAATAAAATAAAAAAAACGGAAGCGGTGAACTGCTGGATGAGATATTATTGTTTCTGTGTACCATTACTCCTACACACTGCCTCCACACTATAACTAAAGCTTTTCCACCCGCGTACCTTGCAAAGCGCTCTTTGTCGTTGTTGGAGCCTGAAGTATCATCGTCACATCTGAAAAATTAAGACGGATTTAATGTGTTATAAGCAAATAATAAACTAAATGGGCTGCAAAACCAAAATAAACCAAAATCTAGTTATTATATTACCACTACAAAATCTATTCTAACTGGACTTAATAGATCCAAATGGTGCAAGTACATTACTGTTGTCACAATACTAAAACGTCAAGCTTGATTTCGATACTAAATACAAACAGCCAAGTGATAATTTTAACAGATCTTTCTTAAACAATATTGTAATTTTCAACACAAAATAATTATATTTGTTTATTAAACCATCTTGGTTACACTCAAGATGAAACTGTTCAGGTAAGGTCCAACTTTATCCAGTTATGTGATTTTTTTTCAGTATGGATATTTACTTAAATTAATAATATCACCAAATTCAATGCACAGGATATTTTTTTACATAAATAAGCATATTTATTTTATTTTTTTAAATACAGAGAACATCTGGATATGTTTGTTTTTCTATGCCTTATTTCATGTTCAAACTATATTTTTTATACATCGCAAAACTGCTCTAAGGTACATATTTGTAACCTACATTTATTTATCATTTATCAATAACAAAGTGTGTTTTTTTCAACAGCAAGAAATGCTGAATAAATACATTGTGTGACTAAAAATAATAGTTTGAATAATCGTAATTTCAGTATTGACCAAAATAATCATGATAATGCTTTTTCCACAATGAAGCAGCCCTACACAGAAGGAAAATATCACACTTTTTCTACCACTGAGGAAAACTAGAAACTAAAAATGTAGTATAAACAAAACAATGTACCTAAACAACTTGCTTCCCTCGTCGTCATCAAAGTCAGGCCTGAAATATAAAATAACAAACAGCTGACATCCTTTTCACAATGGTTACCAACAAACAACTGCTCATATCAAGAGAATCAACTGTCTACAAGTCAAACACATGTCTAAACACACAGCCCAGAGAGAGACCACAAACACTTACGCTGCCCGCCTCTTGTTCGCTCCCTTGGGGACGACAGCTCCACTCGCCTGGGTCCCACTCCCCCCCATGTCTGGTAAATCTATTAATAACAAAGTCACACACAAATGTAAGGTTGGAAAAGTGACAGGTGATCTCCCCATTATGCCTCAACACTGTAAACCACCTCAGAGTATAAGTTCCACATTTTTGTTCATGATCTCGTTGCGTTGTTCAATCACAGATGTAAATTTGGACAGGTTTAAACATTGCCCTTGCTTGGATTTGTGTAATTTCCTCAATTACATACACTTTTAATACTTAATCTCACTTTCGAATCGGGTCAAACCATTAGCAACCTCAGTAAATGTGAAAAATGTCGCAATCGTATCAACATTTGAGTCATTTTTACTTGGGATTTTTTTTTTCATAATCGACTTATGTGATCTTGTTAGCATGTAGCCTTGGGTTAGCATTAGCTTGGCCACTGAGCTAACTTGCCCGACGCTGTCACGCTATCTTTGTTTAAGTGTTTAATTCAGCTTTAAACGTAACACACGCGTTTAAAAACCACCCAGAAAGCAGCCAGAGAACAGTTTTAACTTAAATGCGTCCTTACCGGGGTTTGATGAAGACATATCCGTGTGGAATAACATAAACAAACAACTTCAGCTGCAGAAAAAAAAGAGATCGACCCCTCCCCCTAGCTAGCCTTGAGCTCCTTGGAGGCTATGCAGTTCCTCGTCGTTTTTATCGCTGTTTTTAACGTTTACGGAGTCTTAAGTCATGATCAAGTCGCCTCCAAAGTGTCCGGATATTTTAAGATAGATGACAGACGAAGCGGTGATGTTGTTGGTGTCTGTTTTTCCTGTTTTTGCCCGGTTTAAATCCTCAGTGTGTAAGATGGCGTGCGAAGCCAGCAGCGCACGGACTGTCCACGGCGCTGTGTGTTTCCTTCGCTCTGATTGGTCCGAACAGATAGATACTCGTGACGTAGAAAGGTTGGGAAATCCTCTCATGTGACGGGACAAGAAGTGGGTTGTGAAAAGATGCAGGACTCATGAAATCACCCAGGACTCATTTGACCACATCTTCTGATTGAATCCTCTTCTTTCAGACCAACTCGTCTGCTTTCATATCTCCTTTCCTCTAGTAGCCTACCTAAATGCCTGGCACTATGTCATTTTTCTGATGGAGGGCCTGTCACCCGCTTGCCTCTGTAAAGTAAGTGACCAGACGTCCCGGGACAGTCCCAATTTTGAGCCCTATGTCCCCTGTCCCAGCAGATTTATCCAAAACATTGATTATTCCCAGTTTCATACAACAAATGTCCCAGGCGACCACATTTTTGACCAATTTGATACCTGACAACAGTTAAAAGAAGCTTAAATTGCCACTTGTTTGGGTAAAATACCAAAAAGAATGCTTAAAATCATCAAAGCACAATGAAAATGTGACTATACTGACTCACATGTCAGTCATGAATGAGCTGAGTGCAGAACAATTCTCCTTAATTACACACTCGTTTCACAATTTTATTATTCCCAACCACTACAAACCGGAGGAGTCAGTTTTTAACTTTGAAAATCTGGTCACCCTACTGTAAAAATATTATTGTGTTGCCTAGAATGGTCCACAGCATGATATAAAACCTATCTAAATGTTTATATAAATAGACAATTATACATTTCTTACTGTGAACGGGCTCACTTCTCCACAGAGCTGACTTGTAACTGGGCCTACTGGCAACATTTGTGTGTCTCTATGGAGTTAAATGCCACTGTATAACATTCAGGGAAAAACAATAACATCTCCATGGATAGTCTGGTCGTAGTAGACCTTACATCAGAAACATTAGAAATGTGTTTTCCGATTCCCGTTTTAGGTCTATGCAACAATTTTTTTTATTTTATTCAAAAGACATAATATTTTCTTTAAATTGTTAACTACTTTGGCAACTGTTTTTCATCATTCTGAAACCCATGAATAGTTCAAACTCAAAGAATTCTTATTTTTATAATACTTTTTACTCAGACAAGGTTTTAGTTGTTATTTTCAACTATATTATCTCTGATGTTCAAACCAATTACGGTATCTACAATCTACACCAACTAGAATCTAATCTTAACATCTTCAGCTCGTCTCCGGTCCTTTGGTCACTTCTTTGACGCCGTCCCCAAAGTGCACAGTATATGTTACAACATCGAGGTCTGTTGCACATAATTTTTGTAAAAAACAAAACTTCTAAATAATTTTTAAATTCAATGTTTAAGATTTTATTATTGACAATACTTCTGCATCATGACAAAAATGGAAAATAATAATAACACTCTTAATAGGACAATTCATTTTGCCCTGGTGAGAGGGGTCATTGGTTGGTCTCTGTGTTAGTGAGAAGAAGGTAGTTGAATGGAGAGCTTGAAAATAGAAAAAAAACAAAAAAACATGAGTAACAGATAATGCAGCGATGCATTGGAAGTCAGAATAGTTCACGATGTAAGATGACTTACATAAAAGAGGCAAGAGTAGTCCGCGAATTACACTTAAGGCACTTGGCGTACAAAACAATTTAAAGCATAAACAAAGAGATTTTCTTGAAATAATTGTAGAAATGGTGCTAAAAATTTACTTATTTCTTAAGGCAACATAAAACATTTCATTTCTCACAGCTGAAATAGTCCATTGGCGAATAATGCATATTTGTAATGAAAAAAAATAGACTCTGCCACAATTTGAAACTATGATTGAAAATAAAATGCACAGCATCGCTGATGAATGAGTCTAAACAATGTATGGCACATGATATGATGAACATGGCACAGAAACAGCACAATTGCAGCTATCTTCAGAATGCTACAGCTCTATGCGTAGGCACCAAAGATTTAAATACTCCGTAACATGAATTAAATTTGTACCTGTCGCCATGTTAAAAATGAAACATTTAATCTAGCATATTTGGTGTCAGTTCTATAACTTGCAACAATTTGTGCAAAGACCATGATTCAAATGAGTAATTGCATAGTCATAATAATTTAGGGAATAAATGCCCTATAATTGTCCATCTTTCAGTTTCTATTGTTCCTTCAGAAGACAAAGAATCGTTGCAACAAAGCAAAGGAAATATTAACGTGTAATATTTCAGCCACCAGGGGCAGTAAGGCACAGTCGAACATAGAAAGCTTAAGAAGAAACATGGCTTCTGTTTAACACTTTGGGTGCGTTCACACTTGTCCCTGTTGGGTCCTAGTTTGAGCCCAGTTTAGTCCTCATGTAGACCTGGTTTGGTCCAGTTCGAATCCTGGTTTAGTCCTGTTCTAGTCAAGGTTTAGTTCCGAAATGAGTTCTTGTTTAGTCCCAATTTTGATATGGTCTCTGTGAAAGTGTGAACGCACCTTTTGCTCCTCCATTTTCTTACCTCTCTAAAAGTTGGAAATACCCAATAAACCTAAAGAATTCTCTAATAACAGACATGTAGTTGTGTTTTAGAGTGTAGTAGTGTATGAGGTTATCTGCTTCACCTAAATCTACAGATGTGTTTGCGTGTTGTGCAAGAGGAACACTGTTTTTCTTGGATACCCGTTGGTTTTAGGGACATAGGCCCTGGTCCGCCCCCTCCCTAGCCTCCAGCCTGAGCAGTGGAGGCTTTGAGTCCTTCTTTCTGTCCGGTCTCTGTCTCACTCCATCTTGCTGTGATGTTGGTGATTGTGGTTATGGTTGTGATTGTTGTTGTGAACTGAGTGCCCGTTCTGCACTGGTCCATTTTTCTTTATGTCCTTTTTCTCAAATTCCTCTTCTTCGTCCTCTGATAAGTCTGTTTCGTCCTTGTCGCTTCGTTCATCGTCAACTTTTTCCTGAATGACAATAAAAAAGACAATAAATTAATCTAATGCAAACTTAAAGGTGCACTACATGTATCTTTTCTGGTGAAGGATCTGCCACCTGCTCATCCACTAGTACATGGATAATTTAAAACTTTGCCTGGAGTGTTTAGGTATTAATCTGTATTAATCTGTCATCTCCAGTGAATAGCTGCAGATTTTTTTTCATTTGTACCAAAATGACTACAAGACACAGATGAGTCCTACACATATCACACATTAAGAAAATAAAATTGGAGAATGAAGTTAGTACACAGCAGCGTAAACGTTGGCAGGCGCCACCTAGTGCCTCCGTTCAATTTCATTTCCCTCCAGCGACTAGGTCAGAAATTGGAATACACCACACGGTTTGCAAGAACCCTAGAAATTGTAGACCAGCCAATCAGTGAAGAGCTGTGAAGCCATGACGTCAAACTCAAGTGCCTGTCTGAGTCCCTTTTGTGGTAGGGAAGCACAACAGTAAACAAAGCGGTCGAGATGGATGTAGACAAAGCAGTACATTCTGTGTTGGCAATGATTCCCAAGATTTAGAATTTACAACCAAAGCAAAGACAATGTTTGGTGAATTTTATTGAAGGAAAAGACGTTATTGCCCTTCTTCCTACGGGATTTGGCACATTACATATGTCACAGCCAAATAGCAGCGATTGTTAAGATAAAAAAAGTACCCGCCTACCGTCAAGTGAATGAATCCTAATGCTGCGAGGTCAGACAGTTTCCACAAAGTGAAACTGACTGATGAATCAGGCTAGTGAAAACGGGAGTTGACTGGCAAAATGGCGTCTTGAAAATAAGCGATTAAAGATTGCTAAAACGTGCATGAATCACTCCAAATACAACTTTGGGTGAGTGGAAACAACTATAACATGGATAAAATCTCAATTTTGCATAAGGCATTAACTGCTTTAAGGCATTAAGTGTGACAGTTCATGTTACAAATGGAGTGTTAATCTATTTGACAATGTGAATAAAAGTGAATTAGAATTACATGGTTGTTTGGTATCATTAAGTATTTAAATACACAATAAAATATTCAACATATTTAGTCTTGCTGTATTGTTACTTACGTTGTTGGTAAGGAAGCGGACAGCTATCTTTATAATGAGAACAGCCCAGAAGATATGAAGACACTGTAACACCATTAGGAGTCCATTGAAGAAGTAGTACCCGAAGAAAGGTTCATAGACTGTCACTGGGTAGATCCATGTGCAGTAAATAATCCTGAAAATGAAGAAATAAAAACATTGCATCAGGAGGTTGCTAATGTCATTAAACGCGTTTTAATTTTAATGGATTTTATTTTGTACCTAAAGGGAAAGATCACAAGACGAGTGACGATGAAAACTGCAGCAAACACAATGAAGATGTAGTTGCAGGCATTTCTCCATCCAGCATAATTGAACATCTTTGCAGACTGTAGAAAGAACCACAAAACAAATGTATGCAAATGTGAAGATTTATCCACAAGATGGCAGTGTAGCGTCAGTAGTACATAATAATAATGCAGTGATTTAAGACTGCAGTTTAAATTGGGACTAAACTGGGACTAAATCTGGACCTAACCTGGTCTGGTTGACTGGATTCAAGACTAGAACATGACCAAACCAAGTCTACCTCATGCCAAAACGGGGCTCTAACCAAATTAATTATACAGCACTATTTTGGGCACTCAAAGTCTATGATTTATTATTCATTCACAGTCTTCACTCAGTGGTAAACTAATGCAGCCAAATAGTTTCCCTGGAGCAAACAGACTGAGACATGACAGCCAATTTGTCACCACCAATTACTCACTCAGACACCACTTTTTTTTTGGCAAGGTGAGTGAGGTGTCTTGCTCAAGGACACATCAGAAGCATGCTTTTTTTGGATCTTTGGAGTCTCTCTATCACCTGACATTTGAAGCTTAATATCCGCCTGCTATCTGAAGCTGACATTTTGTTGATAACCTTATTATCTTTTCTACAGAGAACTTAAAAATGAGTGAGTGTTAATCATGATTGGAAACTGCAATATGTCTAACACACTTGGATATTTCATGTATTATTGTCTATGGTCATAAATTACCTCCAGGAAGTAGTCCGCAGAGTCGTGCACCAGCATGATTAGAGTTCCAGCTCGGATGTAGTTGACACACCAGGAGAAGCTGATGAGGAGGATGGTCGCAACATGGTGGACGATCTGCTCCTTAAAATCCTGAGAGAAAAGTCAAGATCATGTATATTTTTGGTTTTGTCAATTGATATTTTTATTCTAGTCAATCATAATATTCAGACTGGCACACATGGCTTCTCTTTTCTTCGTAGAAATCTTTATAATGCCAATAAAAACATTGTTGACCCATAAAAATGTTGTCTAACTTAGATTGCATCACAGAAAATAAGGACCAAACTGGAGTGAAACTAAACCTGGACTATCACAGGATCAGTCCAAGTCCATATTAGGATTTAACTGGGCTTAATAGACCATCAACTGAGCATACAGCCCTATTAAGCAATTTTAAGCAAATCTCCATTTTATCTCAGATTTTGTTTGCACACTTTACTATCTACACTTTACTGAGAACAAGTGAGTTTCTCCACTGAGACAATATCTAATCTTAACTTGTGCTTTAACAGAGTTGTACTTCAGACATAATAATAATAATCATTTTAGTGTCACTGAAGGTAGTTAGGTATGTGTTTGGTGTGGTTGCATTGCATGTGCATTTAGTTTTTACTGGGATTGTTTGGGACTGAGCAAAGTTCATCACCGAAAATACATGTGTAACGAGGGTCTAATGTCCACCTATGGTCAGATGTCAAAATGACCTTCAGAGGTTAACGTGGTGCAATCAAGCGTTTTATAATGGGCTTTAAGAACAGACAGTTTTAGTCATGTTTTGTGTTATCCTAGTAAAGCTTTATAATCGATGTCATATGTCCTCTGTGTAAACAACATGTCCTTGTGTCTTAATATGTGTAAAACCTACTAACCCAGTAATTCATACGTGTACAACATGTGCAGTTCATCTTTCAAATGTTGATATTTCTGAACTTTTTCAAATGCTTACTGTTAGTTAATTGCAATCTATGGGTTTAAAAATGAAAAAAGAGGGTTGTTGACTCGTTGCAATAGATTAACAATTTAATATAGCTTTTGAACGGGCAGATATCTTCTTAAATTGTTCAGCCAGATTCCCTATATTTATAAAGACTATGAAATTTCTTACTTTGCGCTTGACGTCAGAGGCCACGCTGAAGAGTAGAGAGCAATAGAAGCCCAGCTCGATCATGTAGTACCAGTACTGAGAGGGCAGGACGGTCTGAGGGAAAAAAGATGAATAAACACATAGAAAACAATTGCACAGAGCTGTCACAAAACTACAATTTCAGTCTAAACTAATTTCGATTCAAAGGAAAAGACTCTCAATGCAACGCTGTACTTTTCAACACGAGATAATATAGTTTATTTAACATCACCAATTTTTATTCTGATAAATATCACATTTTAAAAACTATCTGTCTTATTTTTGTCAAATTTTGATACCGGTTCAATTACATTTAGTAGATTTTATTTTAGTTTTAGTGTCAAATTGTGTCTGGTTTTCAATATATTTATTTTATAGCAACCCTAACTGTGGGGTTGGATTAATTTTATCACTTTATTATACTTTATAGAGCTCTTACCAGAACAGGAAAGCCCTCCCACATCTCCTTCAGTTCGTATAACCAGGGTTTCTGTGCAGAGACAAACAGTATTTAACATGAAACAGCAATGAAATCCTTAAAACACAGTGAATTGAATGTTTGATATAGTGAGGTTCATTGTTCTCTCATTGATAATCACTTTAGTTGTTTAGAGCTGATTTTGGTTGGTTACTTCCTGCTTTAGACCTGATTTCAACATAGCCACAACCACAACCAAGTTTAGACCTGGTCTAAATATCAGGTTTAACCTCGGTTTAGTCTTGTCATAGTCTGGTTTGGACCTGGTTTTGTGTGGTTTGCTTGGCCTTGGTTTAGTCCTAGTCTAGCCCTGATCCAGTCCAAGTTTAGTTCTGGACCTGGACCCTATTAAGACTTGATTTAGACTTGGTTTGTGCCGAGTGTAGTCCTTTTTTTTTTAGCATTGCTTTAGTCCTAGTGTAGTCCTGAAGTAGTCCTGAAGTAGTCCTGAAGTAGTCCTGGTCATGTCCTACTGTAGTTTACACCTAGTCTAGTCCTGGTTCTAGTCCATATTCAGACCTGATTTTTTAGAACTAGCATGTACTGGGTATAGTCCTTCTTTGGACTTGGTTTAGTCCTGGTTTAGTCTTAGTTTAGTCCAGTCGCATTCCTGGTTTAGTCCTGGTTTAGTCTTAGTTTAATCCAGCTGTATTCCTGGTTTAGTACTGGTTTAGACCTGGTTTAGTCCCGGTTTAGTCTTAGTTTAGTCCAGCTATATTCCTGGTTAAATCCAGATTTAGTCTTAATTTAGTCTTAGTTTTGTCCAGGCGTATTCCTGGTTTAGTCCCAGTTTAGTCTTAGTTTAGTCCTAGTCTTGCTTCTGGTCCATATTCAGACCTGATTTTTTTAGACCTGGCATGCACTGGGTGCAGTGCTCCTTTGGCCTTGGTTTAGTCCTGGTTTAGTCCAGGTTTATTCTTAGTTTAGTCCAGGTGTATTCCTGGTTTAGTCTTTATTTAGTCCTAGTTTACTCTTAGTTTAGTCCTGGTTTAGTCCTAGTTTAATCTTAGTTTAGTTCAGGCCTATTCCTGGTTTAGTCTTAGTTTAGTCCAGGCGTATTCCTGGTTTAGTCCTGGTTTAGTCCTAGTTTAGTCCTAGTTTAGTCCAGGCATATTCCTGGTTTAGTCCTGATTATAAAATATAAAATCTCAATTAAACGTCTTTAAACTTACATCAATGAGGGAGGCAAGGCCAGCAATGAAAGCAAGAAGGTAAAAGGTAAATCTCCAGCTGAAAGAGAGCACACGCGCACACACACTCTTTATACTGTGGCAATGACAGATTCACAGTATATTTCCAATGACAAACTTTATCACAAAATACATGAGAATCGTTATTATTTAAGGCCCTATATTACACAAAATTGACACCATGTTATAATGTTATCACCTCCTCAAAAATATCCCTGGAGTTGTGTTTTGTTTAATTTCATTCACACATGTTTTAGTAACCTTTTTAAAATGATTATTAGCTGTTTAGTTTTCAAGTTAACATCTACATTTTACATTTATTTCAGTAAAGATTAGCAATTCCAGGGCTGAAATTATCCAAGTGCAAGGTGAATGAAACGAAACACAACTCCAGGTATGTTTGTGATGAGGAAACAACATTATAACATGATTAAAAAATAGCGTAATATGGGCTCTTTAAACTAAACCACTAATGTTAAAATGTCCTGTTAATATCCGGTTGCATCGCCATGACAACCGATGGACAAATAACACTGGACACACATGGGAAAAAAACATCAGGAGCAATACGTCACGAAAAGTCCACACATGCAACAGGCAAAACTGCTCTATCACATGCACTATTCCAGTTTCTAAAGTTTTTGTTATTGTTTTTTTGCTTGGGTTGAGCAATAAATCAAAATTTGTGATTGTGATTTTCATTTTAGTGGGTATCTTATCTTTACAGAGAACTAAATATCCTGTCTACAGAGATCTGAGCGCTTCTTGTATCTCAAAACTCAAAATGTATCAAATGAAATAGCAAAGTGTTTTTTGTAGTTATTTAATAGCTTTCAAAATGCAATGTTTTCAAGTGTCAAGTTTTGAGGGATGGAAAAACATCTTGTGAGATTGTGCACCCATGAGAATATTTATCTTGTGAGATTTTTTTGTCAGTTTGGATTGGACAAAAAAGGTTAAAGGAACTGTGTATAGCCTGTGGTCTTACTGTTTACAGAAGTATAACAATTACAACTCAGTCTGGGTTGTCAGTGCCTTAACCTGTCTATACAAGTTTTTCTCATTTTCAGGATATGGACAGGGCCTCATATGAAAGCTCAAAACCTCCAGAATTAACTCACAGAGGGTCATTTTAGGTTTAAACCAACTGGATTTCACCCAAATGTGAGACAGTAAAAGCTATATTTGATTTGTTTACCTCATATGTTTACCTTAAATTGTGTGTCTTGTCCCACTCATAGAGGTTTTACTCAAATTAATCATATACGCAAATATAATTTCTATCCGTGTTTGGTTGTAAATGCTGCAGCTGACCCGTTCTGTCGTGTAGTTAATCTTCTCTCGTCACCTGCTCATGTTGGTTTAACCTGAGTCTGAGCTCAAACACAAACACAAACTGCTGGTGACAGAGGACCATTGCAAATGACAGAGCAGAGGGTATGGTCACTGTGGTCACAGCGTCCTCAAACTATAATTAAGGTTATCATAAATAGTACCTTTTGCTTCTCATCTGCACTTCTAACATGAATATCCCCCTTGACTTTCAGAATATTAACGATGCACTATGTAACTTTTCTGCTAGAGTGTCAACTACCTGTTTACCTCCACGTTATTGCTTTGCCTGGAAAGTTCCACAGTATGGCATTAAAATCATCTATCTGGCTTTTATTCATTGTCAGATATCATGTCGTACTGTGGAACATTCTAGGCAAAGCAAGTAGGTGACGGGGCCTTCATCAGAAAAGTTACGCAGCGCATCTTAATTATGTATTTACTTTATCTAAGTTTTTTTTAAAGGTCCATTAATGACTCCTTTGAGCTTTTTGCCAATTTAGAATGTTGTTACTTCATCAAAAACTTACCTGGAGTTGTGTTTTGTTTCATCCAGCATCATTAGGCTGTGTGCATCTCCAAAGCTCAAAATGCTCTGTTGCACCTTATGATGTCATGCCTTGGTAGTTTTCAGGTTAACAGCTCCTTTTGTCTTTTGTTCAGTAGAGATCAACAATTCCAGGGTTGAAATTATCCAAATGATTCTTGTGAAGTGTATGTATGGAGTAAGAAAGCTTTCAGAAATATTTGTGTGCATAGGATAGAAATCAGTGTATATTTGGGAAATCCGTGCATACTCAGGTGTAGTTGAGCATAAAATAAATATTCGTAAATTATCAAATGAGTCCAGTCGTACGTAAAAAGTGTTGTGTGTATTTTATCCATCAGAATATGACATGAAAATGTGCGATTACGCTTTCTTCAGTTTGAAAATGACTTCACAGATGCGACTCTACTGTCAAAAATACATCATCACTTCACAAGCATTATTTATTGAGCAGAAACATCAATTGAGATGCCGGACTTTTGCTATATTATGTTGTAACTTTTCATTTCGTATTCTGATGGATAAAATGCACACAGTACATTTTATGTAGGACTGGAATCATTTGAGAGTTTACGAATATTTTATGCTCAACTCTAGCCAAATATGCACGGATTTCTATCCTATGCAAATATTTCTGAAAGCTTTCTTACTCCATATGTATGTATATTTTCTTACTCCATGTGTATGTATAGTCTAGTGAAAGGATTTAAAAACACAGCGGAGCACTACCTGTACTATGTGTTTTCTGCCTGAGAAAAGAACTAAATTTGCAGAGTTTGTGTGATAAACTTTGTGAACTGAAAATGAACCAAAATACAACTCTAGGTACAGGTATAATTTTGATGAGTAAACATAGCATAGATCAGAAAATCGTATAAGAAAAAGGGGTAAGAAAAAGCAATTACCCCACAAAATCAAACATATTTTCAAGGTAAATGACTTTGAAAGCTGTCTGAAATTACATATAGTGGGTCCCTACAGTAAAACACTGCCTACTACCCATTAATTTCATTTGACAGCCTCATTTATTCTTTTACAGTATTTGCTGTTCATTTGGCCTGTTAACGTTGTCATGCTTTGTTAATGTGCCTTTCATTTTCTGACAGGCAAAACAAGCAATAAATCCCAAAAACAAAAGCATAAAAGGTGAATGAGTTACCTGGCCTCTCTAAACTTTTTCAGTAGACTCGGCCGGTCCTGGTTTCTCCGTCTCCTGAACCACCGCTGCACCTGTCGCTCCGAGTGTCCAGTTTGTTTACAAAGACTCACTATGGAAGTCTGCAAATATGGAAAACAAAGGGTTAATGCATATGTTTTAAGGGATGGTTCACATAAACTTAAAATAAACACAACGTTCTTTGACAGAATTCATGAACAATAAGCTGCATTTACATAACATAAAATGACATAATAATGGATTCATTAGCTTTCAGTTACATGCAACATTTTGAGGACTTTTTCCCATTCAAAAGCTTTAATATTTTGTTTTAATTAGATAATTCATTCATAATTCTGAACCACATGAACAGAAAAAATTTTGTTGCAGGACAGGTCAGACGTCTATGGTGGAATTTGCAAACTCTGTAATTAGTGAGATTATCCCAGTGAAATAAAAACAGGCACAAAGTTCAATGCCTTGTCCGCCAGTACAAATAAACTAAAGTGAAATGTCTTTTTCATCATGGCATCAGAAAGTGGTGCCATTATTCACGCTAAGACGATTACTGCCAGTTAAAAGGATATTTAAGACAAAAGATCTATTAGTGAGTTTGTGAACCCAAACCCTCAACAATTAATAACAAAGTTCAACATTTGTAAATCACAACTTGCCTATTTCTTATATTATAAAAGCCCCTGCCCCTGTCTGAAATGAAGATATCATCCAGTTCAACAGCCCTTTGATAAAATACATTTTTTGGAAGACTTTAATAGGTTCAGATCTTGCTTGTTTCCATGGGAGTGTTGTTGCTTTGCCTGGATTGTCCCAGAGTGTGGCATTAATCTGTGCGTGATAGTCCAATGAGGTTCAATTGGTCTTCTGATATTATATGTTAATAGGTTATTTTTTTCAGACCAAGAGTTTGTTTTTCATTCCTGACAGTTTTGACTGCTCACTAGTGGTCTTCCTGAGAGTGGTCACATAATCATCTGATTGAAACAGGTTTTGGCGCTGTCTTCCTACCGGTGGAGGCAGGATGACAGCGCCATCTGCAGTCCAACTTCTTCAGGATAGTGTCCCAGGTGTGAGTGAGTAAAAAAGCCCTCTCGTCCCGGTTTATAGCAGATTGCAGATGGCGCTGTTATCCTGCCTCCACTGGTAGGAAGAGAGCACCAAAACCTGTATAAATCATCTGACCGGACATGTCACAGCAACATCACGTGACCACTCTGAGGAAGATCACTCATGAACCGCTGAAACTGTCAGGAATGAAAACAAACTCTTGGTGTGAAAAAAGAACCTAATAACATATAATCTGTGGTGCTTGTACCTGTGAGGGGGTCTTGGTGACGTTACAGTAGTAGGACTCCAGTGTGGGGTTGTGAGGAGCTTTGAGCCGTACTGTCTCTTTGACCCCGAGGAGAGAAGCCAGAGGTGTGGCTACGGTCCTGCAAGTATAACAGATATATATCAGTTTCATAAATCTGACCTATCTCTGTCCCCAGATACAAGGTAAACATGTTCAAATCTAATATAGCTTTTACTGACAACTATAATACTGATTTATTCTTACTTACAGAAATATTGGAACATGTATTTCTGTATATTTTGATGTATAATTTGGTGTTTTGGTTCTCAAGACGATTATCCAATCAGAAAGCAGAAGGGCCTTCACGTATCATATTTGGGTTGCCTGTTGGTTTAAACTTAACTCTCTCTGATCTGAATCCTTGCTACTTTTGATACTGTCCAATAGATTTTTTTGTTGTGCAATGTTAAATGATACAGACCTTTCAAATATCTGTCGTATGATGAGGAAGGCCACCGCGATGGGGAGGGCCGCCCACAGGTCTCGGGCTTTGGCATAAACTCGCCCGTCCCTGTCCTCCAGGTCGGCCCAACCCAGACCTTTGGGGAACCACAGCCGCTCCTGCCAGAACCAGTCGCTCAGCTCTGACAGCATCCTGAAAGAGAAAGGTGCACAAATGAAGGGTTGCAATTATCAAATCGCACAAGGGTCATTATTCAGGTAATTGAAATACCTTTTTCTATATATATACTGATCAATCATGGTTTTTAGTTCACTTTTTATTTTACTGACAAATCAAAATGGCTTTTAAAATTAATTTCTGAACATAAATACACACTTTTAATCATTGCTATTTACCGCAAACAACACATGAAATTAATCCTACTGCAGTACAAAATACGCAGAATGTTTGCTCCCATTAAGTACAAATGCTAGATGTAAATAAATATATGTAAATGTAAATATAGTGTAAAAGTGAAAAGTTTAAATACATAGGAAATTATGACATCAGCAAATGCTTCAAACGTGAATGCAAACTATCAATCATGCTCTTTGTCTCTTGTGTATCATAAGTGGAAATAAGATGATTTGAAGTTGGCTGTTTTAATTTCCATAAGGAATAGTAACAATATAACATAAAATATTTTCCCAACTCAATATTTTTTAGATCAAGTACAATGTGATAAATCTAGACTAGAGACAAATCTAGTGATCTCCTTTTTCCAAACTCTTCATTGGAACATGTGACACATCACTTTGTCCCTTCAACACTGCAAAAATATTTCTTCAGAAGCTCATGTTTAAGTTATCATAGTTTGCTTTTCATTTTAGAAAATGATGTAACCTACTTATAGGTTATAATGGTTTGGAAATTCTAAGTTGATTTCATTAAAGTCACTGTCACTTTTTAGTTTTTGTTTTATTTTTTTTAGTTTATTGCTCTGAAACACATGTGTCCGTGTCCTTCCTTCCTATGAGCATGATTGCATTTCCACAAACATGACTCCTATTTGGTCTGCAGGACGCTCTTGTTCCTTTGACTAAAATCTTCCACAGTATGACATAAAACATACAGTATCTATCTCCCTGGAGAATGTTCTGTAAATGTTTGGTGTTTCCATGGAGTCATGCAGGCAGCACACTACCCCCAGAAAGTTACACAGTGTACCTTTGAGAAAATGTTTTTATACAAAATGGTAGTTTAATATTATCATATTGTCTTACACTTGTTCCATCTTAGAGATCCACCTTTGTGTGATTTTTTTCCAGTACTGATACTTGTTGAAATTGTTATCTAGTCTCAATATTTGTTTAGCATTGACTGATATCTGGGTATACATTTTTCGACAATCTCATACATGCTCTTCAAACAGCTCATATTATGCTATTTTCTGATTTAAGTTCTAAAGTTATTTCCTCATCAAAAATACCTGCCCACCACCTATACATTCCTCATGGTTGGCCAAACTTCTTCTTGTTTTTGCCTATAGCCATGTGTCTAGGGCTGGGTATCAGTAAGAAGTTGCTGATACGATACATATCTCGATACATATCCATGATATGATACATATCTCAATATATTTCAAATCGATTCAATACGGTTCAGTAAAAAATAAAGGCTAAATCATGGCTGTGATACTAAAAGTCTTTGTCTTGTGCAAAGTTAACATGGAACACACCCATTATAAGTATTAAAACAGTGAAAATGTCAAATGTGTTGCAAAACGAATTTCCCACCTGTAAACAAGCAACAAAACAGTAGCTGTAACAAAATAATATCGTAAAATATACCAAAAAATACTCTTGCTGATATATCGATACAGCAGCCCACGATATCGATACCGTTTTTTCACATTAAACAATACGATACATCAGTATTTTTGCACACCCTAAATGTGAGGTTGCATATTTAGACTGAGGTCTTCTCTTAAACAGAAGACATTCTGTTCCACCTTGTGATGTCATGTGGTAATACATGAAGTGCTCCACTGTGTTTTTAAGATCCACAACCTTTAATAACTTGGGTAATTTAAGCCCTGGAATTGCCAGTCTCTACTGAACAAAAGGTAAAAGATAGCTCTTAACTTGAAAACCATCATCACAAGGAGGAACAGACCATTTTGAGCTTTACAGATGTATACAAACTAATAATAAAGGGTTATTCACACAAATCCCAACTCCTGGATTTTTTTTGATGAGGTAACAGCATCATAACATGACTTAAAGCTCACAAGAGTCATTTTTGCGCTATATAAGACGTTTTTATGACCTTTAATATGTTTTTTCAGCAAAGTTCTCAGCCAATAATACCGTCACCATTATAAACTGTGCGATTGTGTCAGGCCTGGTCCACTTTCAAACACAGCAATGGGAGGCAGCTGTTCTAGTGGGGTTTTCCTCGGAGACCTCTTGAATATTTCAGTTCTAAGTTTAGGGAGTGGCTCTGAGCGGCTGTGGTGGAGAGGGAGCGAGGGGTGTGACTCATGCTCGGGCCATATGTGTCTCATGTACACTTGAATACAGTCAGAGGGGGAGGGAAATGACTACAGCTCAATTTTATGGTACGGAACAGAGTAAAGTATGAATTACACTGGAGGAGAAACTGGGCAAGAAGTTAGAACTGCTTATCTTGTGTATATATTTGACTAGATTTGACTTAGTTAAGTGAAATTAAAGCTATACTCCCATAACGATTTTTATTTTGGATTTAAATCTCAGCAATATATGAGTTCTTAATATGACTTTTTCTTTTGGGAATGTACTCATAGCCACAAATGTTGGACTTGACTGACTGAAGGTGCACTACTTAACATTTTTTTAGAGAAGGTCCGCCACAACGTTGTTTCCATGCAGATTTTATTGCTTTGCCTGGCACGTTGCACAGTGTGGCATTAAAGTTACAGTATCTATCTATCTCCAAGGAGCACCTTACAGTAAAAATGTATGTACAAAACGCATGTAAAAGAATAAATGCAAGATAGACACAGGAATGAATGAATGAACATCATGAAACCATAAAAGTTACATCGTGCTCCTTTGCTGGTAATAGTACAAGATCCATTATGTCAATATATTTAAACAATCAAACAACAAAAAACTGCATTTAGCAATACAATTCTCAATCCTAAACATTTTGCCTGTACGTCTTACACTATAGAAAGACATCTGAGACCCAGCTCGGCCCTGACTCCACCCTCTGCAGCTGTAAATGCCCCAAAGAGTCCCAAAAACCACCACCCCCTCCACCCATGCCCTTCGTCTTCCTCCTCCTCCCTTCAGCTCCACCCAGCCACTCAAACGTTGCCAGAAAATTAAACAAGGATTCCCCTTTTTGGCCCACAGAGACAAAGTCGTGTGTAATGCTCAACGGCCTCCTTTCAGTCAGAAAAATGTGCAGCTGAGTACAGTAAAAGCTCTTCTATGTAATATTTTCTACTATGAATTATTAACCACAATAGCCAACATGAGCAGTGAGTCAAATGTTCTTGTATTTAGGAGTATGTGTACCAGGCGTATAATTCTACTTGATATAATATATAATTTTGAAGTACAAACTCTCTTTCTTGTGGAAATATTTTGGTTAGTTTTGATTTACTGGGAGACAATTATCTCGGACATTTGGATCAAAGGCTTGTTTTTATGTTTAGACAGAAAAACATGAGGGATTTGATCTTTTTGAGTCGGATCAAAGTGACATCCAAATTTAGAAATAGCTTTAAGTAAATAAAAAGGACAAAAGTACACAATTTAGGGAATCAAATAAGCATTGTGGGACAGACAAATTTGGGCTATTTAGGATTATTTTAGACCTTCAGTCAGTGCTTAAAGGGCTGATCTATGTTATAACATTGTTTCCTCGTCAAAAACATGGATTTGTGTTTTGTTTCATTCGCACATACTTAATAGCCTGATTCATCAGCAGGTTTCACTTCGGAGAAACCATTTGATCTCGCAGTGTTAACATTCGTTCGCTCAACGGTACACGGGTACTTTTTTATTTAACCACTTGTTGCTATTTGGTCATGATGTATGTAATGCGTCACTAACAGGGCTAATTGGTATATTATATTACTTTTCCCAAATCCTGTAGGAAAACGGGCGATACCATCTTTCTCCTTTATAAAATTCACCAAACGTTCTCTTTGTTCCAGCTTTAAATCCTCGATCTCAGTAATCGTTGCCAACAAAGAATGTATGTCTTTTCGCTGATTGGCTGGTGTCCGAACTCGCACTTCCAGGGTTTTTGCAAACTGTTTAGTTTAGATTCATGACCTAGTCGTTGGAGAGAAATGAAATTGAGCGGAGGCAGTAGGTGGTGCCAGCCTGACTACTTGTTTAAAACAAACCCTGCATATTTAGGTTCTTGAGCACTGCGTTTTCAAACTCCATACACTTTTACTAGAATAATTTGGATAATCTCAGCCCTACAATTTATATCCTCACCCCAAAAACATTTTAACATGACTTAAAGCTCATAAGAGTTAATTTTGTGTAATATCATTTGTAAATCAGACATTACCAGAATAGAAGTTGGTTGTGGGATCCATATAAGGCCAAATCTTTACCAGAACGCACACAACTACATACACTAGCTCAGAACTGCCCATCTTACTCAGTTCTAAAAGTGCTTTTGGTGTGGGAGTACATTTTAAGCAGATACTCCCACAAATCACTGCAGCACCTGCCACTGAAGCTGATCCACACTCATTTCATTTGTTGTTTAACCTTGCAAGTTCTCAGACAGTGCTTCTTTTTCGTCTACGCAGCAAATGCAATGAGGATTTGGCAATGGGACAAAAACAACTTTCATTTCATTTCTCATGTTGAGCAATCAAAATGTTATTACATTATGAAGTCAGGCTTTTAATCATTGTCATTTAACACACACACACAAAAGTCAAATCTCTCTGTGCCATAACAAGTTCGTACAAGTTTGACTGACTATAGATCTTTCCATTAAAGCTCAGTGACAATTGGAAATGACTAAATTTAAATCTTCATCTGAACATTTGCAGAGCCTCTTCAGTGAACTGCTACATTTTACAAGAACATCATGTAGAATATAGACCACATTACCGTATGTACTGCGAAATTGTGATATTATTGTATTGTGTGATGTATATTCTGTATACTATCACGAGGGACCGTGTGATT